AATTATATCATTCTTGATGCAGGTGCAGAGGCCACAATAAAAGGTATAGCAGAGAGAGTTATCTCTGTACTCAATTTTTGAGGCATACTGATTGAATTGGACTATATACTTTATGATTCAGTCTTCATTGCACATCTGAAGATGTTCTAATGCATCTTTGGCATCTTCAATAGTGTCAAAGGGGCTAAAGTTGCTATGAAGCTCATTTAAAAAAGAAATCTCTGTTTTGTGGCTTTAGAGTTGTCTTCTTCTGGCTGGCCACTAGTCCTGGCTTCATCAGCAGGCAGCTGTCCTCCTATTAGTCAGCTTTCCTTCAGCTTCCAGAGATATCTGGTTGGATTCTCAGCTTGTAGAGTTTGCAGTCACCAATAGTAGGTAAAAGCTATAGTGATAGTTTGAATAATTGGTGCTGAGTAGACAGCCTATTTTGAGAAAATAAGTGGTATATTCAGTATCAGTCAGATCTTGAACCAAGATTAATATTCTAGAAGTTTGGCCAGGAGGTCTTCAGAGTGGACTTTATTGTAAAGAAAAATAGCCTGCTCAGTCATGGCATACTGTAAAATATACATTCATTCAGTATTATCCACTATTAAATATTTCTCTCTCAATGATGTCATCCTCCATCCTATATCCTAAGAAAGCTCCACAACTTTTTTCTGGTACAACCTTGTAAACTCCTGCTCCTTCTCACATTATATTTCTGCTTCTAATAGTTCTTCATTCTCAATCTTATAATACCTCTTGAGTATTTCAAAAGATACTGTGGTTAGATCATTGTACTCTTTGCTGTCCTTGCTGTCCTTCTCAGAGGAGTCATCAAGTAGACTGAAGATGAATAGTGCCTGAGGTTTCACTGTTGTAGGCAAGTTGTCCTGGAGTGCTGGATCTAGGGTCAGCAAGAGGAGTAGGTTGGAGAAAGAGTTCTTCATTAGACTTGGTTCTCCTGTCTGTTACCTCCACTGCTGCATGATACTCTTGAAATTGGTCAGTATTCTGCTTGTCAAGGAGTACTCCAGCAATTTGGCCTCAGATGAGTTGCTAGATAGTTGAGTCAGAGATATGAGCTAAAGATGGGAGATAGATCCTATAAGTGAATAAAGGAGTGTTGGAAGTTCAAGAAAAGAAACCTTCTGCAAGAAGATTAGAGAGTATGGATCTAGACCAACTTGCCAGTGATCTATACCAACTCAGCTCTCAGAAGAGACTTGGAGGATAGTGTCTATCTCACTCATATTGGTCTCATTCTTGTCATTGTCTGTATTCTTCATGTTTTTCTCTTTCATATACTTCTTCAGCACTATGCTAGGTCTCAGACTCAGACCAAGTTCTGGCTGATCATACTTTGAGAACTTATGCAAGATGTCAGTTCTGTCAATAGAGATTATGACTGCTATGTCTGTTGCTCTGGTCAGTGTAATAGAAGCTTGCAGTGTTTCCTCAGCTACAACTTTCAGTGTTCTTGCAGCTGGATGAGAGTACTTCAGGAGTCACATAAAGAGAGTCATAGCCAGAGCTTATAGCCATTCTGGCAGCATCAAGAATGTCTTGAGTATGGTCTCCAATTCTATGCTCCAAGAGGGCAGTGGTAAGGGCAGAAGATGATTCTGTATCAAAGAAGTCATTAAGAATGTTCTTATTCTCATAGTCTGGGACTGGAGGGAGGTTTGGCAGATCATGATAAAGGATATGTGAGTAGTATCTTCTTTGACATCTGGGTTTTTCTTATTCCAGTGGAAGAACTTCTAGATTTGAGTCTCTGAAGGCAGTTTTTGATATAGCTCCTTGTGCAGGCTTGTTGGTGACTCAGGCAGACTCAAAAGAGAGATCATAGAGGGAGAGAATGGATGTGACATTTCTGGTTCAGTGATAAATAGTTTAGAGACTCTGATAATATCTGATTACTTAAGCAGTAATAGATTGGTTTTCTCAGCAGAGATAAACAATAATGAAAAGCCTAAGCAGAGTGCCAATAATAGTGCTCAAGAGCTTGACAAAGTCAGAGATGATTGCAGGTTGATAGCATCTGGTTTCCTTCACCCCTAGTGTGTGTAAGAAAAGAGAAACAGGAAGCTTTGAGCTAACTGTTAGACCTAGCTTGCATATGACCTGAACACATGATAAACTAGTGTTGTATCATGTTCATACAGTCATGCTATAGTTCACTTAATGTGTTATTCCAGGCAAATACTTCAAGGCCAGAAACAAGGTGAGCTCAAGAGAAGATAGTATGGAATAAACTTATAGCTTGAAGCTGAACTACTATATTGAGAGCTATCCTACTTATATACTGTTTAACTATAATAAATATAGCTGCCTTTCTATTGTACTGTTCTGTACTACACTGCTTATTCTGTCTAGTTATCAGAGAGTAGACAATAGGGAATTGTTCAAGGACAAGGCAACCAAGTATAATGGTGCACATCATTGTGATTACTTAATCTTTCCCACACCTTCAGATAGATGCTCAATATAAGATAGACACTCTGATAAAATAAGAAAAAGATGATAAAATAAGGAAAAATTATAACAAAAGAACACTATAAAATAGAACAAATTTTTAACCACAAACTACAGAAAGTTCAGGCATGTGACAGAGACACTCAAACTATTATCTATTATTTGGTCAAGTGAAAAGGATATAGACCAGAATCCAGTCAATGAATCTATGAACATGATATAACTATAGACAATACTATATAAAACTATAAGACTTCTATCAATTGATCTATCAGGATGATAGTCTTAAGAAAGAGATGATATTATGATTTTCTCCATATCTTATTCTTTTTTCTTCTTATCTTATCAGAGTGCTTATCTTATCTTAAGCACTTCCCTGAAGGGTATGAAAAGGATTAGATAATCACAACAGATAGAGTGCTATTGTACTCAGTCATCTTGCCTACAGACAATTCCTCATTGTCTTGTCTCCAACAACCAGACAGAATCAGCATTCTAGCACAAAATAGCATAATAAGTAGCAGTTATATTTATTACAAGCTGCACAGTATATAAGTAGGATAGCTCTTGCTGTAGTAGTCTAGCTTTGAGCTATAAGTTTATCTTACACTATCTTCTCTTAAGCCTAGCTTGTCTCTGGCCTTGAAGCACTTTGTCTATCAGAGTATATTTAGTGAACTCTGGTGTGACTGTACAAACATGATACAGTGCTAGTTTATCACATGCTCAGATCATGTGCCAGTTAGGCTTAACAATCACCCAAAAACCTAAAACCTCTATAAAATTTTTTTCACTGAAAAATGTCAATGACAATAACATCTCAAGTCTTACTCTTCAAACTTAAGGCTGATGAGAAGTTCAATAGTGAGAACTGGACTGCCTGGAAAATGATGATGATTGCTGAGAAAGATCCATACAGTCTTATAAACTATTGGGAAAACAAGGTCTTCTTTTAAGCATCTAATCTGCTTTTATTATCTGCAATAGGATTAACAAGTCTCAACTCTCTGGATCATGAATATGCCCAATGTGAAAGCACAGCACTATTCTCCATCATTTGAAATGTCATAGACTCTTTTGGATTTGGCCTTGACCCAAGAGGCAAAACCCATGAGGTATGAAGCAAACTACAAAAAGAATATAAAGCTCATTCTAATATCATTCAAAAGAGAAGAGAGAATGTACTGAAGGTGGCAAGGTACCAAGACAGAAACAAGATCACAGGAGATGGTGGACACATTGAGAAGATGAGACATCTACTGAAGAAGGCAAATGATGCTGGAGCTGGAATCAACAGCAGTATATTTGCAACTATCCTAATTAACTCCTTCTCAGAGTCATGGAATCCTGTTATTAGCATATTACATAGTGAGAAAGACATTGTTAAGATAGTTGCACACCTCTCCATGCATGATGATAGAGTTAACAGCCATAGTAGATGATCCATAAATTCAACATCTACAAATTTTTTGAACCAAGCATTGCATACCTCTATCACAGCATTGGCTCAACAGATTCAAAGCCTGAACACCATCACTCACTATGACCAGAGACCATCTAATGGGAAGTCTCATGAAGCCAATGAGAACTGCAAAGATGTCAGACATACTATTGAGGATTGCTGGAAAATTGATGGAGAAAAGCAGAGTCAATACCCTCTGTGATGGAAAGAAAAATGCAACACACTATTACTATCTTTCTCAGCCAACCTTGCACAATCAACAGCTGTCATTGATCCCGTTACCAGTGTTTCAATGTCCATATTTGCCCTCTATGCTGGAGGTGGAATGAGCAAAATTTTAGAAAAAGACAGCAGAACTTCAGAAATGAACTATACTTTGATAGCTAAGAAGATGAGAGGATTAGACTCATCAAAGTTATTTAGTGATTCTAGTGCAACTATGCACTTTATTAAACAGAGAACTACATTCTCCAACTATATCTCACTTGAGAATTACACTGGTGGATTATCAAAGGCTGAAGTGAACTTGAATATTGCTGGCACTGGAACAGTCACCTTTAAGATGAACAAAAGAAACATAGTAATGTTGGAAAAGGCTCTTCATTGCTCAGACATATTGGCAAACCTTGTATCCATTTTATGGTTGGACAAGGATGGATAGAGTGTAACCTATAGTGAAGGAAAAGTTAGCTTCATTATGCTAGATAGGGAAGAAAAATTCATAGAAGAGTTAAGTGGGGACTTGTATGCTATTAATGGGACATTGCTTCATGCCAAGAAGCACCAAGCCCTGGCTTAGGAACACCAAAGATTACTGAAACAACTAATAATAAACTCATATTTAATGGGTCACAGCAGTTCATTCTAACATGAAACTATCTGCAGAGTCACTACTTGTAAGATATCACATATTTTAGATGGAAATGGCTATAGTACCATGTTCGACCTGTGGAAACTGAATTCAAATTTTGACTTGAATACATGTATAGAAAAGGAACCAATGGTGGTGTCACAAATATGATCTACATCTTATCTTATCTCGCCCTTTTTTTGCCGGTGGTTTAGTCAGCAATAGTTCATGTCTCCCATCACCGTTACGACCATTGGTCTAACGTGTAAGGCATTCCTCAGTTCTGGTCTCTGTGCGGTCACGATCAACGGTCTGCCTACACTAATTGAGGCCTTGAACAGTGCTCAGAGGGAATATGGATGTGGCGTTGTCACCGGTAGGTCTAATTCATTGCCAGTTGACATTTCGCAAACAATTAATCATAAATGCCAAGTTTCCAACCATATATCGACGTGAGGACGTTGCATTCAAAATAACATATATACCTATTGCTTTTTGCAGACTTGATGACCCCGTGACATGGGGGGTTCTTCCGGCCAAATACTATCTTAGGTCGAGAATGACACGTTGGACGCTTGGCGCTTCCGACATCATGTTTACGAACCCGTAAGCAGCTTGCATGTCGTGCTGAAGTACTTATTTCACCTTTCCTAAGGCAGAATACTCTCGTACTTCTTTACCCATGGACAAGTACTTGAGACTTTCCGCGGCAAGGGAATATTCCAACGGTCGGTTGACGCCGCCATAGACAAGTTGAACAAAGGGGATTGGGTGAGAATTATACGTTAGAGGAAACTCAACTATTTGACCATATCAAGATTCACTTGTACGGGGAGGGGAAAGTAAACCAACCAAGCATGTACCAAAAAGACCAGGACGGTTTAGCTATCCTTCCGCGCTTTAAGTGGGGAGTGTACGTATTCGCATAATTAACGTCACAGTGGAATTTGAACTGACTGAGTGGCCTCTAGGGGCAGAATTATTAGTTCGACCACCACCATACCAACGGTTATTCCAATGTGGATCACAGGTTTTGACACACTCATGCCGGAAGGCCGTCCTTTCCCATACAACTTCATGCCACGGATAGGCGCATGCCTCAGTGTCACATTCGGTCCTCCCATTCCCTCAGAGGAAATTAAAAGAGTGATTGATCACTTGAGGGAGACATCGACCGCCGATTTGGACGTGAAAATTCGAACGGAGGTTACTGCCATTGTACACCAGGCAGTCCAAGCGTTAGGGAGGTCTGTGTCAGGCGTATCGCTGAGGGGAACAACGTACGCATAACTTTTCTGCTGTCACTAAGTACTTGGTCATCGATGTGAGCTGTAGACTGAGAAGCTAGATCTAGACTTGTAATGCTATTTCCCTAACGCACATATATTCATACAAAATGGTCATATTCCAAATCCTACAGCTTTCCTTGGTTGCTTTCTCCGAAAACCTCTGCGAATGAAGGGCCGACCTCTGAGATCATATCCTCAGTGACGACACTCCGGCCTTGCCGCGAATACGCTCGGCGACTTGCGGTTCGAGTGACCATACTACCGCCGATAGCTGCTAGAAGAGGCATACGCGATATTGGAAGTTTCCTGTCTCTAATGACAAAGTGAGCAAGAGAAGAAAGGGAAATCATTAACATACCCGAAAGCTCCATCTTCATAGCACTTTGCCCAAGCCAACATCGTGCCCACAGCGCCACTGAGGATGTCACCTTGCCCACCACATCTCTTCATCCCACCTTCAACGCCAATCTCCACTGTTTCTTTGGAATTCGAGGTAGCACCGGCTTTGTCACCGGTCGTGTCAACAGATATGATATCTTTTGCTCCCTTCTGCAATACCGTAACTCCACCAAGCTCACGCGATACCATGCCTGCCCGCTCTCCCGCAGGGGTCTTTGGATCCACACCGACCTGCTCACTGAGACGTTTGAATTCGACGACATTGGGCGTGACAACGGCACGATGGTACCCCTTGATCAAAGAGATGTCCTGACCAACCATGAATAGAGCATCTGCATCAAGCACGATAAACATCTCTTGTGAGCGTGCCAAGTTGAGTGCCAGTTTTGCATAGTCGAGCATGTATGACTCTCGACCGAGCCCAGGGCCGATAACTAGAACATGGAGACGGGAGAGAAGGGAAGACAATTCAGACTTGATGTGGTCGGTTGTCCTTGGTGACTTGATAAGTACGACTGAGACAGTTATAGGACAGAGGGCTCACGAATCTGGGGAAAGTATTGGATGCACGATCAGATCTGGAGAGTACGATTTGATAGCTCCAGCCGCAGTCGGCGAGCATATTACATGGGATAAATCAGCGCCCTAGTAAGGATGAAACATGAGATTCATCAGTCATGTAATGATGGATTATTCCGACGCACAAAGCGCAGCGCTGTGATTGATGCAAAAAAAGGGGCGCCGGTATAGCTACAAAGTATCTGAATCGTCGACAGCCTCCGTTCGAATGGATAGATCTTACTCTAAAGCGCCGCCAAGGACACCGACTCGGCCTGGAGGAGATCCAATATTCAGTAATTGATTGGTACGTCGAACAAAGTAGTATCAACCAGATTGGCCCTTGTGAAGTGTACCATTAAGTGGTGGTATCAGCTGTTTCAGCTGTTCCAATATTCCACGAGGTACTGACATGGTAGTTGCAGAAAAAGTTTGATGAATGACGTATGTACACTTGCGTCATAAAGACGTCCGCTACTTCTCAACGCTGATACTCCAACAATTACGCGGGCATAATAGGACAGAAACAACATTACATGAATTGGTGAAACAATATTCTTACAAATGGGATCAGGACATGTAACAGAGGATGGAAATGCTTGCATCACGATGAAGAATGGATGGGGAGAAGATGGAAAGAGTAAGACCAACAGCGGGGCTGGTTATAAGTTTACCGTGTACTATATATTTAATAACACCGAAAGCTGAAGGGAAGAGAGCGAACTAAGAGCTTGAACTTGAATCGGACTCATAATCGGCAAAGTAAGGGTGCTTGAGTGCACGTTTTGCTGGATGACATGGAGTCAGTGACTGCCCACACGGACAAAAAGGTAAAGGCCTGCCTGAAATACGCTTGGCAGAATCATAAGCAAGGAGACGCTGATTAAATCAAGAGATGTCAGGCTAAAAATGAAGAAACACAATAGACACAGCACAGACTTTAAGCATGTCAATCCCCGCCGGATCCAAATCCGGGACGACCCGAGAGACATCTTGCACACTCCAACGCGGGAATGTAGGCTTATAGTCGGGCAAACCACTCACGCCCGGCCACATGTCTTCGTTCGGTGTTCCCAAAATCCTATAAACAATCATCCGTTAGTACGAGCACAGTCATGACAAGAATATAACTCTCACCGGAATATCTTAAATATTTGGTCTATTTCAGAGTCGCCAGGGAAAAGTGGCTGCCCCTGACAAGCCATCTCCGCAAATATGGTTCCGACCGACCACATGTCGACTGCTGTCGAATAGTGGCGGGATCCAAGCAGCACTTCGGGCGCACGATACCACAGCGTTACGACCTAAAACGTCGAAAGCCCGTATTAGGAACACTCTGATAATGCAAATGGAGCGAACCTCATGAGTGTAAGTCCGCATCGGTATACCGAATGCCCGCGCGAGTCCAAAGTCGGCCAGCTTCAGATTATTATGCTTGTCAATGAGGAGATTTTGCGGCTTCAAGTCGCGGTGAAGAATCCGGTGCGAGTGGCAGTAGACCAATCCTGAGTTTAATTGATGCAGGAACCGCTGGAATGGTGGTTAGAATCTGTTAGGATAGTACCAGGGGAAGACAGAAACAAGACCCGGACCAAGACGCGTCGCGTCTTTATCACGTGATCTCAAGAACGCGAAGAGAAAGTTGTGATTGTGACCCGGTGGCGCTACATGAAGATTATAGTCGACGGATTGGCCGTTTATGAACGACATGTTGAACGCGGGAGAAACAACGCTCCAAACCGGCCAACGGGATACTCCGAAGTACACACGCGCCAAACGCGTCGAAGGCCGATAACCGGCGCGTTGAGAAGGCGACGACAGCAGCAGGGACAGCCAGGAAGAGCATACAGCGACATACCTTGGACATTTCCAAGGTGATAGGTGTTTGATTTTTGTTGGCAAGGTCCATGTAGCGCTTAAGATCCACGTCTAAGAATTCGAATACCAGGTATAATTTCTGGTCGGCATGGACGATGTCCAAAAGCCTGAGCCATGGTGTAAACCAAGAGAAACCGGACTCAGGTGATCAAGGCAGTTATACATACCTTACAATGTTGTCGTCGTTCAGCTCCTTAAGGAGACTGATTTCGCGGATTGCAGTGCTTGGGACGCCCTCATCTTCTGCCTCGAGCCGTATCTTCTTAAGAGCCACGATAGTGTTGGTGCTGGTATCTCGGGCCTTGTACACGACGCCATAGGTGCCTGCGGGCATAGGGTGACGGTCTGCTGGCCACTGCAAGGGCTAACTGACCTTCGCCTAGAGGTCGTTTCTGTCAGCAGCCATAGGATGGATGCATACAGATGGCAGCGACGCACCAATTTTCTCTATCTTCGCATAGCTTCAAAGGCAGCTGGTCAGTCCGAGGTCGTCAGGACGCAGTACTGACATACCGTTCCATCTGTCGAAGAGTTAAGCTGCGAGTGGGTAAGATCTTGCGATAGAGCTCTGTATGGTGGATATATGCGTTGTCGGATGGAGCAGTAAATGAATGAATGTCAGTGAAAAGGACGGCGGAGCGATGAAGGGATCAGGGTGAGCGTGGGTCGAAGTCACAAAGTTTACCCTCCTCCCTTTTGGGCCTTGAACTGATCACGTAATTCAGCATCTCATCATTGCTAACCGTCATAACATGACAATCAATTGTTTCTACCTTGCAAGGGCTGGCCGGATAGGCACCGCAAGGTTACCGCGATCAAAGGCCAGCGGAGTTGCCACAGAGTTCCACCAAGATGGTCCTTCTATCTCACGAAATGTGGCTACAAAGACGTACATTACACACATTACCCACATTACCCACATTACCATACAAAATACTTCCAATGCTGGCTTCATGACGCCGTATTCTTAGCACTGCGACGCGATGGTGTTTTCTTTTATCCGGGTCTTGGCCAAGTAAAGCCTTGGTCGTCATGCCTCCTAGCACGCGTCATATCGATGTACTGGCCGGGCCACGGACCGTCACCTAAATAAGCTTGGGGTAGAGTTCTGTGGCATTTCTTCGTGCACAAGACTTACTTCGGTCGATAATATTCATGTCTGTATCATCATCTTCATCGTCGTCTTCATTGGGGTCCCAGCGATCTTGCAGGGCCGCATTTGGGTTGCGCTCTCGGTCAAGTTCAAGATCTTTCATCATTCGATTCATCGAGTCGTCTTTGGCTGCTTGGAGTGTCTGTTCCCGGGCTACCCTTGCGCGCTCCAGTTCCGGCAGATACTCCCTTTGTGTGAGTACCATCAGCACCGTGATCTAGGGGCAGGATTTGCCTTACTTTTCGTATTCTTCCCGAGACGCTTCCACCGCATCAAAGAATTCTTTGATGCCTTGTCCAGTCACGCTGGAAACGCCAACAGTCTACCTGCCATATGAAGCCATTGTGGATGAGATTGACCGAGTAACTCACGTTGAGATTTCTATAGAACTCATCTAGCACAAGACTCATGCTGTTCATGAGGCTATTCATGTACGTTGGCTCGCCTTCAGAGTCTCGGGCCCCGCCATGAGTCGCTAAAGCCTCTTGGAACGCCTCAAAGTCGTGCATCCAATCAATCGCAAAATCATGTGGTTGGATATCAATCTTGTTGAACACCAGGATGAAGGGAAGCTTGGTCTTGTACAAGATACTACACGAAAGGTGAGTACACGACGTCAATTCAAAGTAGAAGCAGCCGACCTGCAGGCATAAAGCATATTAGACATAAAGGTGGCCGGAGCCGTTGTCCGAGGTGTATCGATGATATAGGCGATAACTGTGGGTAATGATGACGCCACGGCGTCGGTAATTATGGCACCAGAAGCCGACCATGTAAAAATCTCAATCTGGCCCGGAGTATCAAGGATAACATAGCTGCAGCACAATCAAGGATCGCGAGTGTGAGGAAAAAATATGCATACTCAACAGTCTCTGCCCGCTTCTCAACCAGCTCCAGCACCTGATCAAACTTTGTCGTAAAAAGATTGAGCGCGGTCAAGATGCCTCCATTGGGGCCCAAGTTGTACCTCGCACGGACCGTTTCAACCGGATGCGAGGGTAGAGTCAGCCATATACACACTGCTTCATTACTTCTTGATAATTCACGGTATCCCGAATGTCAATATTGGCTTCGAACGGCACATGGGTAACAGCCGGGTCGAGATTGAGGATATATGGTGGCAACGGAGGATTTTGCGAATGCAGATACGAGTTTATTCGTTGGACAAAGGTCGACTTACCTGCACCAGCCATACCAATGGTAATGATGGTGACTGGTTTTTTTGTTGGAAGCGCATCGGTTGTCGAGGTCGCCATTACTGAAGGAGAAGGAAAATGGAAGGTTTGTACACGTGATCCATGATATGTAGTTGATGAGTCACCCGCACATCCGGAAAAAAAAAAAAAAAACTTTATAATGCCGGCATTGGCTTTCTCACCAGAACCGCCCTCTACATGAGCTGAAACCTGTAAGAAGCCATAAGACGCCTCGAGAAGCTGATGGTAGAGAGCCAAGGCGGCAATTTCGGCATATTTTCTATTTGGATCAAGGGTTCTCGATAACTAGAAGCACCGCCATCCTATGCCGACAGGTCCGCATGCGAGGCCGCGAACACTTTCGCGTTATGGTGCTGACTAGTGTGACTCCGCGGGCTCGCAGAAGTTCTCAGCAATACTGATATGACTTTTCGGTGCCAAGTCTTTGCTTCCTAGCAATCTCTTATAATAAGTACTATACTAGACGTTACTAAGGACCCCCAACTTCTACTAGTCATGCAACGATACTACGGTGTCAACTCTGACCTCAGTGCCTACAGTAGTACGCAAAAGCGACGAGTACAAAAAGCGTGCGACCTCTGTCGACGGAAGAAAAGTGAGTCTCTTTTGTCCGGTCAGTCGCGTGGCCGGCCCTGACGAACGAGTTGAGTTCGGTGTAGGACGCGTCTTGTAGATCAACCTATACTATATGGACTAAACGATTATAGGTGATGGAACCCGACTGCCAGGGAAGCGGCGATGTTCCCGTTGTACTGCCGCTAACTTGATGTGCACATACCTCGATGCTTCTAATGTAAATATCATTTCACATTCTCTGTACAATCGTGGTTCTGATATCTTGCCAGCAAATCCTGTCTAAACGGTTCGGACACTTCAATTTTCTTGTTCAAATATTTACGCTTCACTTTTGGATATGTAGTTACGTCGAAGGCCTTGAGAGGAAAGTGGACGAGATGGAAAATTTACTGCGCAAAGTAAGAATTCTCGCAGCCGTCTCTTTTAATGCAGCTGACGTTCGAAATGCGTACCGAAGATGCTACCTCCTGACGCAGACTTGACTGAAGAATTGGAAAAAGAGCCTGTTGGACTGCCAGACTCTGACGCCGATGGCTTGATACCTGACCTCATGCGATCTCTTGGTAGGGACATCACCAACGAGAAAGACCACTCCGTTTCCGAGGATGATTATGACGGCGCACTGGAATGCAATCTTTGGCGTCTTCAGGACTTCACTCACGGCAGATTTTTCGGCAAGTCCAGTCAAGCCCAATTCATACAGACAGCACTCGACGTTAAGCACGGACACCCTGCATATTTCTCTGACGTATCGAGACTCACTTCGAGAAGACCCCAGTTCTGGGACCCACTTATTCATCATATTCCCAGCCGCATTTCGCAGGTTCAAGTCAACGTGGAGTACAGCTTCCCGGACCACGATCTAATGTGGTCATTGATTGGACTATACTTTACGCAAGCCAATATCTTCCTTCCTGTTTTGCATCGACCAACTTTTCAACGGTTGGTCGAAGAGTTAACGCACCTCAGGGACCCACTTTTTGCTACCGTGCTGTTGGCTGTCTGCGCTATAGCTTCAAGATACTCAACCGATCCGCGCGTATTGATTGATAATGAATCATCCTCCAATGGGTGGATGTGGATGCAACAAATCCTTGGAACTCGCAGGGCAAATTCAGTCTTGAGCCCGCCACTACTATACGACTGCCAATCGACATGCGTAAGGGCAACCTCGTCTTCCTTAAGATTAAAGACTAACGTTGTCCTCAGCTCATCGCAGAATTTATGATGTGCTCTTCTATACCTCAAATAGCCTGGACTATAGCGGGTATTGGTCTACGTGTGGCACAAGAGGCAGGAGCTCATCGAAAGAGAAACCACAATGGCTCTACGAACGCGGAGGCGGAATCATGGAGGAGAGTGTTTTGGTACGTCTGTTCTTCTACACTAATGGTGTAACTGACATTTTCCGGGCTTGCATTCCAGGTGTCTGTTGTATATCGACAGGTACATCAGTTCAGCTCTCGGTCGTCCATGTGCCATTAACGATGAAGAGTATGCTCTCAATCGTCATGTACGAGTCAACATAGTCTCACAAATTTCACAGCATTGATGCTGACCTACCTGCTGATTGTGATGACGAATATTGGGATCATCCAGATCCAGAACAAGCTTTCAAGCAGCCCGATGGCCAACCCTCGGTTATCTCTTACTTTAATTGTCACATGAGACTAAGTAGGCTTCAGATGATCTGTTTGCGCACTATTGTACGTGGATCATTAAGTCAGATGCGCACCAACAGGACCACTCACTGTCTCTAGTACTCCATGACTAAGTCGAAGATCGTGTTTGGCTTGGTGCAAAAGAACTGGGAAGAACAGATTGTCGCGGAGTTGGACTCCGTGCTCAATATGTGGATAGACTCGTTACCAGATCATTGTACGTTCTATCTGTTTGATAAAACCGGGGACTAACAATCTACGGACCTCAGTGCGATGGGACCCAAATCGCGAGAATCTCGTACACTTCAAACAATCTGCGGCCTTGTTAGAAGCATACTATAATATGCAGATACTAATTCACAGGCCATTTATTACAGTTCCTTGTCACTTATCAAAGTGGCCATTCCCTTCCCTTGCTATATGCGCCAATGCTGCGCGTTCATGTTCTCATGTCGTGGATATCCAGTATCAGCGTGGTGGCTATTTTCCATTTTGTGGTGTGAGCCTTATCCACTTACGAGTACATTTAATCTGCTGATTTTTCTATGTAGTATTCAGCATTCAATGCTGCAGTTGTCCTATCGTTCAATATTTGGGGAGGACAGCAGTCCAGTGATTCGATTGACCTGAAGAAAGAAATCGAAGATGTATATAAATGTATGAGGATTCTCCGGAGCTTGGAATCAGGGTAAGTTGCTACTAGTAAAACTGATAAATGATTGGATAACTGGATATGCGGCAGGTGGCCATTTGCTGGTGTACTATGGTAGGCTTCTACTTCTCTGGATTCGAATTTTTATTGATCACCTACTTTCCTGTTCATTAGGGATATTCTTTATCAATTGACAACAGTTGGCGATCCATCACTGTCCAACCCGGTTCCAAAAAATAGGCGAGAACAACATTCCGACTTTCCCTTCGATCCTAATGAGTGCGAAAAGTCTGACCTCCAAAGAGATTCTTATGCAGCCAAAAACCCTTTTGATGGATCGAGCTATTCCTCTACCATCGAGCTCACGAATACATATGCACTGTCACACTCCGGACACCCTTCTTCTCAGTGGCATGCAACGTCTGTTCCCCTGTCGACAAAAGACCGGCAGCAGGGTCCATCGGCATCTGTATCCTCACAGTGGCCTCGATCTCAGGCTCACTCCCTTACCATGAGCAGTGATGAGTGGGGACAAGTGCCTCTTCATATCGAAGTCACTTCCTCTCATCATGTTCCCGAACACAACCGTCAAATACATGATTATCATGAGTCTTCCTCCAGTAGCCCTTCGAGACAAATGAATAATTTTCCAGGGCACACGCCACACTACCGTCGTGATGGCGACTTATTTACGACTGAGACACCGCCGGTGGTTCACTTTGGAGGAAGCAGTGATGACAGAATTGACAACAGAACGAGAGCAAGGTGGGACGCTATTTCGAGGACAATGGAGTGTGTTCCCTCCCACTCTTCCCTGCTTGTTTTGCTGAACGCATCTAGGTTAAGTGACTAGAACGAATATCTCAACAATCTGAACGAATCTCGTGCCGCGTCACCCTGGTCCACACAATGGAGGGCTTTTTAACGGTAACGAATTTAATGTAGCAACCCAGTAGGAACGTACTTATTCAGCCTAATTAATACAATACCAAACCCTCCGGTTACTAATCATGGCTGACTCTTCTGTTGAAATCTCGTCTTCGAGGTCTAAGCTACGAAGCGCTGTCCTGGCGAGTAAATCCCTGGATGCCTGATCTGCATCAAGATTTTCACCTATGACGGAAAAGCATCTACAGAAGAATACCTCCGAACAACCCCAGCTAGAACATTGTCCACGTCAGACAAACTCGTTTCCTTCCTCGATATCTCAAGGTAAACATCTCCATCTGTATCTCGATTCAGCGCACGTTGAACGATATGCCAGTGTTGCGGATTCACGCCTCTGGAGAAGACTTCTCGGACGTCGAGGTCGCTACACGTTATCGGTAAATATGGGCAGAACATCAGAGTGGCATCCCACCTTTCCAGCAGATGTTGCGCGATATAGAACTGCTCCGACTTGGCCGCGAACTTGTCGTTGGACAACGTGAATTTAGCCCTGGAAACAAGGTGTCGATCCTTTGGCTGCAGGATCTTGGTGGCCGACGGTAACGTCTCCGTGCTACTGCTGAAGATCGGTTTGAGTGTCACAGGTTGTTTTGGGAACATACCTCGTTAATGCATCGTCGTCGAGGACCTTCTGTACGTCCATGCATAAAGTACGGACCTTTCCAGCAAGACTCAGATCGTAGTCAACGTCTTTAAGCCCAACCAGTGCAACAAGAACAGGATGTTGCTAAAGTCCATTAGTGGTAGAGCACGTGAAGTATGTCAAGACTTACTGCCATGTATACTACTTTGCTCCGTCTTGTATCGAGACCATCAGGAGGGTCCGAGAGATATACCGTAATACTAGAGAGCTCTGGCGGAGGCACAAGGCTTGGTGAAGAGTTGCACCCCTTCTTTGACGAGGCCGAATCATCACCGTGAGACGAAGCAGAACTTTCAACATGATCACCATGTGAGCCCTGTGAAGCAGCTTTTTCATTGATAGATAATGACGCATTTGACGATCCTAGCGATGAGCTCTGAGATGACCCAGCGCGAGTCTCTGAATTAACGCTTTCGTTACCATGACAAGGATTCTCTGCGTTGCCATTCGTCGGCTTTGTACTGGGGACAGAAATCACATCTGACTTGATAGCATCGTCCAAAGCGCTCTTGTCGACGTCAACACTCTCAATCTCCCCTTCATCCCTAGACGTACGGGGCTTCACCTCTGCCATTGGTACCTCAAGTCGCTTTGCAGATCCTTTGAACGTGAGATACCCGGGCCATCCCCACTTTCGAACATCCACATTCATGTTCAGGTTCATCGTGGGCATGCCGAGGAATGAGGATGGCTGGATGTCTGCTTCAGGGTCAGGCGGCCGCTTCTTTACAGGGGAACCTGGTGGGGCCTGCGGTGACGGTGGGGGTGGAGGAGGTATTAGGGACATTAGATGCGCTGGGAAAGGGGAGGGATAACGAGCTTTGATAAAAGACGTCGATGGTATCACATGCGAGGGGGTAACTATTATTGACGAGGCTGTAGCGGGTATCTGCGACGCGAATTCGTCTAAGAGGGGTACAATGGTACGGTATTGAGGATGCAGTGGTATGCCTACGACTATACGTCATTGACATGATGGACGTGAATATCTGGCACGTACCAAGGTGGTCTCCGAATCCACGGTCGCATTCCAAATCCCATGACCATGCCCAAGGGGTGAAGAATCTTTCTAGTTGTAGCTCTAATGCTTGCTGTCCCAGTGTTGAAAGGATGCTCGTCAATGAACCATGTACAAGCTGTCCCAACACGATGAGGGTCCCCCAGCTACCAGTGACCAGTGGAGTACATACTTTGAATTGCTCATATCCACGACGAATATCCGCTCTCAGAGATATATCATCAACAGAGAAGTCTTGGTAATTGCAGACAAGAGCCACGTCCTTGCTGATGGTACCCGTCTTGGATTTCTGCTTGCCTTTGTTCCGTTCAATGGTGGGCGTGCGAAACGTCTTTGCCAGCTCAACGCACTAGGCCACCCTACTGAATTAATGTGACCGCAAATGCAGACAGGGAGCGACACCTACTGCGGTTATCCAAAAATCGGGCTCGGGAGACACCATGACTATCCGCCTGCCTTGGGAATGGATATTGTTGCAGAGATCGTCTGGGTTGAACATACTTTGCAACGTCAGGAAAATTTCTGCTGAACGTCGGCAACATATACTTACTCTGAGAAATTCACCAAGGCTTTGGCTAATCCGACTTGTCTGAGCATCCTGTCGCGAGAGACAGCCCGTTCCTTCGATGTGTAGAACAGAATATGCGCCTGTTCCTCCGCATCTTCATCATCTGTAAGCGTGGTATCGGCTGGTCGCAGTGTCGGATTGTATACTGTCAAGTACAGGAGATTTGGTGGTGATCTGCTGTCCATACGACGTGGGGAATAGGGACAATCGCGGAATTCCAAAAAAGGAAGGTAATGATTGCAGCACAGCCACATCAGGATCTTCCATTTTAGTCTAAGTGTTGAGTGGTGATTATCTGTTAAATAACTATAATATTGCTACTGTACTTTTACAGGTATGCTCTTGCACTCCTGCGACCCATCTAAGTGGATGTTAGAACATTACCTACTAGGAGAAAAGGAACTTACCTCGACTACCTTCCACCCACCGGTAAGCTCGTTGGTCAACTCGTCCTCTAAACGCGTGATGGCAGCAATATATGTGCATTGTTCCACCCGATCTTCCGCACCAACTACGATTTCTCGCGTCTTTACATTCCGGAAGAGAAGCACCTCTTGCGTGCTAAACTGTATCACGAAAATGGGAATGTTGTTCTCCAAGATCTTGCCGGCGGAAACCTACGGATTTGAATATTAGAAGGGCGAACACGATAGAAACCAAAAATTACGAACATCAACTTGTCGGATATCGAGAACTTTGCTGTCGCTGATGAGTCCTTGCCGCAAGTACTGCTCCATTGTTGCCCAGAGAACATTATATGTCTAGAAGGAACCCTCAGCTTTCCTTAACAGCATGATTCGACAAGACTCACGGCTTCTCCGCACCAGGCCTTCAAGGCTTCCTGATCAGCAGACAGATACGCATCCACAACTTCCGGTACAATGTACTCCCTCAGTTCGCGTTCAAAACTCTCCCTGTCAAATGTTGGATCCATCGCCTTCATCAACCGCATCACCTGTGCCGTCTCGTTCTCATCGAACCACGAGGCGACCGTTTGCGTCACTGAACGAATCGACGAGATGACAGGATTTTCTGTTTCTTCATACGAGTGCCGCAACGACACAAATGTTCGCAGGAAGGGGTTTGTCTCTTTGAGCCGGTTCCACTTTTCCTGCCGGGGCGAGTCCTTGTGGAGAACAACAGACGAGCCGGCTCTAGAAACGGTGAATCAGAATATGAAGCACGAATGACAGGAGCTTACGCACTCTGGATTAGCAGCTGTTCGTTTGGATGCCGATCCTATGCTGCTGTCCTTCCCGGCTTTGATTAACCGTCGCTGTCGACGAAGTCGGCGCGCCTCCTTTTCCTCAAACCCAGCGTGTTTCGCGCTACCACTGTCATCGAGCGCGTCAATCAGTGTTTCGGAGAGAGATTGGTAGGCAGCTGTATTCCGAATGGGCTCGGTGGACTTTTTTATCGTTTCGGAAACGGCGCCCGTTGCTCGGGATATCTGGTCAAGTTGAGCTGCGAGGTCAACATTCGAGGCAAGTACATACCGCCCGCACAATCTCGCTCTCTTCCATGCTCTTCAAGGCTTCCCCAACAGCGTCTCCAACTTTGACACCCGTCTTCTTCAGCTCTTCGGCGGCTGCGCGCAACCGTGGATTTTCTTTGATGCTTGAGGTGAGCTATGCGACAATAGTATGAGAAATTTATTACGAAGAGTGTAATCAAGAGATGTACCCTGGCCCTTTCGTATGCTGCCCTGGCCTTTTTCATAGCTTCTGAATCCTGGAGCTTATCAACATCACCCTGTAGCAGTTTGACATTGTCTTGAAGTTCCCTGTTCTTCCGTAGCTCATCCTTCAGGACGTCAACGAAAGTCTGGAACGGGGATTTTGGTGGCTCATTCAAGTGTCTCGAAGAAGCGTGAAAGTTTGCCCTCGGTGCGCCAAGGATAGGTGATGCTCGGGAAGGAAAATTCCTCAAATGATGGTAAGAGAGAACTGCACGGTTTCGCAGGGATGAGCGAAGGACGAGGCTCTGTAGATGGCGAGGTAGCATGGACGACAAGTCAGGACGACAACGGCTTCGCGTAACTTTGTCCGAATCCGATCGCCAAAAAAGTTGCCACGTGCGGAAAAGAAATTTAGGTTCCCGCATTCCTCCGTTGAAAGGATCGTATTTATTTAATAAATATACATCTAGTAGTAATATCTATATACTTTTGCTCATCATGTCCGCTTCGAAGGATTCTCCTTGAAGCTTGCCCAGACATTCTCAGTAGCGACAGCAATGCGCTCCTTTATACTTCCGAAGCTGTCCAAGGCCGGGCGCACATCCAGAGAGAAGACTGGTGAGCCATCGGGTTCGGGAGGGGCAGAATAGTAGTCAATCACATAGCGAACCTCATCGCCAGTTTTTGGTCGGCGAACTACCCAGTCGTGACGGTCAAATGGTGGTTCGGTGCTACACGAAAAGGTTCGATTGGGTTAAACAGAAATGAAATGCGACGTACTTGAATCGAGAAGGCAACAACCAGCCAGCAAACATCCAGAACCGTGCCTTGGGCGACATTTCCCCAGGCCGTCCTTTGAACCGAGCCAATTGTATGTCATCAGAACTGAGGCGAAATTAATAGCAAGTCAGAAAGACGACATGGTAACGTACTCGCAAGCCCTCTTTTCCCACTTCAACACCTCCTGCCACGCTTGCTCATTCAAGAAATTATGGATCTCTACCATCACCTCGACATGTTCTTCTGGCGTTTCCCATCCCTTCCTGACTAACGCGTTGTAGAATTGCTGAGGTGAGGGATACTCCCATTTGGCAGAATGATCACGGGGAATGGAGGACTGCGTGCGATCCAATGGCAGGTGCATGGTCTGATTTGGTGCAGGTGACTGTGAGAGATTTGGCATTTGGTTCAGCGAATTGAGCGCCTGCGGGTCAACAGGACACTGGGCTGTTTTGGAGTGATCCACAGGGCACTGGGCCGGCTTTGCATGGTCGACAGGACACTGAATCGGCTTCGAATCCTGGTGCATTGGGCACCCAGATGGTGGCACCGTCGTCGTTGTCGTCGTTGTCATCGTTGTTGGCACTGATGTCATCTGGCCCATGGTGGTAGTGGACTGCTAGGTAAACTCGGTAACACGTGATCTTTAACCGCATTTGTCCGGCTTCTCAAGTTCCCCCCACATCCTTCTGGAATCTCCCCACGATCTGTCGTTCAGTCATTCGACTCGGATGGCGGCAGATGTTACATGCTCTCGAGGGCGTTGCTTTCAAGCGAAAATGTATCCGGATCCAGGCTTTTCTCCATTTCGACGGCAATGCTCTGGTGTGGTGCTCTCAACATTCTACATACCAAGTACGGTGATCGTCCTCGGGAAATTTCACTCATTGCCGATCACCTGTAGTCGGTCACCTGTGCTATCTCAAGTTCCGTTGTCTAAGTGCATCCCCGGCTGCCTGAGTTCGTCACCGTAAAACATGGAACATGGTCATTTCACGACCACATGTCTCTCACGACGGTCACGGCATGCCATACTCAATTACTACGTAAAATAGCTCAGTGTTTTATCCGCGCTTGGTTGTATCAAGGCACATCCACCCATGATTGAGCACTAATTCAACCAAGGTAAGATATATGAGTACATATGTAGGAGTTAGAGCTGGCAACAAATTGTGACATGCAAAAATGCAGGCGTCATAATAATAAAGTCAGAATGAAACTGGTTCACGACCTTAGAAACTGGCCATGCGGAGGTCAGGTTGAGTTTAAGATCATGTCGGGGAAACGTCCTAAAGGGATTCCCCGACATGATCTTAAACTCAACCTGACCTCCGCATGGTCGGTGTGGGTACGTTTCACCCAAGGTCGTGGACGCACTCGGTGCACGCATATCATATTGGTCAGTTTAGAGTCACACGAGACCGCTTCCAACTGTGGGGAAGGGTCTTTCCTGTGCTTCGGGTTACCGCACATTGTTTATGAATTGGAAGCGGTCTCGTGTGATGATCCGGGGGTGATCAAAATTACTCGCAGTTTCTACGTTCATCTGTATCGTGACCCCCGATCCAGTTAGACAGTCTCGACATGTACCTTCTTCGGATCCCATCCCCTAGCTTTACTTTTTTTGTACATAAACCGGACAGGTCTCACTCGTCCTAGGCCCCGACTGCCCAACCATACCCTCATCACCTCATCACTTGTCATCACCGCATCACTTAATTACTGCTTAACCACTCATGGCTGGAGGTCCAGTAGCTGGCGGCCCCGGTATTGGGGTCAATGCGCCAAAGGTATTACAACCCTTCCATCTGCTCCTTCAGTACCAGTGATCTTTTGTGTGTAGAACAAGCTTGCAGGCCTCATTATGGTCTGCTTTTCTGCCTTCGGTGGTATCCTCTTCGGTTACGATACTGGTGTAATCAGTGGAGTCAAGGAGATGTCTAACTGGCTCCAAACCTTTGGACACCCGACAGGCAATCCCGATCGTCCCTACGACATTTCTTCTTCTACTGAGTCTCTCATCGTTTCAATCCTGTCTGCTGGCACCTTCTTTGGTGCTCTCGCAGCCGCTCCGGTTGCTGGTATGTTGTTTTCTTTCATTTAATTTACGAGATTGGTTGATCTGCGGGAGACTACGTTGGAAGGAAATGGGGTATCATTCTCGCATGCCTCGTGTTCTCCGTCGGTGTAGCCATGCAAACAGTGTCTACCGCCATACCTCTGTTTGTAAGTTCATCTATACGTGCAATCATCAGATGTGACTGATATCCGTCTCTCTCCTCGAAGGCTGTTGGACGAGTATTCGCTGGTCTTGGAGTCGGTCTCGTTTCTTGCTTGGCACCGATGTACCAATCTGAAACTGCGCCAAAATGGATTCGTGGTGCCGTCGTATCCTTGTACCAATTTTCAATCACCCTTGGTCTTCTCCTCGCCACCGTCGTCAATAACGCCACGCATAAGTTTACGACTTACGCCTCCTATCGCATTCCGACCTCAATTCAATTCATCTGGGCGTTTATACTTGCTTCTGGAATGGTTTTCCTTCCAGAGGTACGTTCGTTGGCATTGCATCCGGTTTTAGACGCTGGGCCCTGATCCGTTTCGTAGTCTCCGCGTTGGTTGGTCAAGAAAGGCAGAGATGACCAGGCGGCTATCTCCCTCAGCCGTCTTACTGGCCTCCCTGCCAACCACCCAGACCTTCAGGCCGATCTCACTGAGATTCGCGCTAACCTCGAGGAGGAACATGCGATGGGCGAGAAGTCCTATCTTGATTGTTTCCGCAACACCAAAAACAAGATGGCCCTGCGAACCTGGACAGGTATCTCGATTCAGGCATGGCAACAATTGACCGGAAGTACGTATACGCTCAGCAGTGTTTTCTATACTTGCTGATGCCATCTTACAGTTAACTTCATTTTCTACTATGGCACGACCTTTTTCCAAAACTCTGGCATATCCTCCGCGTTCTTGATTAGTATCGCTACTGCCATTGTTAACGTGTTGTATGTGGTTCCTTCTTTCTTTTGTTGCTCGTGAATGTCAATTTTAAACTTTGCACAGTATGACCATCCCCGGTATCTATGGTGTGGAGAAAGTGGGTCGTCGAACCCTTCTACTTTACGGAGCTGCCGGCATGTGTGTTTGTGAATTCATTGTCGCCATCGTCGGTGTCACCATCTCCACGGACAACCTTACTGGTCAGAGATGTCTGATTGCCTTTGTCTGCATTTACATCGTGAATGACGCGGTCTATCTTCCTTTTTTTTTTTTACTGAAAGCGCCATAGGCTATCTTCGCGGCGACATGGGGCCCCATTGCATGGGTTATCACCGGAGAGATCTTCCCTCTGGAGGTGCGTGCAAAGGCGATGTCGCTCTCCGTGGCAAGCAACTGGCTGTGGAACTTCGCCATTAGTTACGCCACACCCTACCTCGTCAACTCCGGCGTCGGAAATGCAAACCTAGGATCAAAGGTCTTCTTCATTTGGGGAAGCACCTGTGCATGTTGCGTTATATTCACGTACTTCTTTGTCCCTGAGGTATTTATCTCCCTCTTTTACCGCCGTCCACATGTTGATGTCTTATTTTTAAGACCAAGGGACTGTCGCTCGAACAGATCGATCTGATGTACCAGCACACATTGCCCATGAATTCATTGATATATCGGGCCAGACTCATTGCAGAAGGTCAAGAACTCAAACACGAAATTGAGTACAAGGAGGAGGCAAATCCACAGGTTTAATTCATGAAAAGAAGCGATTTCTTCTCTTTTGCTTTGGATGTTTCTGTACTCGGATTTTATCATGCTCATGAACCTGTAAAGGATGCTTTGTAACGAGACCTTACGAATAATGGGAAACAGTAAAACAGTAATAATTGGTCGACTCCGCTAATACGAAAACGGAAAATGGATGTAAAAATAATAGGATGAGATTGCTTTACATGGAAGTAAATTGAAATACAGTTTGTTTGGCAACAGCTTGGGCATAGTACGCGTTCAGTCTGACTCTTTGACGAAACCATAGAAAACAAAAAACCAGTTTCTTTCTTTTTTCCTGCATTGCATTCGTTGTTATGAACCCTTCCCAGTCGCTTCCTTCGCCAGCAGACTCTCCTTCGCCATCCCTTCGACCCTTAGAGAGCCGCAAACGACAGCGGTCGCAATCCATGCAGTCCGATACCTCATCATCATCCCAGAAACGCACTCTACCCGATCCTGCCACCCAGGAGAGCTCAGGTCGCAGTCCGCGTGCTGAACAGATGTCTGCCCTATCGCTTTCTGACCCGAATCACGCCATCGACACCGACATGGAAGAACCCATAACGGTAAATACTCCAACATTCGCTGCGACACCGCCTGCAGAAAAACTCGAGACCATTAACAAGATTTGCGTCAAGAAGATGCAGGCCGGAGAGACCTGGTACCTCGTCAGCAAGGAGTGGTGGGAGAAATGGCGCAAGGCCTGTTTAGGGACCGTCGACAAAGAGGGATCTCACCGAGAGGAGGACCTCGGCGCAGTGAACAATTCTTTTCTTATCGATGAGTATGGCAATCTGAGGTCACCCTCTATCGAGGCTTACGACGTGGAATTCATTCCGCAGGAAGCATGGGACCAATTTGTTGCCTGGTGAGTGAGTTTTCTTATGGTGCGTACGCCGGCTGTATGCCCTTCAAGTGGCAAAGCTTGATTCTTCAATGCCGTACCTCGCTCTGGTTTTTCTTTCTCATCTCGCATTCTATAGGTATGGTGAACCACAATATGTACTACCTCGAAAAGCCATTCTACGTTCCAACGAAGTCGCATTGGAGCTTCAACCGCCCCGCCTCAGGGTCCTTCGTCTCGCACAGACTGAAGTTCTTCCCGACCTCGATGCCCCCTCTCACCCATATGTCACGCTTTCTATTCAAGATACGCTTAAAACGCTCTGCGAGCGTTTGGCCAGTGCCGTTGCTCCTGAGTCTCCTGTCCCGCTACCCGAGTATCGTGTGTGGAAAGTTGAACCATCTGGTGATGACTTTAATCATCCAGAATACCCGCTGTCCGAATTTAACATCAACCGCGGGACATCGGTAAAACCCACTGACGAGGCTTTGGGAGACAAGCTTATTGATACAGACGACGCGTTTGTAGTGGAATTCAAGCGAGGGAGCGGGTGGCTCTCGGATACACCCATAAAATCCAACACTTCCACGGTGGCGTTTGAGCCTGAGTCCAAGCCCCTTTTCCCTTCCAACGATAGTTTTTTCAATCGGATGGGCAATAACTACAACATGACAGTGACGAAAACAATGACGCGTACAACGGTGGATGATTATTATGTTTCCTCCTCTCAGTCGAAGCCAAACGGCAGGCTTCATAGTATAGTAGATCCGGGGACGTTGGGGTTGGGTAATATGTAAGTGTTTTCTTCCTTCCCTAGTGACTTACGAAACTCACTACATGCTCAGGGGAAATACTTGTTTCATGAATTCTGCACTACAGTGTTTAGCACACACCAAAGAGCTTGCTGAATACTTCTTAAGTACGTCAATCCTTCTTATACCTGCCTCAAACTAACATGAAATCGGAAGCCGGCGTTTTCAAAGACGAACTCAATCCTGATAATCCCCTTGGCATGCATGGAGCAATCGCTGAGGCTTTCGGTGCACTTTTAGACCGCATCTGGGACAAGAATGGAACAGCATCATCTTATTCCCCTCGCGACTTTAAATCCCAGCTCCAGCGTTTCGCGCCTCAGTTCAGTGGCTACCAACAGCATGATTCTCAAGAGCTAGTAGCATTTCTTCTCGACGGCCTGCATGAAGACTTGAACCGAGTGTTAAAGAAGCCATATGTCGAAAACCCTGATTGGGAAGGTGGAGGTGATATTGAGCTTGTTCAGTTAGCCAAAAGATCTTGGGAGGGTTACAAGAGGCGAAACGATAGCGTCATCGTCGATTTGTTTCAGGGTCAATACCAAAGCACTCTCGTTTGTCCGGAATGCAAGAAGGTTAGTTGGATTATTTTATGACTTCCTCAGCTGGTTAATGTTTGCGTCAGGTTTCCATTACATTCGATCCTTTCATGTATTTGACACTTCCACTGCCCGTAAAGAAGTGGAAACATACAATTTTGTATATCCCCTGGGATGTTCAGAAGCCTCACGTAAAGGTAAGCGTGTTCACATTGCTTTCGTGTTTCTCTTTTTCACGGGACCGTATTAGATACCTGTAGAGTTAGGACCAGATGCCTCATTAAGGGACTTGCGAGTTCTCCTCGGTAGATGGATGGGCGTGAATCCTGATCACGTAGGCGTTACATCATTCTTTCCTTTGCATCGCTAATATCACTATCCTCAGCTTCTTACTCTCGAAACATTCCAACACAAATTCTACAAAAACCTGAATGATTCAGTGCTCTGCGGCGAAGTACAGGATAACGATGTGGTAGTTTGCTATGAGCTGCCATGCCATGCGCAACAAAGCCGAACGTACCAAAAGCAGCCGGATGACCCCTTCATTGTCCCCATGTTCTTCGCGGATGCTCATGCTGCATCTACATCTTTTAAGCCCAGCTACGGTCGCGGAGATGGATACTTCGGGCACCCTTCGATCATGGTCCTTGAGAGAGAGCAGGCTAAAAGTGTTGATCTCATGTATAACGCGGCAATTGAGCGGCTACAGCGGTGGACTGTGAATACCCGCGATCTGTATGATTGGCAGGGCGAAAATTCCAAAGGCTCCGTCGCTGATCCTATCCAGATTAGTGGTCCCCAATTGACCGATTCGCTTACCGAAATTCATGAAGATGGTGATGTTATGGTCCAGGACGTTGGCATCGAAGAGGGCGACATAGTTGACGCCAAGAGCATGGATATTGGAGAAGATGACGACTTGATGAGTGACGACGGGTCGCAATCCAAATCCGACGTGGAACCTGTTAAAGTCGGTCCTAAAAAGGGCATCTTCATGTTACGCTTGAAACCCGATTTCAAGGACTATGTGTCTGCTCAGGCTGGCTACTACCAGAAGAAGACTTATGAATCCTGGGACAAGAGGGAAGAGGACATTGACAACGGACCCGTGCTGCTCCGCGAGAATGACGCTCTGTTCTGCGAGTTTGACGAAAATATGAAGGCATATTACTTCGGTGAGGATCGGAGGCAGTTTGAACACGCCCGATGGGATACTTGGGGGATGTACGTTCATCCAGAGTACCGGAAAGCACAGGAGGCGTCAGCCGGGAAAAAGCCGAGGGACATCTCGTTGCAAGATTGTCTCGACGAGTTCACTAAGGAGGAGCGTCTCAGCGAAGATGACCTGTGGTATTGTCCTAAATGTAAGAAACACCAACAGGCCTCGAAGAAGTTTGATATCTGGAGGGTACCGGATGTGCTCGTCGTTCATCTTAAGCGCTTCAGCAACAACCGAACCCTTCGCGATAAGATCGATTCGTTTGTGGACTTTCCTGTTGAGGGTTTAGATTTGACAGCGATGGCTGGGGAACGGACTGCTGCTAAGAGGCTTGTTGATAATGGTGTCACAATGGACACCCTAGAACTCGGCAACCTGGACGAGCCTTTGGTATACGATCTTTTTGGAGTCGACGAGCACATGGGTGGGCTTGGAGGAGGTCACTACCGTGCCTATGCGATGAACCACCTCACTGATCTATGGCATCATTTTGATGATTCATATGTAACGGTGGCCCGCGCGACAGATGCTGTAGTGAGTAATAACACTGTTTTTGTCATTGGTCTATTGATGACCTCTTTTAATTCAGAATGCCAACGCTTATCTGCTTTTCTATCGGCGTCGAACATCTTCTCCGTTGGGTGGGAAAACCCATGCGAAAGTGGAAGCCGCTCGTTTGAATCTCACTAAAGAGGATGAGAGCGTTGAGGCAAACACCACGGTGGATACACAGTTGCCGACACCTCCTAACGAAGAGGATACCTACTCTGGCACTGTGTATTCGAAAACGCCCTCATTATCAGATGACTTCACATTGCCGACCGACCGCTGGCGTCCAATCTCGTCTGCCCCATACTCTTTACCCTCGCCCGCAGCTGATGACCCGCCAGGTTTTGACGAATCTATCGACTCTAATGACTTACTCAGCAATTACGATGATCATGCCCTCACGCACTCACGACTAGGCTATAACTTCCCTGATCCCTCTAGTAATGCCTCCCCAACCTCATCCGTAGAGGCTGAAGCCGACCTCGACACCGATCCAGACCTAGAGGATGAGGATTGGCAGGGTTCAGGTTCATCATCCTTTCGTGTCAGAGAGACGTCACCCACTTTGTCAGAGATAGGTCTCGATAGGATGGGCTCTCCCTCTGATTCGAGCCTGTCTGACCTTAATCCTTTTGCCGACGTCCATGGAAATCGACAAGACGAAGAGCTTTCTTTAGCTTCAGCTTCGTAATATGACCATAGACTTCCGTGTAATCTATCGTTGTAATCACGTATTCATTACTCTTCTTTTCGATACTTATTTGCTACACTAGCTGCACACAAATCCAATAATCTGTAATAACAGATGAGTCTTAACTGAGTAAATCAAATCGAGTTGATCCAAATATGGAAGTTGACTAACCACCCTTTCCGCCTACCCTTACGACATACAATATTTCTGTTTCTTGTCATGGCCCGCAGGAAGCGTATCCTGGAAGATGAAGATGATTCAGAAACCTCTGTAGGGTCTGAATCGGGTGGAGAAGGAATGGACGACGAATCATATCACCGGAAACGAAGGCGAAAGGATGGCAAGGAGGATGCGATATATGGTATATTTGGAGACGATAGTGACGAAGAAACCTACCAACGACGGCTGACCAAGAAGAAGCAACCTACGTTTGTCTCACAGAAAAAGACAGAGGATCTGCCTATGGATGTCGATGAAGAGGTCGAGCAGGAGGACGCCGACGCTGCTGGATCCGAGGGTGAGGAAGGTGAGGATCCTCAGGACGTTTCTGACGAGTCTGAACCTTCCAGGCTTCCTTCACCTCGAGTTCGAGATGAGGATGAGGATGACTCGTCATTCATGCCAGCGGTTGGTGGCCTAGGATCCCAGTATTCGGCCTCTGCCAAGGCAGGCATTGGCTCGACTTCCTCGCCACCGTCAAAGGGCGGCATCGGTGCTGGAAAATCGACAACCATTAAATCTGCCTTCTCCAAAGGTCTTACTTCCTCCCCTTTCGCCAAAGGCGGCATTGGCTCCGCAAAATCTACATCTATCGAGACATCCTTCACGACCTCCCAAGCTAGCACATCCACATCCACATCCACATCCACATCCCCTTCCAAAGAACTACCATCAGCCTTTGGCGGTAATCGTTCGACCTCTTTCATACGCAACTCCGGGTTTTCTTCAGAGCCCAGCGTTCTCAGTCATGCAGAGCAGGCACACTTCCAAAATATATCAGGCTCTTTCGGTGCACGAATGCTGGCAAAGATGGGATGGCAGGCGGGCACGGGGCTTGGAACAACTGGAGAAGGCATTGTCACGCCTGTGGAGAGCAAGATGCGGCCTGGAAGGGCTGGTATTGCTTTCCGTGGGTTTAAAGAGAGGACCGAGCAGTCCAAAATGGAAGCGAGAAGGCGAGGTGAGGTTGTCAGTGACGACGAAGAGGATGTGAAGGTGAAGAAAGCCAGGAAGGGAGAGATGGCAGCCAAGGAGAAAAGGTCTGCCGTTTGGAAGAACCCTAAAAAGATCAAGACCAAGATAGAACACAAGACCTACGAGGAGATCCTTGCAAACGCTGGAGAGGGTGTTTTGTCGGTGCCTAATGTTGGCCAAATTATTGATGCTACAGGAGCGGTCGTATGTCAATTTATTTCATACTCTTGTTCGAGGTCTTACCTGTATTTTCGCAGCCTCGAGAAGTCAGCTCCCTAGCCGACATCTCTCTGAATACTTGGTCTCCGTCAAATGATCCTACGCGAATACCTGAAGTTCGCCATAACATCAGACTGATAGCTGATGCCTGTAAGAGTGACCTTGATGGATTAGCAAGGGAGGCGAAATCTTTGGATGACAGGAAGAAGTGGATTGTCAAAGAGGATGTACGGCTGCGGAAGAGAGTCGAAGATGAAGCTGAACGTGAGTACTCGATCATTTTTATCCGTTCAGATTCTAACCCATACATAGTCATTGCCCGTTTGCAGCAAGTGCAGCTTGTGGCTAACGAATTCGATGCCAAATCCAAAGAGCTCGCGAGTACTTATGAAGTATCACTTGACCCCTTCTCTCCCTTGGTTTACCGGCTTTTGAGCGAGTATTCGAACGAGTTTGACAAATATCGGCTGGATGAAATTGTTGTCGCGGCCATAGCACCTTCAGTGAATATCATTTCTGTTGAGTTTGTAAAGTATGTTACTGATCCGTTTTCCAGGTGCGACGAATGGTGTCCCAGTGGGATCCATTACAGGATCCTACCTTTCTTATTTCCACTTTTCGGAGTTGGCAGCGTGCTCTACGTGTGAACTCACCGCCGGAGAAACCCCAAACCCAGGTTGACGTCTATGGAACGCAAGGGACTAGGGCACCCGTCATCGAACCGTGAGTTGTAGTATTGGCACGTTGAATTTCTCACCAACTGGCTTGGTACAGTGAAAAACCTATGACTCCCTTCGAAAGTCTCCTATGGTGTGTATGGCTTCCGCGGGTTCGTACATCCATCAACAACGAATGGTCTGCGCAAAGTCCTGGTTCCGCTGTCAAGCTTTACGAGGCGTGGTCCTCTTTCTTACCGACATTCATCTCTGACAATTTTCTTGATCAGTTGATCTTACCGAAAGTTCAGAAGGCTGTATCGACTTGGCGTCACAAGCAAGATACAGTGACTCTCCAAGCAATTGTATTCCCTTGGCTTCCTCATGTAGGCCTCCGTTTAGAGGAAGTCATTGGTGACGCCAGGCGCAAAGTCAAGAACCTACTCCGTAGTTGGATGGCGGGCGATGACATCCCAAAAGATCTCATTGCTTGGAAAGATGTATGAAGCGTTTTCTTCAGTGATTCTTCATTTGCTAATTACGGGTACTACAGGTATTTGATTCAAGCGACTGGGATAGCATCCTCCTGAAATATGTCGTGCCTAAACTAGGCTCGACTTTGAGAAATGACTTCCGCATCAACCCACGAAATCAACAAATGGAACCACTACAACACGTCCTTCACTGGTCGGAATTTATCCGGTCTAACATCTTTTCACAGCTACTTGAGACAGAATTCTTTCCAAAGTGGCTGGATGTCTTGCACGTCTGGCTTATACAACCGAATGTCAGTTTTGAGGAGGTGGCACAGTGGTATTCGTTCTGGAAAGGCACATTCCCCGAGGATGTTCAAAGCATGCCGGGAGTTTCACGCGGGTTCACGCGTGGACTGCAGTTAATGAACAAAGCCATTGAACTAGGACCCGATGCACCCACACGCCTGCCTAGACCCGACTTCCGTGCAGAAGTTGCGTCTGACACTCCCTCGGCACGTAACGGGACGTCGAAAACACAACCAAGGCCGTCAGCTAGGACACAAGAAATCACGTTCCGCTCCATTGTGGAGGAGTTCGCTGCGTCTCATAACCTCTTATTCATACCAACCGGTCGCGCACATGAGAAATCGAGGATGCCTCTGTTTCGCGTAAGCCCGTCGGTCGACGGGAAGGGCGGTCTTTTGGTTTACATTCTGGACGATGCTGTGTGGGCGGCGGCGGAAGGTGTTGGAAGTTCTGCAGAGGATTATATGGCTATCCCTTTGGATGCTATGGTTTTACGCGCTAGCACTTGAGACTGTACAAATGTAACTCTTTTTGTTTTCAAAATGGCCGCCTCAGCGGGTGACGAAAAAGGAAAGCTTAGCCGAAGTTAGGGATATAAAGAGGTTTAGAGCGACGGGTACTCATTACCTCCGAGACGTACGGACGGTACTTGGTTACCCGCGAAATGTGAGTGTGGCGGACTTTGAAGGAAGGCCAGAATGTGAAAGGTAATTCTAGAGCCATGCAATACATTTCAGACAGTCGCAAAGATTGCATTCAGACGCCGTCGATCTGCCATTACTCAACGGCAACGCGACGTTGGGCTAGGTTGAGCAACCTGTTTGTCTCCATAATGTTACAGATCACAAGGTGACTGGAAATTACAAAAAAAAAAATAGCAACATGGGGTAAATGGAAAGACAGAGATCAATAGCATTGGTGACGGAACTACTGTCTTTCCTTCTCATATGGTGGTGGCGCCTCATCTTGATCTCTATCCACGTTCAAATTATTCGCCATTTCTGTTGGTCGAGATTCTGCATCCTCCGCGATGGTTTCTGAGCGCCGTTTCCCGGAATTGCGTCGACGTCCGTGCTGAAGCCGACGACCTATTGCATATAACGGATAGCAACAAAAATGGAAAATAGTGAATCCCAAGGCGAAGAGGATCGGGATCATTCCGAAGAGTGCCGATACCACCCATTTCCAGGCTGTGAAACATCCAAGGACAGCTGTCAATGTACATTGTACCATTAGAGTGTTGTAACGTCGCCGCTACATTGCATAATTGGATGTTAACCCACCTCTGTCAAGCTTTTTGGGATTATAATACCTTTTTGTTGTGGAATTGACTGCATGATTTCCTACAAAAGCTTCAGCTTTGCTAGAATCTTGTGAGAAATCCTGCGAATAGGGGACGTTCGATTGGGTAAAGCCATTGTACGGTGAATAGGACATGATGAGGTCGACGGAGTAGCAAGTAGGGCAGCGGAGCATGCATTGACGATGATCAGTAGAATCAGCAATAGCAATTACATCTGAAATTCTCCATTAAGTACACAACGAGAGCGTCAAATAGCCAAGATTGGCGTACGACGTCGTTGTGCATGATTGAGTCCAAGAAGACGGCGACATTGGACCGGAGCAACAGTGGCCACAGCACTGACTACAACAATGGTAGCTTGAATTGAGTAGTGTGGATAATCAATATGTGTACAATACCAAATAATAAAAATCGAACATACCCTCCGTCACAAATAGCCCTGATAGCCTCTGGACAAACAGAGTTGTTCGCTGCGCAGACTGCCAGATTGTAATCATCATTTACTTGATTGATGAGGGCGCCACAGGTTGTTGCGCCAATTAGTGCGCTCGTGAAACAGGTGAACAATCTGAGTAGCAACAATATCGCGTAGAAAGCGTGGCCTTATTGACGGTGCAAGTCGTCAGGGCCAACCATTCCGGATTATTTCTATCACCGGTGAGCATGTAGAGTCAGCGTCAAGTTGATTCGGATACCTTTGTAGTTCAGGCCAAAGAACAAACCAAAAAAGAGGGGAACAGAAAGCATGAGAAGACATAGAAACCAGCCCCAGTGAGGACGTGAATATGCCATGGCGGAGCGCTGTGCAAAAGACACTACTCCTCTTTTTGAATGCAGGACCTTAGACCTTCAACTTAGACTCCCCCGCATCGCCTTGGAATGGTCTCATATAGATCGCTAGCTTGGGACCGCATTATTGCCTCTATGCAGTAATGCGGGCCTGTTAAGTGAAAAGACAAAACTGGCGTACGTAGTAGCGAGCTATGGAACATGTAAATTTGATGATATTGAACTGGGCTGTTAAGTTCAAACTAATGGGGAGTGAGAGAACCAGGGAGTTCGGGAACGTACTGGTCAACCAAATCTTTAGATGAAGTCACTTTTGAAGAACCAGGCAAGATTGACGTCGCGGGAATTCGCATTCCTAGCTCGACATTCTGAGCGGATCAATCCCCAATATGGGCATTTCTCAGCTAAAGGCTGGTAATTTTTGCACATTATTACCATTCTAATTTAGGTCGTTCTAAAATAGTGTCTGGGGCAGGCTTTACTTCTCTGACTTGAACTACCATCATCGCTGCCAGCCGCTGATTCTCCTGAAGATAATTCTACGAGCTTCTGTTCTTCGTTGCCATCAATGATTTTTTTGTAACGTCGCCAGCTGCAAAAGCACCGTTGCCCTGCCGGGTCTGGGACCAACGTCCAAAAGACAAGGATAGGCGCTTTTATACGGTTCCATTCCCGCCGATCACAAGCAAGAAAACAATAAGGCAGGGCATGATTCCTATCTTATCGTGCCGTAATGCTCACGTCAGAAGAAATTGCCATTTGCTTCCGTCCGACCATCTTCTTTTCGTTGATTCCCTTTTCCACTTAACTACGCACCTATCACCGGTCCAGGGCACTCAAGACTTATATAAGTAAACCGTTGCTAATTGTGCAGTAGCAGCGTGCGATTTTTTATTGTAATTCTCCTTCATAAAGGCGACCGCCCTTCGTTCAGGTCCTGTTCGCCTTCATATCTGTGATGATTCGATGCATCGCCGCCGTTCTGGCCTTCGCGAGTCCCTTCGCAAGGGTCTTCGCAGATACTCTCCCAAGCTCATACCCCCATGTTTATTCCAACGAACCGTCCACTAACCTTGGTCCTGATTGGCAGAGCTGCAAGTATTTCATTTTACAATTTTGCAAACTTTCCACTAATTTGTCTTCAGATTTTGAAGTAACGGAGTCCCTACCTAATGTTACATTTGATGTGTCGCGTAACTTTGCTGGAAATATTGCTGTTCAACGCGAAGGACATCCCAATAATACACTCTTCTTCTGGGCTTTCGAAAAAGAGGAAGGCTCGCTTACTGCGGACGCCAACAGCAGCAGCACGGAACCGTGGGGCATATGGTTGAACGGAGGCCCGGGATCATCGAGTATGTACGGCCTTCTCTTTGGTGTGAGTATTCCATCTTTTCCCCGCGTTTCGTGCTCACTAAGTCTTAGAACGGACCTATAAATATTGCTAGCGATTACAGTGCGTTGGTCAACAATTATACATGGGCAGACGTCGCGGACTACGTGTGGATCGACCAGCCGGTGTAAGTCTAGCGGGATCTTCCTCCCCCGAATTTGTAAATTCACTTGTTGCAGAGGTGTCGGATTTGCGACTGCAGATGCTGATGGATATGGTGCGTTCCGAACACGGCTGTCCCTCAATACATCATTGATTGACACACAATTTTTGCCACAGCCCCCAACGAAGACCAAGTGGGAGAGGACTTTATGGGATTCCTGGAGAACTTCGTTAAGGTCTTTCCGAGCCTTGCCACAAGACCCCTTTATATTACAGGGGAAAGCTATGCTGGCGTTTATATAGTAGGTTCCTTATCAAAAATTTTATGCCAGCATTCTGATAATTTCTCTCTATAGCCGTACATCATGAAAACGTACTTTTCTATGTCTAATGCCCCCGTCAATCTTGCCGGAGTGGGAATCGGGAACGGTGCAATCACTTCTGGTCAAGTATTTGAGCTATTACCTGCCGTAAGTACATCGAATTGTGGGCAAGGACTCTGAAACATCATCTCTCAGCTTGATACCATCCAAACATACCCTCAGTTGATCGGTTACGACCCCGAAGTGTACAAATACTTTGAGGAGCAGTGCGTACTGTTCGATCACATTGTATTCAGGGATTAAATATTCCACAGGAGTAAATTATGTGGATACGATGTCAATCTCACCTATCCTCAAGGAGGCATCATTCCGAGTGTCCCGCTGACTTTGCCCACGGATCGTGACGTCGTTTTTCTCCTTTCGGAGATGAGGATGCGATCATTCAAATCTCAGCTGCTTTCAAAGCTGTCGGCCCGAGCTGATGAGGTGCATACATTAACCCGACGTGAGGAATGGAAGAGGGACCTTACTGGAAGAGCGAATGGGTCCATCGATTCTTGGGTGCGTTAGTATTCTTTATCAAATTAGAAAGGTTCTTGATCAATTCATAGTATGGTTGCCTGCTTCTGGATGAATTCATTGACTACGCCCTCAACTACACATACCCCTGGAGTAAGCCGAGGTTGTGATAGCCTCCGATAATCATCCTTAACGGCCTCTTTGCAGATATCAGTCAGACGTTCGATGTGACTGAACCACTGTGATCTCCGTTGTACTAGCTGACCTGATGTTCATAGGTGTATAATATACAGGATGCGCTCAACCCCGAAGTGACCACAGATGCAACTGTGTTCCTGAATGGTCAGCGATTTTAAGCATCAAAGGATCATGTAGCTGAATTAAATTTACATATCCAGATAATCAGACCAGGACTGCACTTCACGCACCCACAAGCAAGGACTGGGCTCTCAGTTTTGAATACACATTCGGCCAAAGCGGTACGTGACGATCGATTAACATTTCTTACGGTCTTGCTAAGTTGCCTTTTCAGGCTCTGCTGACCCGAGTGAGCGTTCACCGATTATTGAGGCGTACGAGACTCATTTCGCCCTTTCTTCTTTCCAGGTCCCGAGTACGGCGTTCCCCCCAATAAGGTCGCAAATGAGACTGAGAGACTTTTATTAGGCCGATGGTGTTCTTGACGGAGCTCGCAACCAATGCTACAGCGCAGAATATCACCATCGTCCTGTATTCAGGCAATGACGATTCTCTCATTGCACACCGTGGAACAGAAAGTATGTCGCAAAGTATGTTTCCCTGATCTAACGGACTTATTCCCCAATCTCTGGATAGTTGCCATTCAGGTAAATCTCCTGTCATCGGCAGAATCCGACTTGATTTTTCTATGCAGAATACTACATTTGGAGGGATCCAAGGATTTACAAAGAAGCCATCGACACCCTGGTACAATGAGTCAGGCTCTTTTGCTGGTATTGTACATCAGGAGAGAGGCTGGAAATATGTCTTGGTCCATGGAGCTGGACACCTGGTTCCAACAGACGCGCCTGATGCTGTACGTCTTTTCACCGGGCTTTGATAGAAACAAGGCGCTAATGAATTCGATGAAGGCCTTCGTTCTTGCTCGAGACTTTATTTTCGGCAGTAACGAGACTGGCCTGGTGGACGGTGACCGTGTAGTCGGGGGGGAAAATTCGACGTTAGCTATTGACGTTTTGCCTGGTGGAGATGAAATTTATTATGGCGTCGGTGCTACCCAGTCGACATACATATACCCTTCGGCAACGCGATCCGCCTGGGAGGCATTCATCCAAACGGCCACTGCCGCTGCTAGCGCGATTTCACAGAGCCAGAATAACGGCTGTGGTGTGCAACAAGTTAAGAGGACCAGCAAGTTTGGATGGGCGGTGTCTATGATTACTATCTTATGTTGGATACTTTAGATGATCCTTGACGAGCCGACAAGTTGTTCGTGTATGCTTTTGTCGCTGGTCGTACTTTATTTTCTTATTTTAGTGTTATCATGTTGATCCTGTGAAAACAATGTAACTACTATAAAAAATCCGTACGGGCGCGGTGCAGACAAAAACATCCGAAACTCAACTGGAGTATTTACATTCGACGAGCATGCACTGAATAGTAGACCGCGACGAGGCCTTCGGTATTAAGTATTTCAGATCTAGCATCAGCGTAAAGGTGATCCAGATCACTTGCATTCATCCCGTGTCCTAGAATGACCGGTCGCACAGATTCCATGTACCTGGAAAGGACCGTACGGAATGCCTTCCCTATTCTCTGCATGATATGATCGGTACTCCATGGCCCAATAGGAAAGTAGTGAGTTTGGGACGTGATCTCAGAGAATCCCCCTGTACTTTGAAGAATAGTGTGTACAGTCCCTGCTACGGGGAGGATCCCGCGCTGAGCCAGCGCACCATGGAGAATTTGGAAAAAACGGCAAAAAGAGGGCGTCTGTAAGGAAGGATCGGAGTCGTAGTTGGGGTGGAAAGATGGATGCCGACCCCACTCTCCGGAAATGAAGACCCCGCCCGGGCGGAGAATACGACTTACTTCTCGAACGATTTCGCCGTAATCACGAACCTGGAAAAATTATGGATCAGGATCGGCTCTGTGATGGAGCGGATATGAGTAGGACTGACTGTCATGGAGACAGATCTTGCATGTACTAAATCAATACTACTGCCTTGGTACCTGGTACGTTCGCCCATGTCATGAAGTTCGAAGGTGACGTTGGGGAGCGGATACCGGGTAGCGATTGGAACTGAAAAAAGAGATGTCAGCGAATGAGATGTACATATTGAGGCGGGTGGTGAGATTATGGTACCAATATCAAAGCCGTAAAAGCGAACGTGAGGATATTGTTCAGCCATTTCCATGACCCTACAGGTCGACGTCGTTTTATTAGATAAAATATTAATTTTATCAAAAAAGGATTTACCATTTTCCGGTCCCGGTACACATATCAACAACGATTTTCTGGCGCCTGGATTCTGGCATTAGGAGTTCAGGGACTGGACCCACATAGTGTGCTCCTAGCACGTGGAACAGAGCATTGTGTTGGACATTGAGCCTCTGAGATAGGCACAGACAATCAATCAGTGCATGCAGACAAGATTGCCGGATGATATTACCTGTTGTTCCGGGGTATCGACTGGTAAAGGATACGGACATGTGGCCGAAGAATGGAAGAGACGCCCATTGCGCTCGACAAAATAATCGGAGAATTCGTCCGAACGCAATTCCACAACGTCAGAATCATACGAACCAGAGGAATCGTCATCAGCGGAGTTGGAGTAGACATCTTGGATATGTCCTGGCATTCTGAGAGGTGCTAGAGAATAAGAAAACGTCACAGCAGGTAGTTATATGTCAGAAAGTTCTGCGGAACGCATGTAGGTCCCTGCTTGCTTTGTGTACAATTATTGACGGGGACGGGGCGAGTGAGAGGGATGCCGTCGCTGGGGTGTAAACCAGAAACTACTATTCTGGCAAGTACGAGTACAATCTCAAAACGATTAGCACACATCAACATTCTTCTTCTGATCAGGGACAAGAGAATATTGATCACATAGGATAGGCGTGCCAGCTCTCAAGCGGAACATTCTCCGAAAAAGAACTTTGCCAGTGAACATTGTGGGGCGGAAATTATTCGTAACAAAGAGGCGGCAGGCGTGAGGGTGCCCGTGTACGACCTGTACGACCTTGATTTGGAGCGATCCAGATTCGCAGTGGGGACGTTGCCGCATGGCCGCCGGCTGGATATAGGAAGAGGGATGCCTTTGCTGCAAATGATTATCGATATCGAAGCGGACGTGTCCGTGATAATACCATGTATATGATATACTCTTGCGGGCCGAATCATTACCGAATCCGGCATCTCTATTTATCACGTGATATTCATTGGCGCGTCGTGTGCCTCTGTTTACATTTTGATGTCTCATAATAGCCCGATCATCATTTCCTCCGCTCTTGTCCTCTTACTCTCATCATCTTTATGTTTCGTTCACCTCACCGTTATTAATCTTCGGCGATGAATCGTGATTTCTCTGTTTTTTTTGCCGAGCAAGACCAACACATGGGTCTATCTCGTGATGCGTTCCAACAATACTTGTCTCAGAAATCATCCCTGTTTAATACAAGGTGCAGAAGCTTTCAATAAACACTCAACTTGCCCTCATGTGTCAGACAGTGGTGATATAGCTCCTCATCCACCGTCGACTTCATTGATGCCTTCATCTATCCAAGCCAGAACCTCTGACATTACGCCAGAGCCTAGCAAAGGCCCTAAGCTTATGGACGTGGAACCGGCTGATATATCTCCCAGGTGGCGCTCTCTTTTAGTGTTTCTTATCATTTCTCATCCCGCACTCTCAGGGAAAAGCGCAAGGAAATGTCAGAGTCAGTTGAACCAAGCCCTTTGCGGAGTAAGCGGCGCAGAAAAACAGCAGGGGACAAGAATGAACACACACCTCCAAGTTCAGGCTCACCGACGGTTTCTGGACCAATGAGGTCAGCTCCTCCGTCATTCAGCTGCGCCGCGATTTCAATGGTCGAGGGAAGTTCGTCTTCGCCTGTGGCGTATGCTAGCCATTCCGAACAAGTCTCGTTGTCGTCAATCGCTAAGCCGCCGGAAACTCCCGTGTCCTCATCTATATCTGAAGCACGGCGTGCTCCTGGGACCAAGCTCACGCGCTCATCTTCCATCGAAGAAATATTCAAGTCAGTCGATCAATGATTCCGGCTTTTCTCCCCTGTTCACTTCATCTCCGCTCAGGGATTCTTTTGATCAAGGAAAAAAGATCGCAAAGACCAAGCAACAAACGACTAACAAGACATTCGACGCGCGCAAGCAACATGCAACACATCAGGCCGACATCAAAGGGCCGGCATCTGCTTCGACGCCTGTCGGTGATCATCTGGTTCTAGAGACTTCTGGCAAAAGCTCTCGAATAACAAGCTCAAGTGTTCTGGAACTTGATATAGCTAGACGTGTTGCCAACCATGCTAGTAAGAGTCGACAACCGAAAGTGCACAAAGCTTCGGCTCTCGGTAATACACCATCTTCCCTTTCTCTCAACTTTATACCTGTAGTCCAAAATTCGTCTTCACCGCGACTCTCGACTGTGAACAAGAGACGGAACAACGTCAGTAAATCTGAATCTGCCAAAGCGGGGAAGGCCGCTAAAAGTGAGAAGATAAAAATGTCTCCCGCGGAATTGGCTGTACATCTCATGGAGAACCAAAAACTTTTGGATGCCGACCCCAAGAAGAAGAAAGTCACCAAATTCTTGACTGGAATGAACATATATTTTTGTGGCGGAGACCGAGAACATGCTTTAGAAAGAACTCAGAGTTGCATGAAAATAGTGAGTCAGTCGACCCCTGTTTACGACTATCACTCACCCGTTCTTTAGTTAGTGAAATTTGGCGCCAATTTACAGCCACACTTCGATCCCAATATTGTTACGCACATCATTGTTTCCCCTACGTGCTCGTTGGGAACATTACTTAGCAAATGTGGACTACGCAGGATAAGTGACATCCCTGACCATGTCCCAACCTTGAAATGGGACTGGGTCTCTCGCTGCATTGGAACAGCCGAGAAAGGGCCTAACCGCAACGTAAGATTACCGTCATATGATCGTTTTCCAGCCTACTATGAGCGGTTTCATGCTGGCCTTGAAGGCTACACTGCATCAGGCGAAAAGATCGGTCAAGCACCATCGAAACGTCCCATGAAGTGGGTCTTCATCTACATGCCTTCTTACTTGTTTTCAATAGCGCTTTCTATCTTCTTAGTAGCCGAGAAGCCGTGCATGATTCAGAATCAGAAGATGAAGCGGAATTGTCCGAGGATGAAGTGAAGGACACTACTCCTGCTTCCAAGCTCTGTGTCTCGGTCTCGAAACCTTTCAAGGTGTCGAAAGACGATCCTCTTGCGGAATATTATGACCAGGCAAGAGCCGAGCATGAGAATCAGGTTAGCCCAGGACGTTACCGTTCAGCCGTTAATCGACTGTTTCTTATGCCTGCCTAGTGGACACGCTACGGCGAAGCCGAAGATTCAGAACCCGAAGACGATCAGCTCGAAACGGATACGGAGTCGGATCATAAACCTGCTCGACCGATGAAACGGGTAGGCTGATGTAGCATGAAATGCCCGGCTAAAAGTCTTACAAGACCGTCTTAGGGTTATGCCTGCGATGATAAAGGGATGCAAGTGAGACAAAATTGTCCTAACCAAGACGTCGTCGATCTGGTAATGCTATTTGCATTTTTGAAATGGTGTCGGACTAACGTTTCGTAGCTTTCCGAACTTAAGGACCTTCATGCGGCGAAAGCAGGGCCTGATGAACACTGGAGAGTCCTAACTTACAACAGAGGTATGTTCCGCGTTTCAAGTGTTTGCTGTTGTAATGATTGGTTCTAGCAATTTCGGTTATACGCGCGTATCCTAAGCGTATGCAGAGCATGAATGAAATACTTTCTCTTCGAGGCATTGGTCAGAAAACCGGACAGAAGGTGGGTCTGCCATATGATGAAATTGCTTGTTTTCACTTAACAATGTCAAGATCTCGGAGATCTTGGCAACAGGACGTCTTCAGAGAATTAAATATGAAACGACGGACGAAGTCCTTGTGTCTCGTATCTTTCAGGGTATCTACGGTGTTGGTAAGTCTTGATATCATCCTCTTTTCCACTGAGAGAAATTGAGCGCTGTTAAGGCCGCACGATCTCTCTGCGATGGTACGCTGCGGGATGTCGTTCCCTGGACGATCTCAGGACGGAGAAATACCGGTCTCTGCTATCTGACGTTCAAAGGATCGGCCTCGAATATTATGGCGGTAACCTTTCGTTTCTTAGTTTGAATACAGGAAATTGACGTATATGTCAGACATCAATAGCCGCATGCCCCGCGAAGAAGCGAAAGCACTGTTTGACTTAATCAAGCCCATAGGTGATTTGTCAATCTGTAAGTTTGGATGAATGAATATATGACCAAACCCATCTAGCATTATCCATTGATCCTAATCTCTTTGTCGAGATCATGGGGAGTTATCGACGAGGAAAGGCGGATTGTGGCGACATCGACATCATGATCACTAGGTGTCCTGACGACGGCACGACGCATGCTGGTGGGTAAAGACCTTGTTATCGGGATATGTCTGGACCGACCAGAGAATATAGGTGTGCTCGGCAAGTTGCTAAAGAAACTCCATGAAGCAGATATAGTAACGGAGGATTTGGCGCTTCCGGAAAGCACTTACGATCTAGAGGCGATTTATCGTGGTCTTTGTCAGCTTCCACAAAAAGGTTCGCGTCGAAGACGTATCGATTTTTTGACTATCCCTTGGAATTCAAGAGGTGCAGCCCTACTTTATTACACAGTACGTCAACGTGCACTTGTTTTGTTAGAACGATGCTGATCGTCAACTGATTCTCATAGGGAGATGATATTGTGCGGCCTCTATATCTGAAGCCAACCATTGTCATATTCACTGATGATGTTGCTTCAGTTCAACCGGGCTATGCGGCTCAAGGCCAATCGGATGGGATATTCTCTGAACCAGAGGGGTTTGTGGGAGGGGGTGGTACGTGATCCAAGCAACCGCACGAAAAAGTTGAACACCGGTGCGTTTCCACCGACAATCGAGGAGTTCGCGAAGCTCTAAAAATTGTCCGCAGGTTCCATAAAGGCATCGGAGACCGAGGAAGAAATTTTTAAGATCTTAAATGTGCCATACCAGGAGCCCTACGAGAGAGTCCGGAATTTTGCTTAATTATTTCAAGTTGTGTGCTGCCCTAGCTAAAATGACATCATCCGTCGCTGGGTGGATGCGGGGACTGTGCGGGTGGCCGGCACGGTGATGGTATCACATCGTTAGCGAATGCATGCGTCCAAGGGTAGCAATAATAACTTCGATAAAGCAGGAGTGCGCGTCGAAATGTAGCCTTTTTCTCGCTAGCAACTACTTAGTGTTCCCCCCCCCCCCCCGGAAATTTCCATGTTGGAATTCAGTACTCTTTGGAGTTCCATGGGCGAGTTAGAGGCCAGTAAGAATTCGAATGCGTTTTCGGATTGAAGTCTATAGTCTTGGTGATACAAAGGTCGTGATGGTCACTCGTGTGACGCCTGTAACGGTGCAACCCTAGCAGCACCCATTTCACTGTATTTCTAGCTGAACGTCGTCAACGACGACGGCGTTAACCATGGATGGAGCGCCAGACAAGCGGCATGCAGCCTATCAGTCGATTTTCGGGCGGCCTACCCACCACCAACCGCCCCCCCCACCACAATATTATCCTCAATATCAGGACCGGCGTACTTCATATGTTTCTTACCACCACCAGCAGCCGCCCAATGCGCAATATATATACAGGCAACCACCGCCAATGCAATACGGGTATCCACATGCCCCTTCTGGATCGTCCTTGGCCCCCCCGACGGGCATCACTCGCGCGAGATCTGTCGCCAGCAACCCGAATGGCATGGGCGTCATCGTTCCTCTGCCAGAAGAGCCGCCAGATCCTAGCCTCGACGCATTAACAAGGTCTGGTCTTACTCCAGCTCAGGCATACCAGGCCCAGGTCTATCTGAATGGTCCAAAGCATTACCAGGCGTCTCCCATGCCCCAGAGTCGCACTCCTGATCCACCAAGGCTCGGAATCCCCGTTGATGGTTCTCGACTCAACGTTGATTTTTCCAACTTGAGTGATGCCGGAACTGATGACAGCAGTGAGCTTCCGTGGGCTCGCAAGGGTCCAAGTAAGTCCACGCTTTCTGTCTTATTCTGATCCTTCTTCAATGTTTCATTGTTTCAGCACCTTCTCCCCCCATACCGCCTCATCATCACAGCCGCTTTTCCCATGGGTCGTCCGAGAGTCCATTTCCTCTTCATGTCGACACACACTCTGCCCAGTCCATCCGTTCCTCAGTCACCAGTGCCTCTCCTTCTTCATTTACAATGGTCGAACATCCTTCTATGGAAGAATCTACAGTCTCCACTGTAACTGTCCGCAGGTCATCCGAATCTGCTCATATTCCTCGCGTCGGCGGTCCCCGCCGTGAACGGACTCCACAAGATCGTTCCATGTCCATGTCTGCGGCGACGACATCGGTGCGCAACTCCGTGACTCGTCCTCCCATTCCGTCTCATAAGGAAGGGCGGGATTCTCCAAACTCTATTCGTGTCCCTAAGAAGTCCCCCATCGTCTACCCTGCCCTCCTTTCCCGCGTTGCTGAAGCCTTCCGAGATCGTATAACCTTAGGCGACCGTATCAAGGATGGACTGGAGTACAAAGAGGCGTTCGACGGACGTGAAGCGGTCGATAAGATCGCCTACATAATCAAAACAACAGACAGGAATCTTGCCTTACTGTTAGGGCGTGCTCTCGATGCTCAGAAGTTCTTCCACGATGTCACCTATGACCACCGTCTTCGTGACAGCCCCAACGAGCTTTACAGGTTCAGAACAAAGCTTCCAAGTCCTTTCGTCAGCGGGGAATTAGGTATCAAAAATAACGAGCCTATCATGCCCAAAATTCTCACCGAAGACGAGAATGATTCGTCTCCATCTCCATCTACCTCTATTCCTCTTCCTCGACCGCGTAAAGGTTCGGTGACTTCTGATGAGGTCGAATTACCATCTGGAGTTTTCACCCTTCTCACCGACTGCTATTCCCCCACATGTTCTCGAGATCAGTTGTGTTACAGCATAGCCTGTCCCCGCAGACTTGAACAGCAAGCTCGACTGAATATGAAGCCACAACCTGGTCTATCCAAGCAAATTAGCCGAGAAAGTTTAGGCGACTTGCCCGATGCCGGAACTCTTTGGATTCATTCGGTACCGCAGGAAGTCGTTAACAGTGTTTCTGATCAAGAGAAGAAGAGACAGGAAGCAATCAACGAAGTCATCTACACAGAACGCGACTTTGTGAGGGACATGGAATATCTTCGAGATGTGAGTTGTGAAAAGTTGTTGTAACGCGTACTTACAAGATCTTACAAGATCTGGATTAAACGTCTCCAAGAACATGACGACGTCATTCCACTTGAGCGACGGACGGCTTTCCTGGAACAAGTCTTCTGGAACGTGTTTGACATCATTGCCGTGAATACGCGTCTCCGAGACGCTCTCAACAAACGTCAAAAATCTTATGCCGTGGTGGAGAAGATTGGTGACATCTTATTGGAAGCTGTCCCTCACTTTGGGCCATTCGTGTCGTATGGTGCCCATCAACTCTATGGCAAGTACGAGTTTGAGAAGGAGAAGAACGCGAATGCGGCGTTCGCACAATTTGTTGAGACCACGGAACGATTGCCGGAGTCAAGAAAGTTGGAGCTCAATGCGTATCTCACTAAGCCGACTACTCGATTAGCAAGGTATCCTCTACTGCTAGAGGCTGTTTTGAAACACACGCCTGAGGACAATCCAGACAAGACTTTGCTTCCTGAGGCCATCTCGCTTGTGCGGGAATTTCTGGGTCGTGTCAATACCGAATCGGGCAAGACGGAGAATCGGTTCAATTTGATCCAACTTGATCAGGCATTAGTCTTCAAACCTGGAGAAGAAGTAGTGAGTACTTCGCTCAATATGGTCCTTACAATTTCAGTAATATGGGTCAAAGAATCTTCGACTTCGGGAAGAAGGCCGAGATATGGTTTATAAGGGTCCTCTAAACAAACGCGACGGGGAAATTCAAGTGTACCTATTTGATCACGCATTATTGTTTACGAAATTTGTCAAGACGAAACAGCATGAGCAGGTCAAAGTCTATCGTCGAGTATGTTTTTCCTACCTCCGTGGTTTTCTCTGTTTAACTTGTATGGTATAGCCAATACCTCTCGAACTCCTCCTCATCACCGCATCAGAAGACAGCAACACTGGAAATGGTACCGTTAGACCACGGCAACGTCAAGGTCTCGTCAAGAAGACGTCTTTCAATCGGGACAATCGTGGATCACCTCATGCCCCTTCCATAGTAGTTCGTCCTCCGGAAGGAGCAAAAGGCCAGTACTGGATCAACTTTATCCATTTGGGCCGGAAGTTCTACAATCTCGTCCTATGGTCGAATTCCCAGTTAGGCCAGCGCAAGTGGCTTGAAAATATTTACCAGCAACAGCAAGCCATGCGAGAGCGGAGTACCATTTTTGAGACCATAACGCTGTGCGAGGGCTTTTTTACTGGGGTGAACAAGGTCAATTGCGTGGCTCCATTGAGTGGGGGCAGGAGAATGGCTTATGGGACAGACGACGGGGTTTACATCAGTGATTTAAGGGACATGTCTAAGGATCCCGTAAAAGTATTGGCGCTATTGGAAGTCATGCAACTTGACGTTTTGGAAGCATATCAGCTACTCATCATCCTTTCCGGTACGTGTCCTGCTGTGGTTAGCATGTTTTCAGGTTTAACGGCACTCTTAGAGCGATCAGTGTTTACAGTACCTCTCGATGCCCTGGACCCTATGGATCCTAATGCTGGTATCAAACGGGCGAAGCGCATATCATCCCATACGTCATTCTTTAAAGCAGGATACTGCCTCGGGAAGATGTTGGTGTGCATTGTGAAGTCGACTCAGCTATCTAGTACTTTCAAGACTCTGGAGCCCATAGATCAAAACGTACGTGGGCGGAGCAAGCCGACTTTCAAAAAGTTGATCAATGGAGGTAACGATACATTGAAGCTTTTCAGGGTCGGTACCTTTTACTTACATGGCTTGGAGGAAGCTGATCTCGTGCCCAGGAATTTTACATACCAGTCGAGTCCACGTCGATACACTACCTCAAGACGAAAATGTGTGTTGGGTGCCCTAAGGGCTTCGAGATTGTCGACCTTGAGACGTTAGATACGCAGGGACTTTTGGATCCCAGCGACGAGTCTCTAGAATTTGTTCGAAGGAGGGAGGGTCTGAAGCCTATGGCGATCTATCGCATTCAGAACGAGTTCCTGTTGTGCTATGATGGTGAAAACAGGTCCATTCTATTGCTCGAGTATGCGCTGAATGATGCCTCAGAATTTGCTTTTTATGTCAACAAGTCTGGTCGAATGTCAAGGAAGGACTTTATGGTGCATTGGGAGGGCGTTCCTACCGGATTTGGTGAGCAGTCTATATAAGCCATATGAACTCGAGCTTACGGGGTGAAATCAGCACTGCATGAGCCTTTTGTGCTTGCATTCGAACCGTCGTTTGTGGAAATAAGGCATATAGACACAGGCGCAATGTCGCAAGTCATCCAAGGCTCTAATCTAAAGTTGTTGTTTGCAGACAACCCACCATCCATCATTAACAATGGTGGTGCCTACTACAACTCTTATCCAGCCAGGTACGTTGTAACCGATATGTAAAACCCTACGAACTCACGATTTGTCAGCTACGGGGGTTACGGACAGCAGGCGCAGCAGGTGCCATATCATTCCAACATGAACGTGAATCAGTACAATCGAAATTCGCTAGGCACCGGTCGTGACGAGATACTGATGGTTTCTGACGATCGAGTGTTGGCTCTACGAACAGTCTCAGGAACACAAAGATACATGTCGGATAACGTGTCGATGGCATCACGCGGATCACGGTGACATCTAATTGCTTTTTTCGTTTTCATTTCGTTCGTTGTTGTGCTTTGTTCCTTTGATATTCCTCTTGTCCTATATTAACCTGCACCTGCACATACCTGCTGTTTGTCTGTCATATCAATTCACTCACGTTGTCTTAGGATATATTCTAGTATCTGTATTATCAATCCTAAAATTATTTGGATCACGCGAGCTTACACCTAGCGCTTTCTCAGGTCCATTGTACAAGTCAGGAATTCAAAGAGCTCTGTAGCGACTAATCCGAAAACATTTTAATGATGCTCGGCTGACATCTCTGCCCCGTACCACTTCGATAATTCAAGTCTCCTAGCATTGCCTTCTTCCCCGCGGCGACGAACGAACTCGTGATAGAGAAGATGCCAAGCAATTCTTCTGACCCCTTGAAGTGCCCTGAGTTTCACCGGTAACCCCTAGGAACTGAACGTTCTGCTGCAGAAAGTACATTTCTCTCCCCTGTAGCACCGTATTTGTTGCGGGACGACACAAGTACCTGATGTCAACCTTATATAAGCATAGACAGTTTTGTCCTGAGTCAACGGTCAATTGCCTTTAAGCAATTGACCGTCGTACTCAGTCTGGCCTATTATCCACTGCGTAAAAGTAACCTGCCTGCAACAGGTTATGGGCCCCACGCTTTAAGGCCTATTTCGAGTTTTTTTTTTCCTTCGCATCTTGCCTGTGCCCTGCTATCTCTCCATCAGTCATTTCACTACTGAAACGATATCACCACATACATCATGCCATCCTTCGACACAATCAAAAAAGGCTTCGACAATCTAAATGCCTCCAACTATGGCAAATGGGAAGAAAACATGTCGGCCTTACTCAAAACTCGCCGCGAGTACCTTATCACCATTGGCTGTGACCCTGAACCGGAGTTTGCAGACCCCGAGAAGCCAACATACCAGGAGAGGAAGGACTGAAAGGACTGGAAGGAAACTCAGGTATCAGCTGCTGGCACAATCTACCTCTGCCTTGATGAATCCCAGAAGGCTCATGTCAAGAGCTGTCTTGATGATCCAGAGAGGATGTGGGACACATTAAAGGCACACCATCAGCAAAGAAAACTGGTGACTCGATTTAGCCTACAACAGCTTCTTCAATCTCAAGAAGGAGACAGAAGAATCACTTCCAGACCTTGCCAGTTGGGGCACTCAAATCATGAGTCATATCCATGCTCTGCATCCCACTCATTTTGGTCTCCAGCAGTTAGAAGAAGAGCTTCTCATTATGGCCCTGATTCACGCACTCCCTCAGCCTGAATTTGGAAACTTCGTCACATCGCTATTCCTTCTCTCCGATAAACTCACTCTCAAAGGACTCTGCACTGCATTTCACAATGAAGAAAACAATCAGAAGCTGCATGCTGGTGATCCAGCAGTCTCTGTCACTCTCAAAGCCACACCTTTCCATTCAGCCACAAATCAGGCTACCAATGCCACTGCAAAATGTGGATGGTGCCTTTGTGAGAATCATGCAGAAGAAGAATGTATAACCAAAAAGTTTTCACTTAAACAGGACCATGAACATGCTGCTGACTGTACTGCTGGAAAGCATCATCATAAGAGGGCTGGAAAAAAGGACTTGGAAGCTGCTAACTCTGCTGAGATGAAGGAGAAGACTGCTAGCTAAGCAAGTACTGATTTATCATCACTTGCTATGTCTCATTGGAATACCGATATAGGTGCTTCTCATCATATGACCCTTCACCGACAATGGTTCCAACTCTATGCTCCACATATCATTCTCATTCGTCTTGCAGACAATTCAGTCATTTATTCAGCAGGGATTGGGTCAGTAGTATTGGAGCCAGAGATTCAGGGGGAGAAAGGCTCAGTGATGAAACTTCTTGACACATTACATATATCAGCATTGAAAAGTAATCTCTTATCACCCTATCATCTTACATGGGAAAAGGGATTTAGGATCTCAATCACTGGATCAGATGTCACTTTCAGCTAGGGTGAAAAGATCCAATTCACAGCAACTGTAAATGAGAGCAATATTGGCTATATCAATGCTATCACACATTCATTCTCAAAATCGACCACTATCATTGCAAACTCAAGCTCTACAAGTACCTGCTGGATGGACAACACACTTTGGCACAGATGTTGCTGTCATTAAAACATAGACACTATATGGCACATGCATATAAAGCAGCTAGTAACTGGAATGAAGTGAGAGTCAGGTCCCTCAACTGATCCTATCTGCATACTATGCCTCACTGGCAAACAGCATCGCCACAATATTTCTTATGGCCTCTCAGAGCGGAGGAAACACCTTTTTGAGCAAGTATACAGTGATATCAAAGATCCAATGCCTGTCACAACTCCAGAGGGCTATCACTACTAGATAATATTTATCTGCAGTGCATCTGACACTTGGGCTGTCACACCTCTGAAGTATAAAAGTGATACCTTTAATGCCTTCAAACAGTTCAAAGCATATATAGAGAATACCCACTCAGAACTCAAAATCATTGAGTTTCAGAAAGATAAAGATGGTGAATATATAGGAAAGGAGTTTATCGACTTCTGTGCTGAGCATGAGATCAAAAGACGATATACTGAATCCGATGAACCATACCAGAATGGCATAGCAGAATGAGCCAACTGCACAATTGCAGAGGCCATCACTGCCATGTTAAATGAGTCACATCTCCCACTATTATTTTGGAATCTTGCTCTTCGAGTATTCATTCATATCTAAAATCGCATCCCCACAGATCCTCTTCCAAACACCACACCCTTCACAGAATGGGACCTAAATCACTGAAAACCAGATATATTTCACTTTCATATGTTTGGATATCTTGCATATATGCTAGTACAAAAAAAGAGATGTCGAGCATTAGAGTCACACACCCAAAAATGTATCTTTGTTGGATATTCAGAGGGAGTAAAAGACTGGCTATTCTGGAACCCATCTACACAGCAGTTCATCACCTCCAGCCATGCTGTATTCGATGAGTGTGTATTTCCTGAAAATCACAAAAATATTATAAATCCTCTTGATGACAATACATCTCTCACAAATAGATATAACAGTATAGATACTGCTATACCTGATGCAGCAATGCCTCATCAAGGGGGAGAAAATATACCTACTGATAAGCCATCTCTGCTATCTGAGCAACTCCCATCATTATTATCATCACCATCCTTGCCAGCTCCGTCCACTCTATCAAATATGCAAACATCTTTAGAATCACCTCTTACTCCACTATCAAGTCTTTCAATATCTCCTATATCCTCTTCACCACTTTTACGTCCTCAGGCATGCTTCAAGCCACAATACAACTCTAAAGGTCTTATAATCACATCTCCAAACACTGGACATGGTTTTTGCCATAAACATTCTGGCACTAATATGATGAACTCATCAGACTCAGATGAATCTCTTTCTGATCCTATTGATGAAACCACTGCTGAGCCAGAGCTTACTGAGACAGATGTTGTTGCAGGAATGACCTTTGTATTGCATGATGATGACTATATCACATATACAGAAGCTCTTGAGCTTGCATTTCAGATAGCAGTAGAGATGACAAACCAAGCATCTGCATCTAATAATGAATCAAAAACACTTGCAGAGGTGATGACTCAGCCAGAAGAGGAAAGTGAAAAATGGTATGAGGCAGCTCAGCAGGAATTGAATACACTGTAGGAGTGACACCTTTGAGCTTGTGAAGCTTTCTCCAGGGTGAAAGGCTATAGATAGAAAATGGATCTTCAAAATGAAGCATAACCCTGATGGATCCATTGAATGCTACAAGGCATGCTATGTCACAAAAGAGTACTCACAGCAGCCAGGTTTTAACTACACTGAAACCTTCTCTCCTACTCCAAAATAGACAGCCATCTGAACAGTTCTCACTCTTGCTGCACTTGAGGACCTAGAGCTCTGGAGTGTGGACATCTCATCAGTGTTTCTGAATGGTGATCTAAAAGAAGAGGTATACCTTCAACAATCAGAGGGATTCGAGACAAAGAACAAGAGCTGAGTGCTTCATCTCTTCAAGTCCATCTATAGACTGAAGCAGGCTGGATATGAATGGCACAAAAAGCTCCACAGCACTATAACCAAGATGGACTTTGACAGAGTATGCTGTGAACACAGCATATAGGTGTACAAAAGAGATGATGCTCAGATTATTGTTCTGGTGTTTGTCAATGATGTAACAATTGCTGCAAAGTCCATGGAGTCTGCATGACATGTTATCGATGATCTCAAGAAGCACTTTAAACTTCGTGATCTAGATCCAACTTTATTCCTTCTCGGTGTCGAAATACACAGAGACCGTCTAAACCAAACACTCACACTCTCTCAACTACAGTACATCCAAAAAATCCTAGAATGTATTGGAATGTCTGACTGTAACAGTGTCAGTACTCCTCTTGATCCACACACTAAGCTATCCAGCTCAATGTCTCCTGCTACTCCAGAGGAATGAGAAATCATGTGGCATATCTCATATCTCCAAATCCTTGGCTCTATAGCATATCTGGCCATTGCCACTCATTCTGACATAGCTTTTGCAGTCAGTGTCCTATCATGTTTCAGCAAAAACCCTGGATTGAGGCATTGGGAGACCCTGAAATATCTTCTCAGATACATAAAGAGAACAATCGACCTAAAATTGACATATTCACCTGATGCTACAAACCCAGACCTGTTCAAAACATACACAGATGCAGATCATGGTGGAAACCCAGACAATGGGCACTTGACCTCAGGATATATTGTCAAGATGGGCACAGGTGCAGTCAGCTGGATGAGTCAGCTACAATCTATAGTAACCTTATCGACCACAGAGGCCAAATATATGGCTGCCATCTCTGCTGGACAGGAAATTCTGTGGCTGTGAAACCTGTTTACAGAATTTGGCTTCCATCATCTGTCGCCATCACCACTGCTGATTGACAACCAGTCTGCTCTCTCTGTTGCTCACAATCCTGATCATCATGGTCATATCAAACATCTTGACCTCTGCTTCTACTGGTTATGAGACAAGGTTGAGTGGGGGCACATACATATTGAACATCTTCACACAGAAGACATGCCTGCTGACATCTTCACAAAGGCCTTAGGGAAGGAGAAGATGACTCACATGATCAGGCTGTTGGGTCTTGAACTCTGAGAAGTATTGTGTTGAGGGGGAGTGTTGTGGGATGACACAAGTACCTGATGTCAACCTTATATAAGCATAGACAGTTTTGTCCTGAGTCGACAGTCAATTGCCTTTAAGCAATTGACCATCGTACTCAGGTAAGTAGTAGTCATACGTACCTCTGCCTTCAAGCAATTGACCGTCATACTCAGTCTGGCCTATTATCCACTGCATAAAAGTAACCTGCCTGCAACAGTATTCTTGGTCTACTCATACTTGGTGGGTTTTGGACTGTCCCTTTTTTCCCTATTCTTCCCTGGGATATCAACCTGGTACATTGATACTCAGGAATTCATTGCGAGATAACACGGCGGAGCGGTCCGGGTTCATGGGAACTAATGTCGGTCGCGATTGATGTAGTGATGGCGGGCTGCACTGACGCTCGGTTCAAACTGGAGCTTACTGCGTTCAACGGCTATCTCTCATATGGTAGCAGGCTTATCTCATGGCAGGAAGTCAAATATAAAACAGCTTATCTGCGTCGATGCGATGTCTGCTCACTGCCGACGGATAGTCCACACAGATAACCTTGAGCTCGGCCGACCAAGATAACTTACTACTAAAATTCTACACTTGTCTCCTTCCCCTCCAACCCCTGTGCTTTCCGTGCTTCACATATCTCTCCTTCTTGACTATGTCTATGAATTCAGAAGAACCCAAGTTGCCGAATTACGGCGACAAGGATGTTGAGGTCGTTGCTTATTCCGCTCCCATTGATGATACCGTGGATTTTGAGGAAAAGAAGGAGTTGAAGTAAGCCTCAGTGGTATAATTTTGTGAATTTGTCTTACGCGATTCACAGGCGTGGCTTGGGCCAGAGGCATATTCAGTAAGGCATTAATGCTGGACTTGTGGTGGATTTTAAAGAGAAGTGTAGAATGATTGCCCTCGCATTCTCGTGTCCTGTGTGGTGTTTTGTCAGGCAGAGCTGGCGACCCTTGTTCCCCTCTCGGGGCTATAGTTCACCATGCCGAATACTTCTTCGACCCAGCACTGTCCTTTGCCCAAGGATGGAATTACATATACTCCAACTGCGTCAGCCGGAAGGCTGAGGTCACGGCCAGTGCGGTGCTCATTCAGTTCTGGACTACTATCAGCAATGGTCTTTGGATCACGATCCTTGGTGTATTGCTCATTATTTCGAATCTTCTCTTCGTCCGAGTTTACGGAGAACTCGAATTCAGTTTTGCGATTCTTAAGACGATGCTCATCGCTGGTCTAATTGTCATGGTACTCAAGTTTTATACCCCCTTCTGTTATGTCTTATTTATGGTGTTTTCTTCAAGGGCCTCGTTATTGACCTGGGTAACGTCTTTTGTTTTCTTCTTGGGTTCACCTCGTCTAAAGCTAGATATTAGGCGGGGGTCCTCACCATCACAGATATGGATTCCAGTACTGGCGGAACCCAGTAGGTGTTGTGTCTTAGTGTCGGGTGTGCTGTCTGACGGAGATGCAGGGACCTTTCGTACAATACCTCGGTATTGAGGGCTCCCTCGGAAGGATCCTCGGCTTCTGAACCACCTTTTCCAACGTAGCATATGCCTACGCTGGCATTGAAAGTATTGCAAATGTAGCTGCTGAGACGCAAAACCCACGCCGCAACATCCCAATGGCCGTGAAGCGCGTCTTTGGCGCGTATTTATTTTCTATGTCCTCGGGATATTTATCGTAGGAATTATTGTTCCTTCCAACGATGATAACCTGCTCGGAAGCTCTGGGGATGCGTCACAGTCGCCGTTCGTCATCGCTGCTAATCGTGCGGGGATAAAGGTCGTTCCACACATCATCAATGCCATTGTTCTCACCTCAGCGTAGTCCGCTGGCAATTTGATCATACTCAACGGTTCGCGTAATCTCTACAGAATTGCCTACGAAGGACGCGCACCCAAGATCTTCCTTCGCGTAAGTCAGTTTGGCGTACCGTATGTCGCTGTGACATTCCTGTCAGTCTTCACTGCTCTCGGATATATGACACTTCAAAATTCTGCGTCCACTGTATTTGCATGGTTTCAGGTAAATTATTTATCGCCGGTATAAAGAACCGTTGCATAGGATCTTATGTCTGCAGCCACAATCGTACACTGTAAGCTATTGTTGTTCGGCATCTGTGTGGGTGTGCCTTGCTGACAGTGCCACTTCACAGGGATTATCATTTGCATGGTGTATCTCCGCTTCTACTGTGGAATGAAGAAACAAGGCATTTCAAGGGACGAACTGCCATGGAAGTCTCCATTACAGCCGTACACAGCATGGCTCGGCTTCATCTCGTTCAGTATCATATTGCTCACCGGGGGACATGCTGTGTTTATTCACGATGAATGGGATGGAAAGATTTTTTTCTTCCTACCGCAGTATCCCCCTCATCTTCGTCCTCTGCTTTGGCTACAAGTTTTGGATGAAGTCGAAGCTCGTTCCTTTGGATGAGATGCCGATCCGGAAGTACATAGATGTTGCAAGGGAAAATCCGGAGCCACCCAGGATTCCAGTCAAGGGATGGAAGCGCATCAGCATTCTGTGGAGTTGATTGTCTTTTCTCTTTGGTATACATATTCGTTGGGTTACTATTTATGGATTAAGCACGACTCGCGCTCAGTCGCATGTAATTTGTAAATACTCCAAACGTGTTAGTCATAGATGCATGCCAGTGATAGTGTTTCGGATTTACGTTGTGAGGATGGATCGCCCAAGAAGGCATACTGCAATAGACGTCAGTAGTCTCGGAAGGCAGAACGAAACTGAAGGTCTCCAGAGCCCTTATAGTTTTTGGAGTTAAAATGCGAGATGAATGGTCCTGAAGGCTATTTTAGCAGAGCGTTTACGACCAACTAACTTGCATGTCAACTTTCGCCAAGAGTGACGAGGTCCCTTGACAGGTGATGGGCACGAATCAACTCTCAAAGGAATCGTAGGGGTCCGAGCGATGGCTCTTAGGAAGGGATGCGTAGTGACAAACCGCAGTGATAAATTCGGACAGCTTCATCATGTAAGTACTCACACTGGCAGCACTGGACCCACGACAAATGATGCACATTGATGGCATTGAGTACATCTGTAGCTTTCTGAGATCTTCTGCCTAAGTACCATATTAGCCTACTTAGCTTCGACGCAAGAATTTCAAGGGTACGGCTTTAGGACCCGATCAGTCCGAACCCTCTCTGTTGCACCGGTCACGCCGCCCTTGCTTCGTGATTTTCGAAGGACCAGTCGCTCATGCATTCAGAAATAGGGTTGCGCCATATTGATTCTGTTAGTAAACAATGATCCCAGTCTTCACCCGAATGGTTGTAAAAGACTGAGGTATGACAGGAGACGGAAAAAAAAGAAATATGGTAGCGATCGCGAAACACTTGGTCCGACGATGGGCGTTGGCTGAACCTCTCAACAGATTCCGCCTATAAAATCATTCTAACTGTGGTGTTTCTCCCGAATTACATCCACAGCTGATCGCTTGAATTACAATCATTAATCAGAAGGAAATCTAAGAATGTTTACTGGAGGGAGAACAGCTGAATGCTAGCGATTAGAATCCCGTGAGTCTTTTGGCGTTCAACGACGGGAAAGAGAATATTCCAAAAAGTCGCCCACATGTACGTGACTGAATCTCCGCGTGTTTTCAGTCTGATATTCTGATCTGCCCGAGCTTCTTTATGTATTCTAAGTATAAATATTTTCCCCTTGTCACTATTCTCCCCCGCTCCTTCAGTTTCCCGGCCATGCGCTGGATAGTCGCTCTTTCGTTCCTCTCGTTCTTTTCAGTCGTGGAAGTGCAAGCATCGACCGTGCAGAAAGATGGATTGACACTTCCCGACTCTGCTCTAAATTATAGAGATGCGGTCAAGGACATTTTTCAGACAAGTTATGCCGCTTACAAGTGAATTTCTTCATCCTCGCTGTCCTTTATATTCTCATGGACCGAATCACCATAGAAAATATGCTTGGGGTCATGATGATCTCACTCCTGAGAGCGAGTCTTATTACGATGGTCGGAACGGCTGGGGTGCTTCCATTGTCGATGCAATGAGTACTATGGTACGTGTTCAATATCACACGTTTTTCACCATCTTCATCTATTTATGCAGTATACGATGGGTCTGGATGTAGGCATTTCCATTGCCTCGCACGTCCTACCCATTCTTATCGAGCCAAACCCCAGGACCTTCTAGACGAAGCTGTTGGTTACGTCGGTACCATTGACTTCAGCTCATCAAAGACTTCAGATCACGTCAGGTACATGTCTCTCTGGCATCATCATCACTTCTGGTTTGACGCGTCAAATTTTCCAGCGTCTTTGAGACGACAATCAGGTATCTTGGGGGTATTCTCAGTGTATACGAGCTCCGTGGGTATAAAGATGATGCTCTTCTTGAGAAGGCTACAGAAGTGGCCGACAAGATGGCCTATGCTTGGGTTGGAGTGAGTGGTACGGACTTGCTCTCGTAATAGATACTTATATTGCCACAGGACAATGATGTACCATTTGGTTCCATTGATTTCTCATCAGATCTGCCTGATGTTGCGACGGTGAGTAGTCTTTGTTTGTCCTCATTGATCCGCTAATTCCTGATCCTATAGTCTAATATTGCCGAAGCTGGGACAGTATGTTCAGATACTAACGTCTTTCTGCGCCGATTGCCATAACACAATTCTAGCTTATCATAGAGTGGGCCGCACTGAGCAAGTATACTGGTAACGACACCTACCGTGAGCTCGCCGACAAGGCTATGCGACATATAGCCAACCTGGTAGGCTTCTTAATGGCTATTTCACCTGTCACTTCTAACTTTCTTCCGTCGTTAGGGTGCTCCCCTACCTGGTTAGTCCTTCTCTTCAATTCACTTGAAAGCGGGGGTGCTGAAACCATCTAGGCCTGGCCGCGCAAGGCATAGATCCATCTTCGGGTGAATTCGTGGGGGGTTATGTTGTAAGTTCATACAGAACCTCCTTCATTCTATAGAGAGCTAACTACTAATGCGAGACGTGGGGCGGTGGCTCCGATAGCTACTTTGAATACCTTATCAAATATCCCCGGCTAGCAAACCTCACAGACACTCTCTACGTCGACACTTGGTTGACAGCTGTAGATTCCTCCCTCAGGTATCTACTTAGGGTGGGTCTTGATGCCTGGGAAATTCATATGAACCGCTCAGTCCCTGTGCACACAGCGCTCAACGGTCGGACAGCATCTTTACACTTGCGACTACGATGCCGTGTCTTTAGAGTATGAGAACGTCGGCTCGCACTTGGCTTGCTTCCATGCGGGCAATTGGTTGTATGGTGGATATATTTCATTTCACGCTTTTGAAAGCGATGGCCTAATCTCATATCCAGGTGGAACATTACTCGGGAATGAGACCATCGTGAACACTGCCCTGGAACTGTTAGATGGATGTTGGAATACATACGCGAGTACAGCGTGTGTATTCCTTCTATACTTGTAGTCGTTCTATTCTCACATCTTCTAGCAGTACCGGGATCGGGCCTGAAGCCTTTGCTTATATCACTCCTGGTGAGAACACCAGTTCTCTTACATCCGATCAACGATCGTTTTACGATGAACACGGATTCTACATCACTTCCTCCTACTATATACTTCGGCCCGAGGTTCTGGAGTCCAATTTTTATGCCTGGAGGATCACAGGTGATACGAAGTATCTGGATCGAGCAGCGAGTGTGGTCGATAGCTTCAAGGAATATCTGTCAGCTGTCGTTGCATACGATGGTATATATGATGTAGACAGCACATCATCCAGTAAGGTCGATGATATGGAGAGCTTCTGGTTCGCAGAAGTCCTGAAATATCTGTAGGTACTTACCTGTCGGTTTCACATACGCGGAACACTGATTTTCCCCATTGAAGATATCTGACATTCGATGATCCGACGAATATCAGTATTGATGATTGTCAGTGATCATTTTCTATTTCAAGGAGCGTAGAGGCCTAACCGTGGGGGGGGGAGTTTCAGATGTCTTTAACACGGAAGCACACCCTTTCAAGGCACCGGTTGCTCAACTGACAGATGAGTCTGGGTCTTTGACTACTAATATTTCGTCGGTGTTCAAGACTGTTAGTGGAACTCTTCCGACTGTCAGTCCTAACGTACGTGTATCGGGGGTTGAAGTCTGACTGCGAAGAGTTGCCGCTCGGACAATTTACTGAAAAACATTCTTTTTGGTTGTTCGCTTTTTTGTAATTACTGCTCAATATACCAACAGATTTGAAGATATCATTGTCGGCGGTGCTCGAGTTGTGGCGTAACCTGTGGGACATCCGGTGAACTCAACACAGTCTCCAATGTTTTCGATTTAGAACAAACTTCATGGGGATTTGTACGTGAGGTTATGTGTGGCAAGTAAAATTTTTCTTCGCTATGGACCACCGAGATGAACTGAAAGCAGCTGCAGTAATCAGTGTCCTCATTCAACACTGCTGGGACTGGCATATTCTCATATCCGAGAGAGTGACTGCTTCTTCGTCGCCTGTGGATGTTGTATTTCTTTTTTCGCACTGAGGAGACTAGTAATCAGTCACAAGTGGCAACATTTTCAAGACACCTTTTCCTTCTGGAAAAGGAACCGGCTCCAGAACAGCTGTGCAATGTACTGCCGTATCTACAACACCGTCCGCCCAGCAAGGACAAATGGATTGTTTCATCATGTCAGTGAAATAAGCTGTTGGCTGCTGTAAGATTCAGTCCGTGTCATTGAACTATCGCTGTTGAGCACTACACCATGTTCATTCCGTTTATTACGACGCGAATGCAAAGACGTGCTGGCAGCGGGAGTGCAGGTGGTGGAAGTAAAGGCGGGATGGGTTCGACTTCCAAGAGTGGAAGTGGGACAGGTAGCTCGAGCAGCGGCAAAGGATCCAATGGTGGTAGCTCATCCAGTAGTAGTGGAAAGGACAGCAGTGTGTCTGCCGGGGGAACATCCAAAGCTACTTCTTCGTATAGCAAATGTGGAGGACCGATTTCGACTATTCCTTCCAGCCAGCTATTCGCTGGGCGGCGTGGCGTTGGTGGAAGTAGGCGAGGCCAGGCATTTGGAACCAAGTCACAGCGGAGGCTAGTAATTTTTAGCTCGTAAAAGATGAAACCTTAAAAAGTTTTGTTTTAGCGAAGCCTTTCTCGGTCCTGGAAAGATCGTCAGTAAAACGGTATTCAGAAAAAAAACTTTAAATAAGGTCCCATTCTAGGCTATCAGAAATACACCAACCCTGCAGTGAGTATGTTCTCGTTTTATTTCTGGCCAGTGGTCTGGGGAGGAGCTGCTGGTTTAAGTACAGCTGATTATTTGCATTCACATGAGATAGCATGCTGTATTTACAGATCTTGTGTTTTGATTCAGTCCAGAGAACAGCAGTCGGCCCGGCGGTCCCATGGTATCAGTAAGTTTCAGTTCAAGCACTGGGGACTCGTCCATGTTTCACGTCGTCTCGGATAACATAACTGTAACGAGTCTCATCAGCGACATAACTGGGAAACTGCTCTTCGCTATTAAATACCTCATCCACCATCACACTTACAACACATTTGATTCCTCTGCACCTCAACTAGAGCACGTTATGCAGTATTAGCACGCAATCAGCGTTTACCTAACACTGAATGGATACAACAGCATTGACACCGTCTTTGAGAATGACCCGCTGCCGTCGTGGACAGTTAATAGAATGTTTGAATCAGACAATCGGCGCTGTTGTACCTTGGGTTCAATGCAGATATATCGTCCTCCTCCTCTTCCTCCATCTATTCGTCACCGACGGGAGGGTCTTCGTTTCCATGCTCCAATGCCGCCGCAATGATTACTACTAGCCTGGGGATTTTATCTTTTGAGTTGAATATCCCTGTGTTTCGCTTCTTGGTTGCAGCGGTCTTTCAATTATACTTGTTTATACCTCCATTTTTTATGATCTGTCTGCATATATTTAGGACAGCATACTGGCACCGATTGGAATCAGTACTTGATATCGCGCACATATGGAAGCACTCCAACTGCCAACACTGCCCAGTGCGGATCGGCTGTCTGATCCACCTTGAATAAGACATCTCCATTTTGGAGCGATCAAGACTGTTCTTCACCAGCTGGTATTAAATGTGTAGCCAGTTTCTACTACTTCCTCCACCTTTCGAATTTCACGCAAACCCTGGTAACGCCAACAGTCCTCGAAGCGATGTATGTTCCCTTCGTCTCTACACTGAGCGGCTCTCGAAAACTGTACCGTCGGAAAGGAGGGGGTGGTGGTGGTAAGGGTGGTGGAAGCAGAAGCGGAGGCGGTAAAAGTGGGGGTGCTGGGAAAAGTGGAGGAGGGGGGAAAAGCGGTGGCTCAAGTTCAGGTTCAGGTTCAGGTAGCTGGAGCAACGGCTTGTACTCGCAAAGACTGATTCTATCATCTTAGGTGCTAAACCTATTCAGCCTGTCAATACAGGCGGATCTTCGAAGAAATCTTTCTCGTACAGCACAGGCGGGGGAAGCGCATTGACAATTCCATCGGGCCAGCCTTTCGCTGGACGCTCTCAAGGCGGCGCCAGCAGGTCTCAGGTATATGGCACAAGGCGTGTTTCACGTTTTTCTCTTCTGGTGCTTGAAGCTGACAGTGAAGAAGCATATATGGCAGCGGGTACCCAGGCGTTGCAGGCCGCGGCGTGGCGGGCCGAGGGTTTCCCTTCTATTTCTGGCCTTTGGCATGGGGTGGCGTTAGTGGGTACAGCGGTGCCGCCTACCTACACAACAACGAAGTAAGACCCCAAAGCTACCCATTCGAAAAATATAGATGCTCACCCTTGGACAGTATGGACGTCCGGACAACTCCAGTCGACCCGGAGGGGTCATGATGTCTGCTACTTTTCCCGCGAGCTCCAGCAACACCACATTCCACGTTGTAGCTGACAACAGCACGGTCGCCTCCCTCATCACGGATATTAGAAATAATTGCTCGTCGGTGATCAATACTTCATCTGCTTCAGGTGCTCCCATTGCATTTAACGATTCGGGTGCGAGCACACCAAAGCCGGAACAAGCCGTACAGTTCTATCGCGCTAGTAGTGTGGCCCTCACAGTGGATGGGTATAACAATACCGGAGCTTTAGATGATTCCGGAAACACGCCTAACACACCTGTTCCTCCTTGGGTCGACACGAATGCCCTTAACTGTCTCAATTACACAATTGGAGCTGCTGTACCATTAGTGGATGGTGCGGATGCACGTTCGACGAATCCTTACCTAGGATATCTGGTTTTGGTATGGGTCTTGTATCATTTCTGTTCATTTTTGTAATGCGTATACTTATCGTAAACTATTGAGCCCGTCGTATTGTAGTTTTACGTCTGAGACATATAAGCGATCGTAGCATAGTCTCATTTTCTCAGTCTTATTGAGAAACCTTGTTCAATTTGGGGTGATCGCGGTTTACCTTGATATAGGCGACCCTGGAAGATGACGTTAAGGACAAATGGTATTGAAATGGCCTATTTGTGGTAGCTAAACTCAGGGGGGACAGAATAAGCAGTAGCGCTGGAGACCCCGTCATAGCATCTATTGGGAGGACAAATCTACAGTGCAGACAATTATAATCTACAATGAGTCTCAGACGGCGGTACATGCAGCTCATACAAATCATCTGCGGCCTTGATAATTTCCTCGCAAAACTTGGCATTAGGCATCTCCGTCCGAGATGTAATAGTATATTGTAGTCGGTCTTGCGACTCGTTAGATTACCTAGTCCAGAGGAGGTAGCGAAATGAATCTTACCGTCATATCCAGTCATATATGCGACACCAAACCCATCAGGAACGACTTCTCCCCATCCATACACCGGGAAATGTTTCGAAAACACGGCACTCGTGCTAAGTACCCAATAGCTAGACCTCACAAGCACAGGATCAGTGAACAGTTCAGGCACCTCCTCGCCGTCCTGGAGCAGTTTCTTCAGCCCAAACAGGTGTCGGTCTACACCACGTCCCAGCCCTCCCTCCTTTGCCAATTGTACATGCTTCTCTGTCGCCTTGTCAAATAGTGCCTTCCTAACTTCTTGTGTGGCACTCGAGTCATCCATACTCGCGACCCACGCGTCCGACTCGCTCGTAACTACCCGAATAGCCTCGGTACGGCCTTTGCGGAACCTACGCGTCGTCGCAGCCTCATACGTCCCGCCCTTCCGTTTCTCATTCCCGATGAGTCTACGATATGCGAGTTGTACGATCATCTGTGCCCAAGAGTCGGGGGACACGCCAAATTTCTTGATGGCAGCTTTACCATAGGCCGTAAGGTAGAACCCGAGTTCTTGGCTCTCTATGAGCTCCTTGGCGGCAGTGTCTGCTGTGGTGAGCGCTTGGCTGATGGCAGGCGTGATCTCCCAGTCCATAGGCGTCGGGGTGAATGTTCTTGATGGAATACCGTGGTCGAAGGTGGGGTCAGCGAGCCAGTTGAGAACGTCATCGCAGAGCCGAACGGTAGGGGTACCGTCCATGACAGAGTGCTCACCCATGATGCCAGCACGCCCGTTGTCGTATACTATGAATTGGCATGGCTTGTCTACCCATCGGTTTCGTAGACCGGCTGGTGTGCCATTCCCAGTGAGATGGCCATGCCAGAGGAAGCGGCTGTGTTCGATAGCAGTTACAGGAGTAGCGTTGTCGAGGCTGATAGTAAAGGCTGCAGAGTGGATGGCGGATACTACATCTGCATTATGGGATGAAGATAGAAGTTCTATGTAGTCCTTTGCCCAGACATCACGGTTGTTTGCCGTTAGAATGCCAATGCCGGGATAATTACCCTTGCTATGATCGTAGATGTACTGTATTTGCCTGTGAAGTTGGCGTCCTAAGTCATCAGATAAAAATGTGGGAGGAAAAGCGCACTTTGTAATTTCCTCTGTGCTCAAAATCCTGCCATTGTCAGTCAAGTCGACCTTCCATGGTCTGTTATTCCGAAACACGACGATGTGCCCTGAATCGCCGGTGTCGCTTGGCTTTGCATGGGTAACACTCCAATCAAGACCATGGGGACCAGGAACACGACAGCTGTCAAACATCCAGCGATAGGTGTCCATGCAAAACGGACCCTCCCTGGTGCCCTCTGCAGCGACCTGGCCGCGTTTGAGCTGTTGCCTGAATATCATGGCGCCGCGGGCGATGCCTGCCGCGCGAGCAGCAGGGGTTTGGGGCAAATGAGCAGGATGAGCATCAAATCCATCTGATCACAGCGTTACCAACCGGATGGAGATTCGGAATAAGGATGTGGCTCACAGTAGTACGACACGTAGACTACGACCTGCAAGTCCAGCTAAGTGGTGACACGACCCCGAAAAGGACAAGGATGCTTACCGGGTCTCTGTATCCAAGATACCCACCATCGTCCCACCATTCCTCGAGCCAGTGTTCCGTCTCGTCGTAGCGTTTCTTGAGCCTAGCTTGCAAGACCTCGCCCATCCCCCCGGGTTTGCCGAACTCGTCCACCTTTCTTACAGCCGTATCATACTCCTCCTTTGTCCATGCGATAGGCCGGAGACTCTCTTTGAGCTTGGCGAGCGTGTCCGGGAGATCGACGACAGGCAGCTTCGGGAGGGCGAGCTGGGCGGGCGAGTGGGTCGTCTCGTTCGTCGGGGCGGCTGCTTTCCAGTTCTTGGGGCGCGACATGGTAGAGAACGGTCGACGTAGAGGAAAGAAAAGCCTGATCATGGATGGTCAAGCCGGAATCCTTGGCGAATTAAAATGTGGTCATGACAAGTGCGGAGTAAAAGCTTTTCATCGTCTTTGTTGTGATTTCCGGCTATCTACAGTGCCGGATTCCGATTCGTCCTTTTTATCTGAATGGCTTCATCTACCAATTGCTGGGGCGCGTACGGAAGGCGACATGCAATAGGAAGTAAAGCTCGTCCCAATCTAACCAGGAGATAAAAAGAACAGAAAGGGAAATCCCCCCTCGTTTCAGTGCCTAGTAACTCAGGGACGTACAAGTCAGTTGCTCACTCTTGAAAGGCTTGAATATCAGATCTCCTTGAACAATCCTGTGGTGTAAATGTAAGATGAAGATGAATTACAGAGAGTTTTGGGGGGCTTACCAAGTCGGTTGGAATCGCATCCCGTTTCTGTAAAAAAAGGATGGAGTCTCAGTTTCTGTTGTACTTGACAGCTTCTAACGAGGGCTCAGTCGTAAGCCATGTAGAGCAATAGCCTACAAGATGGTGTCTTATGACCCCGTCACTAGCGAAGAAGCTGCTGAAAATGTATCGTAGACGGCTCCGACACGCATATGTAATGTTGCTGCAGTAGCAGTGACTGTGGCGTAGAAGTGTGGAAGTGTGGTATCCGATACCGTGTTGAAGGAAGATTCAGCCCGCTACCGGTTGCTTTCCTCAAGTTTTGATAGCTTCTGGAATGCAGGAAGGTATGTCTGGAAGAAGCCTGCTTTAAGCGCTAAGGGATCACCCGAAAAGCGTTCATGTCTGTTGCACAGTGGGGGTAAGGGTGTGAACCAGAGGCACACGCCTCGAATATCGGTGTAGATGTTCACTAAATAATTGTTGTTCAAGTTCACCAACGGAAAACGCATCCGGTGTCAAGGGATAGATGAGAAACTTTCAGCCTGGACCTTACAGAGCGATGTGCTTACGGCGCAGTTCGAATGGCAAATTTGCAAACACAAGGCTGCGGAGAACTGTGAATGGGTGGATCCACGGCGTCCGGATTACAAATGAAGGTCATAGAGGGCAAATTACTTGAATTCGGGGGATACAGGGTGTATACGAGGCGCCAAGGATTCACTGTTCTGCGATGGAAGATAGCCGATAGCCATGATCGAATTGTGATATGTATATATAGAACCGGAGTCATCCGCGGACGGGAAAATACTGACACCTTGACAGATATCGAAGACATAGCAAGGCTTGCAGTTTTCGAAAAAAAAAAAAACAAAAACAAAAGGGACTCAAGGGAACACAACCTGGGTGCTATTGGGTCAGTGCTGAGAGGTAATAATGCATGAACGGCCTCAAAATTAAATACTTTGGCGGACGGAAGGAGGACAATCAAGGACAAATTCTTGGCATGGTATCGTGGGAAAAAGGGAATAATATAGGGACTCTTCTTTTGGTGGAAATTGTTTTTTCTTTTCCTCGTTGACAGTTTCGTGACCTTTGCTGGTCGTTTCCTAATCGCCGCCTCCATCTAATAACGTCTGGCACTTCCACTCATTTTACCTTCTCCTCATCATGAAGTTGCATGCTCTTGTCGCTCTTTTGGCTGCCCTATCAACAACAGCTCATGCCCATAGCCAACCTGAACTCAAACGACATGCTAATCTCAAACGACAAACTACCTCTTCGTCCTCAGCATCTTCTTCTGCAGTGTCTTCTGCATCATCGGCAGCTTCAGCAACAGTGACGACGTCCGTGACAGGCTCCTCGTCAAGTACAGGCACGGCAGTCGTCTCATCTGTCTCAACAGCCGCCTCCGCAGCCAATAGCGGTGTTGCAGCTACGATCCTCATAGAGTCTGCCACTATCTCTGGTGTGCCCGCCCTGACTGCAATCACGTCTGGAATGTCGTCGGGCTCCACCTTCGCTGCTACGACGACTTGGGCGACAACGGCATCTCCCCCAGTCTCAGGTGCCCCCTCTCTTCCAACACCATGTAAGTCTGACTGGCATCTTCTTTTGCAAGTCTCTTATTCTCTTTACCAGTTGTTTACAGTGAAGGTGTATGGCCAACGCAGGACAAGACTCCTCCTACCGGTGCGTTATTTTCTCGTACCATTTTTTGTCATCCTTTATTGATCTCTACCAGATACCGACGAAGTCCAGTCATGGCTGGCGGAACTCGATGGCTGGGACATCCCCGATCTTGAACCCACCACCGACGGCACCTGCGCAAGCGATCCCACGTTCTCTGCAGATGCGGCCAGCCGTGGCTGGTGGACTTGTGGCGCCCATACCAGGGACACTGACATCATCAACTGTCCCGACAAGCTCACATGGGGTGTTAGTTTCGATGACGGTCCCGGTCCTTACAGTCCGTCTACTAGCCCTCTGTCTCCGCTCCCCAAACTTATGTTATTACAGCCCAGAAACTCCTCAACTATCTTGAAAGCGTGGACATTTCCGCAACCTTCTTTGTTGTGGGATCCCGTGTCATTGAACGTCCTGCGGTCCTCGTCGAAGAGTATATGAGTGGTCATGAAATTTCGGTTCATACCTGGGCTCATCCGGTAAGTCTATGAAGCACCCGACTGCGATCAGCCTCTGATCGTTTCATTTACCGTCGCAGCACTTGACTACATTAACTAATGAACAAATCGTTGCTGAACTCGGCTGGACCCGCAAAGCTATCAAGGAAGTCATTGGTGTTACCCCCACGACCATGCGTCCGCCATACGGTGACATTGGTCTGGTGCCTTTTTTGATTGGCGCTTCAATCAGCTCATGATGAACATTAGACGACCGTGTCCGTGCCATCTCCCTAGCAATGGGTCTGATTCCCATCATCTGGACAACTGCAGGCACCCTAGGATCTTTTGACACCTTTGGTGAGTGCCATGCAGCATCTTTGAATATGATAAGCTTACATGTTGTTTAGATTGGGAGGTCGCTGCTGGAACAAAGACGGGCCCAGAGTGTGTGCAAGAATTCGACAACATTCTTGGAAACGCATCTGACATTGATACTGGGTAGGCACCTTTCATCTTGATGTCGTACATGCATGTTTTTCACTATTTAAAATTATGTCTTATAGGATCATTGTTCTTGAGCATGACTTGTATGAGGTCACCGTCGATTTGGCTATCGGCTACAACCTAGAGACGGCACAAAACTACAACCCTGCATTCACCGTCAGTAGCTCGCTTCTTCCATGGTCAAAAAGTACTGAACCCTTCTCGTTATGACAGTTGAAACCCATCGGTGAATGTTACGGCATACCCACAACGGATCTATACCGGGAATCAAATACCAATACCTCTTTCCCGTATACTAACACGACTACTGACGTTAATGGAGATGGTACGGCCGATAACACCACCACCACCACAAGCTCTGGCACGAGTACTAGAAGCTCGAGCGGTGTGCTCACCATCAATGTTGCGTCAATATACACCACCTTCTCTCTCGTAGGCCTCATGGCCTTTGCGAGTACTTTACTTTAGTTAAATTTCTTGACCATCCGTGCGCGGAGCTATATGCCGGACATTGCCCTACTTATACGTTTATCTCCCCTTTAAATCGATATTCTATATTGGATACTTGTCGTACCATGACGGAACACGATGATCGAGAGGTTTGTAGTGTGTTGTCTTGAATACAGCAGTTATACCTGGTCTTGCCTTGTAACGTAGTATAAACTATTCTGACAATGTTAGACAAATAAGCACGTTAAGAACGTGAGAAAAGGAAAGATTTCAGCTACACATAGTCTTTATTTCGAGACCACTTTGCAGGCATTTAGTATTTGTGACTGACAAACAACGTTCTGAGTACCATTAAGCACCACTGTTAACGCTACCGGGCATCCGTATGTCCCTTAAATTATGCCAGGTCCATTATTTCACGAAGGGGGTATAAGAATTACACACTATACAGTTACCTTTAGTCCGTCAGAATCGGAAGAGACCCTTCTTTTTCTTCTTCTCTTCCTTTCCAAAAGAGTTGCTGGACGAATAGCTCTCCGTGGGGGAGGGCTGTGGTCGACTTCGTTCCTTCGGTGGAGCAAGCGTGCTCGGCGCTGGCTTTGGTTGGGGTCGTGGTCCGTCCTTGGTGTAGTATTTCTCGTCGTAGAAGTCTTGATAGGGCCTCTTTCCTGCGCCCTCCTGCAGGCCATTCGGTAACGCACGCGAGCCAACCCCACCCAGGTCTAGCACTTTAAGATCGTCAATGAAAGGTCGGGGTATGATGGTATGCGTAGAGCCTAAATCTGACCTTAGCAAAGGAGAAAGCTGGGTCGTAAAGAAAAGTTGACATACCGATGTAGATATCTTTGCTCAGCGACGAAGATAGTTCGTATACCTCCCGCACCTCAGAGTATGTCATACCACCAGCGACGAACACGAGTAGACGCTGTTTAGTAGATTCCTGTATCGCATTGCGTGTTGCAGCACGATGCCAAGCGGGCTTTTGGCTTCGCAAAGATGTTGTATGCGTCGGGGCAGGACGCAATGAAGGCGGGGGTATCGCAGAAGGGGAGTCTTTAACATAAGGGAAAAGCGTGACATCAAGTTTACCCTCAACATGTTCCTGTGTCCATGGATTTAGCTATCGTTTAGAGTTCGATGATGATGTGGAACACACACCTCAATGACGGTCCTCAACAGTGGTTTGAATCGTGACAGCTCATATTCGTTGTCTTTGGGTTTCTGCTTTATTTTCTTCTTGATGTCTCGATCGCTGGGTCCCTGATATATCGGGCGATGAGGATGCCTAGAAAAATATAAAAAATCAAGGCGTACCCGGCTGATTCTTACACCAAGATGTGCTAATGCATTAACAGCGTCTTGTTCCGCCAGCGACAGGCGCGCATGTTGATACAGCCGTCTTCGGTCTTCATCGGGAACGCCATCACGGTGCTGTATGTACAGTGCTATTATTCGGACTTTATTGGCGTTTCTAATAATTGTTCACTTATTGTAGTTGGGTGCAAACAAAAGAAGACTTACATCACTTCCCGGCTATCCAGTAAGGGCACCATCTCTTCCACCAACTTTTTCGGTGTCTTGCCTTCGGCTGTGAGACCAGTAGCACAGTCCTGGATTGTCATCAGTGGATGTATATCACAGAAACGACGCAACCAACCTGCTCAACGTTGGCTACAACAGGTAGTTTGTCACGTTCGAAGATGCCCATACATTCTTGAGCCATGCTTAGATGTAATGAGAACTAAACGAATGTGAAAATAGTCTAAAGAGATGTGACAGACTTCTCACCTTCTCGCGCTGTTCTTGGTACTGAGGCAACCCTGCCAACATTTCCTTCATATCATTAAGATTCGCTGCACTGTCCCTGATAAGCATCAGTGAAGTGTTGAAGAAAATATGTAAAGTACACACCCTTTGAAGACGGCATTCTCCTCGAGGAATTTGTTAAAGTCTGCCATCAATTTATCAATGGCTTCGCGCATATGCATGTGTCGCACCGCCGTCCACACGTTGTCCTGGTCGGACAGAGTAGCGGTTTTGTCTTCGTAGGCACCCACGGATGACTGGAACTTGTAAGTATATCGCACGCCATTTTCAATGGGCAAGAGATCGTTCGCCATAGCTTGGTACGTAAACTCGTGGACCAAAGGTGCCATCATATCCATTGCCCGGTCCGTGATAATCAGTGTAGATCGTCCCCTTCCGGCATCGATCTTTCCAAAATCGGAATTCGCTCGTTTGTGCTCCTCGAGATTGTTTTGGACCATAAACGCTAACAGCTTCGCTACGTAGTCAGTTTCGACAGATTCGTAGGCGCGAGCGTCTGCACCACGAGCAAGGTTCGTCCGCCATCGGCCACTGCCTTCGGCAGGTGGCGGTGGACGGGTAGACGTGTGCGGCTTAAGGGCACCTAGAGGGGGATGGTTGGGAGGTACATAGTACCGGATGTAGGGAAATTCATTAAGTGTTATACAAACATTAGTAATCTGGGTGAAACGTTCGCGGAGGAATCGGAAAAGAGAAACGAGAAACGCACGATTTTACTGGCAAAACGGAGGTCTTCTTCTAGCCGTTCGCGTGCCCTGCGATAGTCGTTCTCATGTCGCGGTGGGCTGTACATGCTGAAGAACATTTCCGGCACCTGGAGAGAGAATGTCTGTGCTTCGACAGGTGAAAAGTTCAAAAACAGCTCTTTGAGGGCCTGAAGGTGAGGCTCTGCCGGAGATGATGTGAGGCGTTGGAATAGAGGTTCGGAAAGACCTGAAGAAGGTCAAGAGATGTTATCGATAGGTAACAACGCCTACCTTCGATGAAGAACAGGTGTGCAGCGGCGTACTGCTTCGTCTGCGAGAAATCACAGATGATACGATCGACATTTTGGGTTGTCGGCATCAGCAGATACAAAGCCTCAAACTCTGGCTGAGGATCCCGATAATTGGATATCGACTCAATCACTGCATGAAGATAAGGACGAGTTGAAACAGAAATATTGCACAGACGCACGAGTAACATTCTCCTCAAGAATATCGAATTGCTTGAGCACTTCACCTAGAAGTTTCTGTGAATGCTCGTCGACAACGAGAATCTTCCATTTCCCGGGAGGATTGACGGAACGAATTGCTTCGAGGAACTCTACAAGTGTGGTCAGGCTGAGATTAATTGGGTGTCGTTTGAATTTAAATCCTGCGCACTATTACGAACGATGGTGATGAGAGACGCCATCGTCGAGTGTGATATGTGGACGAAGGCGAGCGCTACAGAGGGAAAGCAGGAAGGTGATGGAGTGTCGACCAGGAGGGTACTGGCATCTGAAGAAGCACGGCGTCATAGCTTCCTGAGCAGCCACGGCAATTGCCGTGCCAAGACTCGCTTCGAAAACATGACTCTGCACCTTTCCCTTGCTCGATACTGTGTCTGACCTCCTCTTTCCTCGACGGTATCCCTTTCTCTCTCTTTCAACTACTTTTCACTCGATATCATGGTATTTGGTCGCAGCAAGGCCAAGGCTTCTTTGCCGCACAGCGATGTTATCGACATTCATAACTCTGATTCGGAGCCGGAGGGTCGTGGAGGGAAGCTTTCATCCAAACGCCAAAAGGTGGCCAGTGGTGTGTTGATCGCGAACAATCAGCGTATTTTACACGTTAATAACGTGTTCTCACAGGCAAGGCGCCTCTCTCAATGACGGGCGCCAAAGTAAATATTGACCGTACCAAGAACGTTCATCTCAAAGGCCGCAAACGTTTCAACGCAGATTTCGAGGATACGAAGCAAGTCGTCAAGGATGGAGGATTCCTGGTTCACGGCTGGCGCATAAAGAGTGAGTTGCCTTTCACGGAGTGGCTTGATACTAATCTTGCTCTCAAGAGTTCCGGCCAGGCGACGACGAAGGCTCTATGGAAGTCGTAATAGAAGATTCTCATACACCTGATGCACCAATAATGCTTACCATGCTTGTTGATGGTAATAATTCGCGTCTCTGTCTTTCTATCCACTCTAATCTTCTACTCAAAAGACACCTCCGAATATCCCAAGAACCATACAGTATTTTGTTACTCTTCCGATTCAGAGCTCGATGCTCGTACAACTGAGCCCGTAAATGAGATCGCAACATCGCCTGCACGACCAATCGTCGACACTCTCGAACGTTTCTTGACCTCGCTCGCCGGTAAGAAGTACCAAGAAGTCGACATGGAGGACGAAGACGATAGTGGAGACGAAGAATATGTCGGAATGGATTATGATGATGATTATACTGCAGTGTCTAAGGTTGCGACCTATAGTCGTTCCAAGCTGCAACGGTGAGCGTCAATTCCATTATCACACCACCGCCTAGACTTCTTGTTAGGGACTTCATCGATGCTGTGGGAACAGGCTATCGTCCAGGATTCATTCCTTTCGGGGGCGATGATTTCTGCTTAACCATCAGCTTACCAGTCATCACTCTATCTGAATCAATCCCTCCGCGAGCACTTATGGCTTGGGATCGGCGGCTTCTGTCTCGTTCGCAGCATCTAACCCTTCTCATATCTGGACACAGAGGCATGTATCCCTCTTTGTCGAATGATGGAACCTATTCGAGTCCCGCGCGCAGGGCGGGTGTGCAACTCAAATTTCAAGTCGGTCTGTGCGGTCGGTACAAACCTTCAACTGTGAATGCCAGAGAAGCCGTACGCAGGTATGGGCTAGTCCTTCAGGACGCCGAAGATGAACTGCGCATCCAGAAAGAGAAGGAGCTCGCTGCTGCGATGAATTTTTTCGACATTGACGTTGACATGGACGCGGAAGAAGTTGCACTTATCGTTTCAGAAGCTGTTGTCGAAGAGGAAGATGATGAAGGACGATTTGATAAGTTCAGCTTAAGTTCCTCGTTGGAGTCATTGCTGGACCAATCCTTTCTGAAAGTTGTCCGATTACGGAGACAGTTTGATCTGGGCTGGGCTGGCGCTGAACTCTTGTTCGCTGAAATTGAGAAAAGTCAGATGACAGCAGAGGACGTGTATCGGTTCAAAATCAAGGTAACAGACTTGCACTCGAAAACACCAATCTTGCTCATCTAGTGTGGCGCAGGAAATAAAAGCGGCTGAAAGAGAGGAACAAAAGCTTAATCGAAGGCTGCCTCATGATCCCTTGCATGGTCTGGGAAAATCAGAAGACATTAATCTTCCCCTAACCGCGTTTACTTATCTCATCAGACGACTGACGGTAGGCGACCTGTGTTTCGATGACTGCCTCTTCTGATGTTCTACTAGTTGTGCACACGCTACTGCATTGTTTGTCACAACAAACTCACCACTGACTTCGAAGCTTTGAAGCCCTATGTGTGCGACTCTAAGCTATGCGCCTACCAATATTACTCTCTGAATCGCGGTCCTTCTTTAGAGGTTTGTTTTACTCATTCACGTCGCGTCTTCAGATCTTACATCTCGATAGTATGAAATCATTCACAACCCGCAGACTGTGGATCTCCTCGTTTCACTGACTTATTCCGGGGCCGCCGAAGGCGTCCTCGACGAGCCTCTCCCGACTGGGATGGGCCTCCGAGTTCCGATTCCCGACAAAAGTACACTAATCCACCCATCGACACTTCGAGGGGCTGTTTTTTCCGGTGTCTTCCCTACTCCGGTACCCGAGGCTCCGTCTCCTACTCCTCGACGCGAGCCTGTTGCGGACAATCATGGTCTGTGCGATTTTGATGATCTTGACATTCTTCAGGTTGGTTTCCGGTGTTTTTCTTGTTGTTGGTTGTTGAACGGACACACAGATGCGCGCCTCTATTGCTGACATGCTGAATACGTTACCGACAGTAGGCTTTTTATCTTGATCATTTCACTCCGTGTTGAACTGACCTAGCGTATTTCAGGTGGAAGATATGAAGTATGAACACGTCTTTTTTTAAACACCGTAGCCTATGATTGATCCTTCGCTCAGGAAGCATTTAGAACGCAAAGTCAAGCCTGGTAAATCGAAACCCAAGCTTAGGGAACTCGATCCTACAGTGTTGCCCGCTGCGTGGCAGATTCTTCGCTGGTAAGCCGAGATCAACACCCTTCCGCCACATCTTACTGACCACTTTCGAACTAGGTGTGTGGCGTCTTGCACTGCATACCTTGAACCCATCACATCGGGAGCTGAGTTGGTAACGAATTTAGGTTCGTTACATTCCATTGACCGCACGATATATTTTTGTTGATACGACATTTAGATCCATCATGGCGCCAGTTCCGTTTCAGCGTTGGTGCCCCAGATGCAGAAGCTAAATTTCAGGCTGCTGTTGCTCAGTCTCAGGCAACGAATACGAATGCTAAGAAGTACCCTTCACTCTTTGTTAGGCTCTATTTTTCCTGGTTATGTATTTGTCACTCATTCCGTACAAGGCATTCCATGGTTCTTCTTTGCGAAATTGGCACTCGGTCAGTCATTCGGCTTTTGATTTTTCTGCTTTCACTCTGACCATTTGGCGTAGATAATTAGGCATGGATTGTGGTACAAGCACATAGCTAATGGGCGGGCCTATGGACACGGTATATATTCATTTTATTTTCCACGATCCTCTTCGCTAATCTTGTCTATCTATTTGTAGGTGTCTATCTCGCCAAAGACGGGCAGATTTCTATGGGACACTATGCAGGAGGTAACTCCACGATGTGGCGCAAGAGCAAGATCTGTCCCAATGCTTGTGTTGCGTTGGCGGAGGTAGTCAACTTACCAGAAAAGTTTGTTAGTTCGAATCCGTATTTCGTTATCGCGGATACTACCTGGATTGTCTGGTAAGTGTCTAAGTTTCACCCCTTTGGCTTGAAACTGAACTGTTCGCAGCCGGTATCTCTTAGTCAAGTGCCCAGCTGAAGGGACCGGTACGACTCCGGTTGCAGATAAGACCATACCATTTGTGAACTTGGATCCTAAGCATCCGCTGACATTGAGCAGCAACAAGATATCTATTCCTGAGCCTGGGTATACCATCAACTTATTACTCCAGGATCGTCAGCGTGATCTAGTGGTGCAAGAGGCGGATGAGGAAGACCAGCGAATTTTCAATCATGTTGAGAGGGAGACAGTTATTGTAGATGACGACGACGAAGTCATGATCATACCTGATCCGAAGGGGAAGGGCAAAGCACCTGCCCCAACTCCGTCTAGTAGCAAGAAGAAAACAAAGCCAGCAGATGATTGGGTGCACGACCCTGAATGGGTCAGCGTTGTTCTCGACAAGCTGATGCCCCCGCCCACTGACTCTGCGCCATCTGCGACTATGGCGGTCCAGCGGGAGCTGAGGTCAATGCTGAAGGAACAAGAAGCCGCGAACAGCCTGCGAGAACTGGGATGGTACATGCCGCAAGAGTTTATTGGCGATAATTTGTTCCAGTGGATTGTAGAGATGCATTCGTTTGATCCGAACCTACCGATTGCGAAGGATTTGAAAACGGCGTACGTCTTTTTGTTTTTATATCGTCTATTGGAACTGACTACGTTTCAGAGGAGTGAATTCTATCATCTTCGAGATTCGATTCCCTCCAACGTTCCCTTTGGCTCCACCATTTTTCAGGATTCTTACGCCGCGGTTCTTGCCTTTTATTCATGGTGGAGGAGGCCACGTTACTGGGGGAGGGTCCATATGTATGGATTTGTTGACCTCTGATGGTATCTTTGACGGTTCTATTTGGCGTTTATCTGGCTAAGATTTTGTTATAGGATGGTTGCCTAGTTACAGGTAAATATCCAAGTCTTTTGGCGTTCTTGTTTACTCATTATTCTCGAGTATTCCTGCGGTTATTATGCAGATCAAGTTGGCAATATCGAACCTGGAACCTCGTCCAGCGAGGCTCGCTAAAGACTGGAACCGTGAGTACCAGGTGTACGAGGCGCTAGAAGGCTACAAGAGGGCTGCTGCTGCTCATGGATGGCAGGTTCGTTCCATTATTTTTCTTGCACGGTGCGGTAGCTGATTTGGATCTCAGATCCCTGTGGGTATTGAGAGACTTGTAAGATAAATAGAAACTGTATTTGTTTGGGATGACCTGGCTGATTACATACATGGAAAATTTGAACATTGTAGGTTGATAGTACTGAGAATGGAACTGTTGTTGTAGCATTATGATTGGTTCGGTCCTGGTTGATCTGTGGGAGGGCTTACCAGTAAAAAAGGCTTTTTCATAGTATGTGCATACCGAATGGTCCTCTCTCTGGATATTTGTTCCGTCTGAAAGCAAAATCGAGTGCATATAGTCACTTCAAATGATGTCAGGGTGATGAAAAATGCACCGGACTATCATTGGCAACTTGTTTTGCTTCGTTGATGTCGACGTTCGACCAGCTCATCGATGACCTGACACGGGACGCAAAACGCGTACGGCCCAACGATGCACTGCAGTTCTGCTCAAATTGGTTCCAGCAGCGGCTGGAGGAACAGCGGACACGGACCCGCGATGTTCTGTCTCGTCGCTCGCGCGCATTTTCGCGTGAACTCCCTAGCGAGCTGTACGTCGACACAACTTTTGGTTCCGGATTGATCCCAGAGACCGTCTCTCCGCTCGACACAGCGCCTCGCTCGTCGCTCGCTGGCAGGAACAGCGTCTCTTACAGTCCATTTGGCACCCTCAACGTTCCCGGCAATGCTTTGCTCGCCAACAACCCACCTGTCGTCCAATTTAATATGACCCCGACGTCTCCCCTGACGACATCGATGCCTAACCTCTTCACGCAGTTTGATGACGGCACCGTCGCCCAGCCCACCAATCCAGGCGACTACCTCCATCCACCCGTTCCTACTACCATCTTTCAGCGGCGCACTTCCGTCTCAGCAGAGTCTATTCCTGTCGACAGCTCTCCAGATGATCCGCTCCCTGTATACCCCAAAACGCCAGACCAACTTCGTCGCATCAAAGCATCCATCGCGAACAACTTTATCTTCCGCGATCTTGACGAGGAGCAGGAAACAGGCGTGCTCAGTGCTATGCAGGAAAAGAATACGGAAAAAGGAGAGGTGGTAATACGCCAAGGGGACGTGGGCGACTACTTTTACGTCGTCGAGTCGGGTCTGCTAGAGTGCTTCATCCGGTCTGATCCTTTGCCCCCTGCAGGACTTCGTGCCTCAGAAGACAAGTTTCTCCAGCCTGGGTACCACCCTGAGTTTGGGAAACGTGTAGCAGAGTGCACACCGGGGACCTCGTTTGGAGAGCTGGCACTGATGTATGGTCATCCTCGTGCTGCGACGGTCTTGTCTACTGAGCCTTCTACATTATGGGCACTGGACCGCATCACCTTCCGGACTATCATATTGAAGGTGGCTCATCGGCGCCGCACGATGTATGAGCACTTTTTATCATCCGTGGCCCTCTTGTCATCCCTAGACGCTGCTGAGCGCAGTAAAATCGCTGATGCGCTAGTCAGCAAAGTCTACACTGATGGAGACGCCGTTGTCAGGCAGGGAGAGATGGGAGACACGTTCTTTTTCATCGAGGAGGGTGAAGCTGTTGTGACCAAATCGCAAGAGGGCGATAATGGCCAAGTTCGCGAGTTTCAAGTGGGGCATTTGAAAAAGGGAGATTACTTTGGAGGTGTGTTTTTTTGTCTCCCCTTCAAGTTTATACCGACATTACGAAAAGAGTTATCACTTCTCCACTTGGCTCCTCGCGCTGCGACCGTCAGTGCAATCAACCGCGGAGATCATACTCTTCCAAAGCTCAAAGTGGCGGCTTTGGACGCGCAGGCTTTCACTCGGCTTCTTGGGCCTCTTCGAGATCTGATGGAACGAAGGGCTGGCGAACAGTATGGGTCTGGCGCAAGGTTGTCACACTAGAGATTGGTATGAATTTTTGAATGTGTCAAAGTGTTGTTTCTCATCCTCGCTATTCATTGTATCGTATTCAAATTCTGTTTTTATATTGCGTGTATCATCTTGCCGAGCTCTACACGTCTTGACTGAGAAGTCTACTTTGGTCCCTCTTTTCGATCGGTGAGTCAATATCAGTCATAAGAATCTTCCATTTTTCTGCCTTAAAAAAGCTGAAATACTGAGATCTGGCAACAGCCTTCACTCCATTATTAACCATCATGAGCAGAAACAACAGATACCGAGGATCGTCCAACCGGGTCATTCAGCCCCTTCCTTCGCACGACACGCTCACGTATGCGTTTCCGTCCCATCCGAGTCTTTCAAGCTCGACAATCGTCGATACTCATACACATCTCGTCCTGGCGTTTGCGGCATACCGGTCGAAGTACCCCTCAGGTTGGTACTCGAACATATTCGAACTCGTCCGAGGCATCTATAAAGGGTGAGGTGTCGAAACGATCATCGATGTATGGCATAATCCCGCTAAATTCACGCCTAAGCCCGGGAAAGGATGGAGGTGACTGGCGGATGCGCCGGAGGAGCAATTGGGTGGCGTCAACTATTGGTTTGTCATAGGCGTGCATCCGTACGTTTTTCTTGCTTTCCCTTGTTCGGAGGAGTACTATACTCCTGCAGTGTAATGTAAGCTATTCCCATCCGTTCGCTCTTTCGGAAAGTGCTGAACATCATTGCAGCATAGCTGCTCTCAGCCACCCGCTTTGCGTCGGTCTCGGCGAGATAGGACTGGATTATCATTATAATCGCTCACCTCATGCTGTCCAGAAAACCGTCTTCACCCGACAGCTCAAATTGGCTGTGGAGAAAGGAAAGCCTCACGATCCATACACGAAAAGCCGAAGAACATACAGAACAGATAATGAAGGAGGTTATTCCCAAGGACCACCCTGCCCATGTTCACTGTTTCACCGACTCCCCCGCCTTTGCCCTCCGTCTTCTTTCTCACTTCCCAAACCTCCACATCGGTATCACTGGCGTTCTGACGTTCTCGACGAATTTGAATACTGCGTCAGATGGTTCCCGGAGTCTTTTCGTATAGTGCTGGAAACGGACGCGCCATGCATGGTCCCGTCGAATGTTTACCCTGCCCTGCTCGCTGACCCAACCTTATGAAACAAATTCGGCTGCCACTGAGTCACTCGTTGATGATTCCCTTCACCGCTCAATACGTTGTGTCCGTCTTGGGTGATAGACGGGACACGAAAGGGGTGTTGGCTGCAGGAAGGGAGGGTGCCAGAAGGATTTACGGTGTTTGAATACTTCTTGAATCCTTCATATAACAATATGATGATTGTGGTTGCGGTAGGATGAGGCAAGTTAGTGATCGAGCAAAGGATCTTCCAAATGAAGGCTATGGATTCCTAGAATCTCAGAAGTTACAGCTTACGGATGACTGGGAGTCCGGACCCTGAGCGACATGAAAAGATAATTTAAAAGTTACTGCACGTATTCGTCGGGATTCGGGCCTCGGCCCTCGGTGAGCGTGTCTACTTTAAAATATCATGAGTCATGAATCCTTGCACCCTGAAGACTTGGGCAACGCAACAATTTCAAAAATTGTATCGGGGCCTGACCGGGAATTGAACCCGGGACCTCCTCGACGGCATAACGACCCTAACAAGGAATCATACTACTAGACCATCAGGCCGCATTAGTTGGTGGTGGATATACACTCTCTACATCAAACGGTTGCTGGAGTGCTAGACAACACCACACGCCACAGACACTGCATATACACTTTGGCTTGTAGTCATCGCAGAAAATACGCCAGGAGGGATGGTAGTTCTATGGCGTGAAGGTGCGAGATGAAAGAGACAAAGAAAAGTAGGGGTCTTACACTTCCGTTCCGACCAATAAGTCTTAGAGACATCGTTGTGCATTCCCTCAAAGCTAGCGTAATTTGCAGATTTGCTTTGAATAACCGCCGTGAAGGTTCGAGTGTATTTAGATGATACAGACTAGGATAATATTGCCTAATTGGAGATCTCGCAGCGCCTTCGACCGTACAACAAGTTAATCGACTTCGACGTACTTCGAAAGCCACGACATCTAAACTCCATGCAGCGACTCGTGCCCTGGAACTACGATGAATAGGAAAATGTCCAGGACGAGCATCAATTGCGGCAGTTTCCTTGCAGAAATTATCAGGGACAAAGAGCGACTCGTCATCCATCCCGGAGTCAGCCAGTACGCGACAGGTGGTATATCTGCGTGCGGTCTGGCGTCTCTCAATTTCGCAAGATTGGTGCTGAATAAAGAGCGAGAAGGCATTCAAAGAGCGGCTTTGCTTGCAGAAATTGCCTCAGTGCAGATGGTGGAGATGAGCGGCGTCGATCGAATGCATTTCTAACGATTCTCCATGTTCTCCCTATGTAGGACGCCGTGTCCATCTGTTCTCAATGGCGGGACAATCTTCATCTAGAGGTCGAAACTATCTTTGCAGTGCCTCTATTTCAGACATCAATGAAACTGACAAATGTATATATGGATCTCCACCAGTTGACCGCTTCGAAGAAATGCTGGGGTACTGCATTTTTTTTCCTTCTTTCACTGCCTCACTTACCGAGCTCCCAGAGACCTTGAATTCGCATCCGATAATACCAGTGTAGCAGTCATCACAAGACCACCTGAAATCATTACCTGTGCAAAGGTTCCGACACCTGAATAAAACATATGTCTCATCTTTGACACCCATCCTCGGCCTTGTCATCCGGATGGATCTGGGATTACCTTTCTGGCCACCGTCGAAAATACAGCCAAACGACTCTCAGATATCTTGTCTGTGGATAGTCGTCTTCTCTCCGAGGGTGGCAAGCACATTTACTTGCAAATTTCGCTGCCCACATTTTTATTCCAAACGACAAATGGTCCACCGATCCTGTTGACTTAACGCAAGCTCCTCTCAAATCTAGCATCACAATTCTTACTCTTCGAGCTCAATTATCCGATCTAGAGTCACGGAATCAATTTTTGACATCCATGACTGACCGCCTGGAGGAAGAGATCGACGAGCTACAGGAAACGTGTGAAAAACTGAAGAAAATACAGTCACAGAGTCATAATCGTTCCATTCCAAAAATAGATGTTTGGACGATGTGGCCCGGTGTACCTTCTGGATCTTTACAGCAATGGAACTCGGTTAAAAAGTTGAAAGGAAAAGGGCACGCCGAAGAAAAGAGCACAGCAATAGAGTTCGCCCTCAACCTACAATGTAAATTCGAGGGAGAGGATCGCCAGCTAGAGCAGGAGCATCGTGCTCTAGCAGCTACTGCACAAGCCTTATTTGATTGTGCCATCTGCCTTGATACTTTCCCCATGGACTACGCAGCTCGTGTTGTCGAATGTAACCATTTAGCTTGTAGAAACTGCCTTCGGCAACATCTGCTGACGACGTTGCATGATCACCGATTCCCCATCTTCTGCTCGATTTGTACTGATGGCGACAAGAAGTCGAGTGAGTCCTCATTCTGATGAGCAGGATATATGGCGGCTCATCTCTATCAATGTAGTACACTCATCCTCGACATTGGGGTATCAGAGAAGGAGTACTGTATCTTCGAGGAGCTGTAGATGTCTGCGTTCTCTATCTTGCTTCACTGTCGCCAGTACGTCTTCTTTTATTTTACATATCTTCAACTTCATCGATGTATCCAGATGTAAGAAAAGCGCTTTTGTCGATCGCACGGAATACCAAGAGGCCGGTATCATTGCCTGTCCAGTGCCTAGATGTAACCATATCTGGTGGAAGTCTTGTCAACAGACTGTAGGTGTCACCGGTCCGTAGCATAGCTGTGATGGATCTTCAGAGCTGGACCATCTGATGAAGCAACGAGGCTGGAAGTACTGTCCAGGTATGTATATCTCATAACAACATCAAAAACATTCCCTAATACCGTACAGGCTGTAAAACTTCCGTGCAGAAGGAAAGCGGGTGCAACCACACGACGGTATGTTGATGAGAGTGCCGACGAGGGATCTTCTGATTCTCTTTTCCAGTGCATGTTGCTCGATAGTATCACAATGCTTCGCCAACACCACAACTGTCGCCAGGGAACACATCGAGGCTTGTTTTTTTTAAGTAGCCTTTCATGATACTCCGCTAGATGCCATATCTTGCTGTACAGCCCCGAGTCTTCATGGAGTTCATAGTGGAACATGTTAATAATAAGTAGAGTCAAGGACCAGACAGGATATCAGCGACTCTGTCATCCTGGAACTATATGCGACTGGTTCTCGAGAAAGGCAGGAGTCGTTCGCAGGATAACATCTGTTCCCCAAAGTGGTTTTCTGGGGCGCTCAAAATATGTACCAACTCTGTTGTTCTTTGTTGAGATTTGGACTGTACCCAGAGTACATGCTTGTAAGACCTTTAGTCTTTGGGTTACAAACTCCTGAGGAATTCCCCCATTGACTTCTCATATTTATACTAGACTACTCCTTTTCTAGTAGTTTCTACCCAATTCCTTCAATTTCCCTTGGATTCCTTCCTTACTCAGCATGCCGGAATGCCAGATTGCTCGAACTCTCTCGCAGATTCCAACATTCTTAAGTGCGCGACGCTGGGTTCCAAGACGTACGTGCGTATACTTTCCAGTTTCTGTTCACTTAAGTTCTTTCTTGTGAACTCCATTTTCACATTCATGCCTGACAATGCCTCTTTATAAATACTCGTCCGTAAGGCAGTGAAATTGTATTATCATTCACGTACACTATTCGAGGCTCCGGATGAGATATAAAGATGTTTTTCTACATATAAAGGTTCGCGCTAGATCTATGTACACACTGACAGACCATCATGCGCTCCTTTAGTCTCTGCCTCAGCATTCACGATATCTGCGAATCGTGCTTCAAACAAAGAGACGAAGGCATCAACGAAAGCGTCTTCCGCAGCATACTGTCCTCCAGTAGCAATGATAGTTAGACTCCCAGATGGAGGCCCCACCACGTTAAGTTTGAGAGCAGACCCAACGTACGAATCGCACTGGGCGAACCACATGTCATCGATAGACCATGCATCAATACCGTGCACTACGATTCGCCCGACGTTGGAAATTTCCAGCCCTCCTTCCCTCTTAGCATCATACTTCCCAGTGAAGTAACCTACAAAGCGACCGAAAAGGTATCCCAGCATGCCGACCGCTGGTGGTGACGCGGTCTTCTGTTCACGAAGAGTAGAAGCGTATGTTGAGGCCAAACGCCATGAAAATTCAGGCTGGAATGCGGGATAACTGTGATGGGTAGAGACATGTTCACACATATCTTCTTCGGAAGCACCCGATAGGCTACGCAATGATATGGGAATGGATGCCGCTATTGTTTTGTATTTTTCAGAAGGCTTCATATCTTGGATTGTTTGGGAAAGAGCCGAGATGGCAACAGCATATAAAGCCGAGGTGACGGTAGCCCTATGAGAGCGGCACTCCTCGTGGAAGCGAGCTACATCTGAAGCGGAGAACTGCATGATTCTGACGCGAGTGGCGGTGTTGGGGGTATGTCCAACGGGATTCCCGGTCCAGGCAGTAAAGCGAGGGGTCCAATAAATTGGTAGAAAGAGATTGAGTACCCCCCGAAGAACAACCGAGAGTGGAGGTGAAACATTCACGACGCTTTCGAGGCTGGGTGAGAACTTGGCAGTGAGGGGAACTTCAACGACGCTGTCTATGTCCTGAGGCTGGGTCTGTTTCAGGGCGTTGAGAAGAGCTCGCTGAAACGCAACCCCGCTTAAACCATCTCCGATGCAATGGTGCCAGGCCAAAACGACAATCTTCTCCTCCAGAACTACCAGGCGCCACAGTGGCGCTTCGGATGAAATATTGAATAGCTTCAAGAACTGGACCTCCAATATCTCGGCAATTGTAGAACCATGCACATATTCCACAACTTCAGTGAGGTTGACGCTGCGTAGCCGAGAATATACTGGTTGAATAGTGTCCCGATCGACAATATGAACTCCCAGAGCGCCATGTGTCTGAATAAGTACGCGTAGCGCTGGAAACAGCACCTGCTTGGACAGCGAAAGGCCCCCAGAATGACTGTACTCGGCTGCAGAAATAACGCATGAATCTAGCTGCAATGCCCCTCGAATGATATGGTATTGCTCCAGTGCACCTGAGGGATTGTATTAATGGATAGTAAGTCGGTTTATGGATGGTAATAGCATACCTGCACCGCGAATACGCCTCTCAACGTCGTTGGTCATTATGGTCTGAAATTCAGGGTCTCAGAGCGATTTGGGGAAACCTTGGCAGGTAACCCTGACTGATGCCCCTGGTTGAGATTGCCAGCGCATTTCACCCGTCGCAGCGGTCGGTGGGCAGGTCCAGGCCGACGGAATGAATGCGCAGAAGAGGGAGAATGAGCTGAGTTTCTTTGTTCAGCAATAATTCGTTATCTGAAGAGATGAGGCAGGATTTTAAATTGTTTAAGCATGTCATATTAATCACAGAACACCAAGAGCAGCATGCGATGGTAGCATGTAGGAAGGTGATGGTTGAATAGAGTAGAAGAAAGGGCAAGAACTCAAGCATGTACTCCAACGTACAGACCCCTGCAAGTTTGCAGAAAAGCCCTTAGTAGAATGCTCGTCGATGAAGAGAAATGGCAAAGTGAGGTCATTTATGTAAGCGAGTACTGCGGACGCGATGACATCGACCAGTCCATTCAAGGCAATGACCTGCTTGCTCACCATCGGGATCATTCAATGCAGAGTCGACCAGACAGGCCTCTCATCGTGAAATGCACCTTTGACAGATGGAACAAGAGGATTACCTTTGCATCCTCTAGGAACTGCACCTACATTCTCCTCCGGCACAAGGTGCGTACAGCATTCTAATCTTACACAGCACCCCCATTCACTTCTCTCCTAGGTAGAACAATGCTTTTCCTTGTCAGCTTCCACGTATGCTATCACCTACAAGGATGACGATGGCGAAATCACCGATATCAGAAACGAGACTGACCTTACGGAGGCTATCCAATACTTCCAAGCAGGTAACGACGACCCTCCTCTGTCGTCAGCCGCGTCCATTCTGTCAGGTCGCAGCTTTGGAAGCCGTAAAATCACCCTTCGTGTTCACATCACCGTCGACTATGACGGTCCAAGTCTGTCCGATACGTCCTCTGTAATCAGTCTTGATGAGTACAAAGGGCGCAATGGCAGCGAGTTTTCCTTCTCCTTTGGCGCTCCTTCCGTAGAACTTGATGATGACTCCGTCACCGTCAGCTCTAAGGATACTGGCGCAATGTCTAGAGCGGAATCCTCTCGTAGCGCCGGCTTGAGACCTCCAGACCGCACTTCACAACTATCCGGGGAGTCATCCTTTAGCATGGTATCGCGCGGTGCCAATTCTACTCGTGGACGATCACCAAGTCCTGGCCTTCAAACAGCTCGTGGTGCTGGGGATCCGTTCTCGGATGACTACCGGCAATCTGTCGAGAGCCGCTTCCCGGCAGACCCGTCTGCAGTGTTTGAACGTCTCAAGTTGGAGGAGGCCATCGTGGATGACCCTTCGAGCATAAATCATGATTCCCTTGTCAATCGTGGGGCGGAGTGGCTCCGAGACCAGAACGAGCGCGCGATTCGCGCCACGCTTGGTATGCTGCCAGAGCCGTCTGAGGCTGACACATATTCTCTTGCAGAACAGAGTGATTCGTTGGGAGGTGATTTAGCGCTCCACATGGATAATCGAGGCAAATATTATTACTCTTATACTGCTGCGGGATCTTCGAATGCTTCTCAAACCCAGGACGACATTACTTACGACATTGATCCTAGTATCGAGACTGCCTCCAAGATGGAGAAGCCACGACCTACGTCCCGACATCTTAACTGGCTAGCTGCCCAACAGGTCATCCCGGAAGAAAAACCATCTCGCAGCCATTCTGACCAATCCACCATCGATGCGATTCCTCGCGAACTCCTTGAATCACTCCCCCTTTCAAGTCCCGAAGTCCTGACGAGCTGTTCTGAATGCGGCGTTCTCCTGGATTCAATCCGTTATGTTTGCTCCATGTGCGGAGAAAAAGATCCTATCGCAGTATCTGGACAAATCAATGGCAAAGGAAAAGATAAAGATCCCTTCGCTCAAGACCCACTGTCTTATCCACCTCATGCTCACCGCCACCTCCAACCACCGTCCCAAACATTTTCAAATTCGTCACTAACATATGTTGGAAGTTACGAATCTCTCGCCAATCCTCAACACTGCTATAAACCCCTTCCATCCGTGCCTAACCTGGTTTCTGCTTCCCAGATATATTTGGACGGCGGAATATATTTGCAGCCGTCCAGCAAGGGCTACGAACTATGTTCTGGGTGTATCGAATCCGCAGGCCTGATGCATGCCATAGAAGCCGGTGGTGTTGCTTCAGGAACGTCGCCTACAGCATCCAATATCGCATCATCTTCTCCGCAAGGCGCGTCTGAGTGGCGGCGCCTGGCTCCGAAGGAGAAGGGTAAGCTCAGACATGCATATCATGAGAAGATATGGAGTTATGAAGGTTGGAAGGACGTTGGTACGTGCCTAGCTTATGGCATTGAACTCATGCTTAATAAACATTTTCACTCCTTAGAACAAGACGCAGCGGACACGATTACATGTTCGGCTTGTGGCACAGTTACACCTGTTGGTCTAGGGAAGTGTTTCAAGTGTGCATCGTGTAAAAAACATTACTTGTGCCGGGGATGTTATAGGTGAGTCATCCGATTGTTCAAATCATGAATTTGATGTTGAAGAGTATGGACAGTCAAGTTCATGAACGACATCCACAGCATGCATTTTATGTTGTTCCAGATAAAGACCCGCGATCGCTCGGTGAATCTGATTCCTTCCAAACCACACCCCCAGATCCTAGCGACGAAGAATGTAAGAATGCCCTTCACAGATTTAAAGTTTGGACTGATTCCGTTTAGTCATGAAGCATCCTGGTGTGAAATGTGCGCAGTGAGTTAAGATGACATGTGCATCGTTATTATTGCTGACGGTATCTATCTTCCAGCTGTCTTCTAGACATTGTCGGTGCCCGGTTTCACTGCGCCATTTGCGATTCTATTGACATATGCTCCAATTGCGAGTCGGCCGGACTGCCGGGGAATTTGGACTCTGCTGACGGTGGTCATAACTCGTCTCATATCCTGATCAAGGTAAGAAGGCCAAAGGCAGATGCACGCGCTGCGCAGCTGAAAATTCTCAGATTCCGTTCCCCTTGGAAACGAACGAAGTAAATATGAATTACGTCTACTTTCAAGGAAACTTTTAACTGTATTTGACGCAGGTGCAAACAGCAAGCCGGAGAGCTATACATCTGTGGACGGGGAGAGATGCACAACATGCAATACACGCAGGTTCTCCTTCAAAGGCTAGCTCAGTTGTGTCAGGGTATAGCAGGACGGTGGTTGGTACATCGCATGCCAATGAAAATGAACATGACCATTTGTGCAACGGATGTGCACGGGTACGTCTCGTGTTTTTTTTTTTTCACTTCCTTTCCGTTTTTACTGATTAAGCGAATGGTTACCGATAGCCGATCATAGGTGTGCGATACCAGTGTGCTAATTGCCCCTCAAAACCCAGGTCGTACAATTTGGTGAGTCACATCTGTCTAACTTTCGTATTAGTAACATGGATTATGCGCAGTGCGCTCGATGCGAAGAAAAGTCGTATCAGTTACATGACCCCCACCATGCATTCTTCAAATTACCCCGACCCGTTGACTACCCCATAGAGTCTCAGTTTCCTCTGATACCCAAGCTGTAAGCGCCTTTTTAATAGTTTCGCACTAGCTGATGTTGGTGACAGGTACAAGGTGCCTGCGGGCCCACCACCAGATGCAATAGTAATCTTTGCAGACCCGAAAGGTCAGTCATTTAGAGATCCTTCTTGGATCGATTCTTATGACCATACCATGAAGCATACCTAAGGGACGTATATAACAGCGCTGCTGTATGTGACAACTGTATGTCGCGTATACGGGGCGTATGGTTCAGATGTGCATACTGTGGCAAAGATTTGTGTGATGCCTGCGAGCCTGTGGACGTGCACAATGACAAGCACGTCTTTCTCGTGTTTAAATCTACGGTAGACATGCAAGCAGTCAAGTAAGTGCCCTGGACTTGACATATTCACCGCGGTTCTCAACTTCTTCTCCAGAATATTCACAGACATTGAACATCCAACCCGCAGTCCACCTATTATCCCACACCCGGTGTATCGTTGACCGACGATCGATATTTCAAAGACCTAATATACATGCATGTAATTTATACAACGGCAGAGGATCAACCCTTTTTGAAACCTGGATAGGACATGAGATATTACAACGCTTTAGAAGGAACAGGACGGACCTAAGCGACGACGCTCGTAGAACAGATCGGTTCTACTAGCACCAAGGTTGACGATCTTGGGACACCCATCGCGGTCTTTCTCTAGCCGTGTGCACTCGGCACAATAGTATGCATCAGAAATACCTACCAATAATGATAAACCGGCCAGAAAATCAAGTCTGAGAACGTACCCGGAGAACCGCAGATTATGCATCTTCCACCATACGTCCCAAAATTACACTCATCGCAGATCCGTACCAGAGTTTCAGGTCGCACGTACGAGTCACAGACTGGACTGTAGGGGAGTGAGGATATGTTGAAAAGGATACGGGCTGCTACGTACCACTTGCCGTCACATTTCTCGCATAGACGCCCGATAGCTTGAATTTCTATCAGTCTGGGATATTGTTACATGAAAACGTTTCCTCACCTATACCGGGCTGTCGTCGACACATGATCAAATCTAGGATATGGTGTCAATGTCGTTCCATTTCGTTCCATTAGAGTGAGAAAGTTACGGCGTACCGGGATGATGCTTCGACATGGTCGATGAGAGAGTACCCAATCCAAATTTGGAGCAAGCTTTACCAAGCCTCTCACTTTGGCTCTATTTGCCATCGTGAGTTTTCGAATAATTACAAAAAATATTTGTCAAAAACACATGATATTTCCAATTCTTAACTCGAGCTGCGTTTGTACGCTGCGCTCCATCCACTGCAGCATCTTCGCGTCTCTTCATCGACGAGCTCGACGACGATGAGCTTCCAAGACATCGAGGCAGGCTATTCAGCCAACTCGTCGTCGTCAAGTGGTCCAATCTCCAGTGAAGATGCCGCCTTTATGTCCCTCCAGTCGTCCCTCTCTCTCCAGGTTTTCAAGATCAATGCCAATATCCAGGGCATTCGCAAGCTCGTAGAGCAGCTGGGAACACCAAGAGACTCGAATGTGCTTCGTAAACGGCTGTGCGTAGTCTATTCTCTGGCGGTGGCAGTAATGCTTTGACTGCGTTTCCAGGCATGACTTGACAGAGAGCTCACAGTCAATGGTCAAACGCGGTTCAGAGGACCTGAAGAAACTGGCGGTCCTTCAAGGAGGTCTTGTGAGATACAGAATATACTATCATTTGTTGAGCTCTCATGGTACTCGTATCCAGCCACACCAACATGCCTCCCTGCAGAAGACATCTCACGACTTTCAACTGTCTCTGTCTTCATTCCAACATGCGCAAAGAGCCAGTGCGGAGCGACAACGAACAGTCGTGGAGGGGGTCCGTATGGCTGTGGAGGACGACCATGACCATCAGTGCGTGTCGTTGCCACCAGCCCGACGGTAGATACCTAATTCTTTCTGTAGACCCGGCGACCCTGTCCAACACCAATCTCTCCTCCTTCAGTCCCGTCTCTCGCCGCACGAACTCGCATATCAGGAATCCCTCATCCAAGAACGCGAGAATGATATTAGGGAGATTGAGTCGGGCATTCACGAGCTAGCAGAAATATACCGGGATTTGGGGACGATAGTTGGGGAGCAAGGGGAAATGCTTGGTGTGTTCGTATGGGATAATCATCTTTTGGTACTGATTTATGTCACCCAGATAACATTGAGGCCAACATATCAGCAGTAGCTGTGGACACATCGCGGGCGTCCGAGGAGCTCACAACAGCTGCACATTATCAGCGCAAAGCCGGGAAGAGGGCCGCTTGCCTTATGATTGTTCTGACCATTGTAACTGCTATCGTGCTGTTAGCCGTAAGTGACTTCCACCACTTTCCAACATCTGTCTTTAATTTATCATCCTTTCTTCAGGTCCTGTCCTAGTTGCCAGTGTGATTTTTCTATTTATTTTTATATGCTATGCAATGTTTCCTTGCGTTGACAAACACAACCCAGCCAATGATTTAGCTCACATTTACCCTGAATCAGAACACTGCTGTCGGTATTTACCTGCGCGGACATACCGTCTTGAAGTTTACAAGATCTCACATCCCGGGTAGTGATAAAGATGTTGTACTGTATGTAACCTGACGTCTAGAACATGAAAAAAAGAAAACCAAAATATTACATACAGTTCGTATGACTCAAGGACTTCTCTTCAATCTCTGCACAATTATTTACGACAGATGGAAACTTCCTACACCCTCTTTAGTGGCAACCCGCAGCTTTTCCCGCATGACCTCTTTCGAACTGTAATCTGGCAATTTCAGATAGTTCACGCATGTCATGACACTGGGCAGGTAGTCGTCTGCCGTAAGGGGTGCTTCGTGGGGTTTCCTGACCACTGTTAAAGGTGGGTTCAAGCCACGGAAACCTGAGTGTGTTGTTAGGTATCCTTCACTCCAAGCAAAGGATGCACATACCTCCGATAGGGAGCTTGGGACTTCCAGTGATGAACTGCAAGCAATCACGACGAGTGGGAGCGTCGTAATCCGCCAGTATTTCGACAAGATCATGAATGGCTCGACTTTCGGGATTGAAACCGTGGTCAGCTTTCAAAGCTTCGCTAAGAGCTAGTCGAAGAATGAGCACTGGGATAACACACAGACATATGATAACGTACTCTCGATGCTCCAATCCTCGTCAGAATTGCCAAAGAGCATGACCAGCTCATCGGCTGAGAAAGCCTGAAGGTCTGATATAGGGAAAACTTTGGAGAATCCTTCGCGAAAAGCCTTCGCTTGCAGTGCAGTACCTTTGCCGATAATAGCATCAAGTACTGCTTCAACGTACTCATTGACGTTCTCAGCGGTAACGGCAATGTCCCGTCCCCCCGGCTAGAGAATTTCAGTTGAAGCTTGATTGTCAAAACGGCAACGATCGTTACTCACCCGCAATTCGATATCATAACCAGGTATCGTGAAATCGAGCGCAAGATCCTCAATATCAATGGACTCAACCATGGCAATCTTTCTTGATAACTAGAGACAGGTTAGACTGATGTTATATAATATATCAATTGATTCGGGCAAACCTTATCGGCGCGGATTTGGTTCTGCGTACTGACAATGTTGAGTACCTCGATTAACGATTTCCCGAGATCGGCATCCACAAGCTAGTGCAGCACGATAAGCCTGGAATGTAGAATGAGACGAATAAGCTTTACCTGCAAAGTCGCCACTGTCACAGGAACTTCCTCGCCCAAAACGAGCTTGAGGAAGACCTTGTTGAACGACAGATCGATAATACGAGAGTCGAGCATTGCCTTCGCAACGAATTGGCCAATGACTCTGAGGACATGCGTGCGTTTTCTGGACATTCAAAAGATAAGCGTCTGGGCGTCATTGAAATAGTGCAGAACATACTGTCCGCCATCGCTGGCTATATCCTCCGGACTTATTGGAGCCGGATACAGTCCCACCGGATGATTGACATATATGCCGGAGCCAGGTAGATCATTGTCCCGCCATAACTTGAGATCTTTCCTTGCAAACTCTTTTGAAACTAGAGAGTAGAACTCCAGTGTCGGTCCAAGACCTGTACCTACCTCCTCAAAGTACTCGACTTCTAAAACGGAAGACGATGATCCATATAGTTCGAAGACCTTCACTGCTGACTCCAAGATGTGCTTGCGAGATATCCGGACCTTTTGTCTCTGCAAACGACCCAAGAAACCAATACCATCGTCTCGCCGCGAGTTATCCTGCGCACGGCCTTGTTGGCTCTGCCATTTGAGTATAAGTCGGGCATAACCGAACGAGGTTGATTGCAAGAAGTTGTATCGCGTGGCAAAAGGAAAGAGGAAGGGGAAGTGCTGAGGCAGATCAAGCGCCCAATCAGGTAGACAAGAGCTAAAAGAAAGTTCAAGCAACATAAGGATGATACAGTAACTCTTTTACCTTGCGACAATCATGGGCTCTTCTAATTGCCGAGTGAGCTTGGCAGTAAGCTTGTTATTCACAAAAGCGACTTCGGGTAAATTCCTCTTATCGCCATTAAAGACAGCTCTCTCGGCCTCGGTAGTGTTCAGTTGATGGAGTACACGTAGGAGACGCAGAATCTTAGCATGCGGGGCATCTTCCGGAAGAGATGTCAGCGACAGTACAGAAGACCGACCCTTAACTCCATTTTCGGCTCCATTTGCTACGAAACGAGTCAGCGCATGCAAAAAAGAGACGGCTGCGCTTACTGTCAGATGACGGTAAAGGTCCTTGGACCTTCTTGAACTTGACGGTGTAAACACCCTGCCAAATCAGGCTTGACGGGATGGGCCCGGCATTCTTCCTCATCTCATGTTGATGCATAGCACCATAGATAGTCAAGTCCAATGGGAGGATATGATCATCCATCGAAAATTCCAGATGCCAATCCTGAGGTTTAGTTTTCAAAGCAGCTGCATAAGAAACCTTGCTTAACGAAGAGGACCGAGAAGGCGCGTTGCCTTTACTTGAAAGACTCGGTGTTGCGACTCGCGTGCCATCAGGGGTCTGCGCTTCCACCTTCGTACCATCTATGGAAGTTGAAGTCAGAGAAGCCACACCCCAGAAAGATGTAGTGAATACCTTCAGCTACCGAGAGTGTCACTGTTTTGTCTGATATGGAAGTGTCTGGGTCGACGTCATCGTCAAAGACTTCGGCGTCAACTTCATCATCACTAAAGTCGGCATGGATTTCGGAATCGACAACAGTGTCACTGGGAGCAGTCTCTGGAGCATTTTCGTTAGGTATCGGACCGGCGGCATGTGTATCTGAAGATTCAGCCGTCGCAGAATTTTTTGCACTAAGACGCTGACTTCGACGGCGAGTGATCGAGAGTTTGGCTGCAGGAGTAGATGAACCGGCATCGCCTGTGGCAGACGTCGGGGCTGCTTCTTCATTCCGGGATGACGGCCCACTAGTGAAGCCTGATGCCGCCAAAGCCGCAAGCATGCCAGATAGACGACTTCCGCTTCCTAGAAGTCCAGCTACGCGCGGCCGGAGATAATCATGGAGAGCTTGAAATGTGGCAATGGCATGGATCGATACCACGATGTTATGAAGGTTGCGCGGTACACCGGATTCATCGCCGGCTACTAACCTTAGGCGAAGCTGTCGAGCCAAAAGAGAAGGAGAACTTCGTTTTGAGTCTGAGTCAAAAGATAAACCAGAAGATTAATAAGGAACACGAGCACCCATAACGTGCCATACCATCAGAGCTTTGGGCCACGGTAACAACATCAAAGGACTCCATTCTGGTGAGACTTTCCTGCAGTTTTTTGACGAAAATGGTGAACGGCGTCTGAGAACTGCTGAGGTGCTTTGCTCTACGATTGACGAGTGCATCAAGCAGAAGTTCCTTCCTTCTGGCAAGGCTCACTATGAAAGGTGTGAACAAAAGATGTCAAGCTTACAAGAAGCTACATACCTAACCCTTCGGTTTCTGTTGCGAAGCTTAACAATGTATCGACGACTCCACTCTGCAGTAGCTCGAAGCTGGAGACAGAAGTATGAGGCGAAGAGAAAAGATCCGCCAATTCCCAAAGCGCTTCTGTCAGTTCCTTTTCCGACGACGTTCGGGAAGATATACGTTCAACAAGACGTCGAAGGGTGTCGAATCCAACGTCAGAGTCGCCCTGGTCGTCACCTGACAAGTGCTTGAATTTTATGACACGGGCTCGCAGCGTGATTGCATCGTCAGGATCCATAGACAAAGAGGTCAACTTCTTAAAGCCCGGAATTGTTGGAGCCGGTGTTGTAGCTGCACTACTCATATCCGGAGGTGTCGAAGTCTCGGAAGATTCCTTGTCTTTATCCCCTTTGTCTTTGATTTTTGAAGATATGACGGTTCTTGTGGCAAGACCTTCAATTTCATGGTACACGCCTTCTCGTTTGAAAGTAGGCATGTACAGGGAAGGGACTTTGGAGAGCAACAAGTCCACAAGCTGCAGTGCACCAATGACTAAAGTGGGATGATCCTTCGAGGACAAAATCGACGAAGCGAAGCTGGCGACGGGTACAAACTAAACAAATGTGCAAGTCAGTGAAGAGGCAGGTAAATTACAACAAATCCACCAACCGTTAACACTCGCTTGAGACCTTCAGCATCGAGGAAGCTGATAGCTTTGAGCAAGCCTGTGAGTGTCTTCACGCGGATGGGTGTAATAACGCTCGCAGCATACACATCAATTAGAATTGGGACGGTCAGATTCATGAATCGTCCAACGACCTCAGACTTTGATCGAAGCAGTTCTGCGCGGTCTGGAGGCGCGCTAGGACTAGTTTCCCCGGATCTATGTGTTTCATGAGGGACCTGTGCAGCTATGGATGCCTCTGTAGGTCCTGCCTCTTCAGCAGCGGGGAAAACCATTAGAGCTGCTGCCAACGTCGCCTGTGATGCTTGTCGAGCTGCTACTCGGTCAGCCTTGGCCTTGGCTTTCTGCATCTTTGTGAGGGATTTTTCCGTATATGCCTTGTGGTCAAATACTCCGTCTAGAGAATCGTCAATAAAAGGTCTGAAGAACAGAACAGAAGCTCACCTTTCGGCAAAGGCGGCATCAGCTCAGATATCAAACTAAGGGCTTCTTCAACTTGATCCTTTGGCCTATGTGCAAGGTTCTCCATGACAGTCATATCGGCAAGCCCGCCTCCAAGGCCCTGCCCTCCGGAAGAATTGCCCTGTTCGTATCCATTTTCAGTGGTGGGTGGAAGAACTCCGGTGAGGATCTGATACAAAGTATCAACGATATCCGCTTCAAGCAGTGCGATGGTAATCTTCGGGCTACATCTGGCAGCTGTAGCGAGCGCACGAAGCAGAAGCGTGAACGTGTTTGCCGCAATCATGGAAGAACCACCTCCAGGCATGAGAAGCTGGTTAACCGCCCGGATCAGCGCTGTATCAACCAAAGATTCCAGGTTCTCGGTCGACGATCGATGGTACGAATCCACGACCCGAATGACACACAGGCAAGCGAATTCAACCAGCCGTTGATCAGAGTATGCCAAGCAATTTCTGATGATAGGCCAGACACCTAGTATCATAGTGAAATGGTCCGGTGAGATGTTGCGGCAGCAATTTGATGCAGCTTGAAGAGCGGTTCTTTGTACCGCGATGGAAAAAAAGTCAAGATAGTTAAGTAGAGCCGCAAGACCACCTTCGCGAACGATGGAGCTTGGGAATTCTTCTGAAATTTTTTCCATAGTCTAGATGAAACAGATCAGTTAAAGGAAACGTGGAAATGGGAGAGATTACGCACGCTCAAAGTCTGTTCGGCAAGGTCGATATATGAAATCTCAATGAGTTTACTGCAGAGAACGGGAATGGCACCGTGGTACACAACAGTATGGGCCACACCAGGTAGTGCCTCCATTAGATTGGCCAAGCATCGGCATGCAAGCACCTGAGCTTCCAGGTTGCTGTCTCCCTGAAACATACCGCCTGCGCTCATGGCTAACGCAGCAGCTAATGCAGCGTCTTCATCCCGCTCATGATGTTCCTCATCTGCGTCTTCGTCTTCATCGTTGTCTGCACCACGCCCACCTAGAATTTTGACAAGTTCCCGGACAAACTGCTCTACCTGGAATGAGCCAGCCAGAGTGTCCTCAGTACTAATGCTTAACAGTTCGCTGAGCTCCTGTAGAGTCACCAGGCGAGTGGTAGGGTCCGCAGTGCTCTTGATGTTATTCAGCATTGTCTTGAGACGAGAGGAGAGCGAAAGCATGTAAGAGCCAAACTGACGATAGTCTCCGAAGATAGCCATGGCAGTCGTCTCGTCCAATCCCCCTGGTATAGTGCCTCCTGGTCCTGAAGGCATTAAGACATCATTATCGCCCTCATCGTCATCATCTCCTTCATCATCATGTCCATCTCCCGGTCCTGGATCATGGTCATCTTCTGATCCTGCGCTTTCGTGGTCTTTCCCGTCATCGACGGGGTCTTCCATTCGTTCGTCATGATCAGACTCTTCTCGTTTGTAGTCAGAATCACCCATATCAACATCATCGTCTTCGAGGCGAGAGGAGCTGGCAACAGCCATTGCTTTAGATCTCATGGCCATCTTTCCTTTCACAGCGGCTGATGAGCTAGGAAACCATTAGTCACCAGCGTGCGCATAAAGGATGATGACAAACCGGGTCTTTCTGGGCATGTTAGCTGGTTGTTTGGAGATAGACTGGGAACGAAGGGAATATGCGGTAGTTCTTGCACGTTTGGAAGAAGGGCCGGAAGCGTCGTCGTCGGAATTAGTGTCTAACGCTGCGCGTTTCTTGCCCTTGGGATCCTTGAGTGGTTCGTTGATGGTTAAGGCTGCCGGTGTAGAAGCTGCGCCTCGACGAGTTCTAGGGTGTCATTAGCAACAATAGACCGACCGTATGGGTGTACGAAGCATACCGTCTGGATTGGCGTAAGGACTCGTCAGATGTGTCTTTCAGCTTGGAATTTTCTGTGGATTCTTTCGTTCGTTTGGCTTTGGTGGTGGCTCGGGTGGTCCTTGTAGAGGTAGACTCCGTCGCTGGTAGGGCAGACGATGATTCTGCAGAGCCTGTATCGCGTTCCTTTGCCTTTCCGTTGTCCTTGGACTTATTCTTTGCGGCCTTGGTCCGTGCACTCGAACGCAGTGAGCGGGGTTCAGTAGCGGGTAATGAATCGAAGTCGAGTGGGAGGTGAATAGATGAACTAGAGCTGGCGGTGGCTTCCTGTTGATGGGATGATGACAAGTCCATTTAGGTGCAGCCAGCCATCGATCCAGTCGTCGTACGTGCAAATAAAGGGAGGATGCCCAGAGCCGTGCTCCAAGTTGTGGTCCGAATCCAAGAACGTCTGCGTCCAAGCAAGGCCCAAACACCCTTGACCACACCGCCTTACGTAAGGTGGCGTACCGGTGATACCCAATCGCCTCCATTTCTTTCATTTCTTCACTTGTTATCATTCTATCTACGGAATTACGCTTTGTGTTCCTGCAATATCTCGTCTATACTATCCCCAAGAATATCCACAATCTGATCGATCTCCTCAGCGGTAACATTGTAAGCAGGCGAAAGCATAATATGGTTCCCGTCGATGCCTTCCCAAACAGCGCCTCCCGTCATCCCCATGACGATAAGTCCTTTCTTGAAAGCGCGCTCCTGAATAAGTATACCGACTGGTTTGCCCTTGATATTGTACGATGCCGCTTCAGGGCACAAGAAGTCCAGCTCAATGCCCCAGAATCCTCCCCCTCCCCGAATATCGAAGATGAACGGAGCTGCGAAGGCGTTGGGTCCTTGCAGACGTTCCTTCAGTCGAGACTCTGAAAGGCCAGTATCAATATCACAGGCCATCGGATGAAGGAATAACCCTTCTGACCGAGATAAACGCCTTGCTTCCGACAGTTTTCGATAAGGCCTTCCGACTCGATCACCTTCTGTACCGCGAGAGATGCTGCACAAGCCAGCGGATGAGCCTAAATGCAAAATGAAAGGTCATTAATACCACCTTTGTTCATATAGACTGCAAACCTGGTACGTGTGCCCATGCTTCCAGAATCCTGAGCCATCGCGAATGCCATCCGCGATCTTTTTGGACATCAGAACAGCGCCTATCGACGCATACCTGTATAGGCACATGAGCGGTATACCATAATAAAAGAACTGTTACCCACCCTCCTCCAAGACCTTTAGCTACAGCTTGGATATCAGGCTGCGCAAACAGAAAGATCAATCATCCGAGACCAGGTGATGCAGATGGTCACTCACTGCGACGCCATCGCCATATAATTCCCATGCGTGGTAACAACCCATTCCTACAAATTCAATATTCATTGATAATCTCACTGACAAAAGATAGGCACTTACTTCCCATTCCACTCATAACCTGGGATTCATAAGAGTTAGAGTGAAAAAACAGCACTCATATCCAAGACAAACCTCATCAAGGATGAACAACGCACCGTATTTTTCACAAACAGCCTTCATTGCTTTAAAGTATCCCTTGGGCGCAGCGACGACTCCAGTTGTTGCACCAACAACAGTTTCTGCAACGACTAACCAAGTTTATGCGTGAGTGTCAGGTATGTTCTCGGAGATTGATAAAGGTACACACATCCAACAACGGTGTCAGGACCGAGTTCTATGAACTTGTCCTCCAGTTCCTTTCGCAGTCTTTCCACGTATTGTTCCTCGGTTTCGTCCGGTAATTGGAATCGTTTGGCATACGCTGGTGAAACGTGATGGAAGTTCCCATGATCAAGAATACCTTCATATGGAGCACGACGCGCTGGGTGGTGAGCGAGCGAGAGCGTCGCAACAGTGTTTCCGTGGAAGGACAACTGTCGCGCGATGAAATTTGTGCGTTTGAGTTGACCTGTTTCATAAAAGTACTACATAAATGAGGTTAACCATACATATCTATTAAAGTCTAATGAGTTCAACTAACCTGCCTCGCAAGCTTGATCACACCCTCCATAGCCTCAGAGCCTATGAATCAACTTTAAAATGGGTACCAGTGTCACCGATAAGGTATGCCAACCTCCAGACACGAAGCCACATAGATCAAACGCGCCGTTTCCAGTGGAGATCAGATACTTTGCAAGTTCCTCTGCCGGCTCATTAGATAGTTGCATATTGTACACATCTTTATCGCATGAATGTCAGGAACTGGGATTTCAATGCAGATGCATGACCTACAGGAAACTTTGTCCAGTTGATCCTTAATGGCCTGTTGGACCACCGGATGGCTGCTACCAATGCACGCAACGGCAGCACCGCCAACGGCATCTATCAGAATGCTTCCATCCTCGAGCTGTATCTGAATTCCCTTGGCACTGGAAGCAACAGGAGGCCTCCAGGGCGTTCGATGAAGAATAGATGTTGGTCTGAATTGTGCAGGCATGGTGGGTAGATAGCCAGATACGCAATTCTCGACTAGTTATATATGATTCAAATCGGATGATAATCGATAGGATTTGACGCCGGGGAACCGTTCCCGTGCCCCTGACGTACTTGTCTGAATCAGCAAATGGCACCTATCATTGGAAATGTGCGTGAGTACGAACGATACCGAAGAGGCGAATATATATCAGAATCTGCCGGATGACCACGGTTTTCGTGAAAGATGGATGGTATACATCTTGGGCGCTGATGTATTCGGACGCAAAGTAGAGGAAGGAATAGAGAGAAGGACAGTCAACAGCGGCGACTGATCGGACGATATACAGGCAGAAAGGAAAAGCGTGTATTTGCATATGTGTACCGGCAACCTTGCCTTATGTGACTCTGTGTGACCCTTGTCACGTCCTCCCACGGACCCCAACAAACTTTGGTTGACGGTGACTCGTTCCTCCTCCTCAAGACCCTTCAAAACATTCTGAAGTAACTATGGTCCGTATGCTTTTTCTCTGCTTCACTAGAATGCTGTTCAGTGTAATTCCGTGCAAAATTTCTGGCCGCAATCGCTGGATGCACTGTTTCTCGTTTGGATGACTTTGGATCGCGTATTCGAAACTGACCTTTCTTTCCTGTTTCTTTCCTGCAGGCCCGGGGACCAAAAAAGCATTTGAAGCGTCTTTCAGCACCCTCATCATGGATGTTGGACAAGCTCAGTGGGACTTATGTATGTCGTGCCATATTTCCGAGTTGGAACGAGATCATTCAGTAGTTTTTCTGTTATAGGCTCCCCGTCCTTCGCCTGGTCCCCACAGGCTTCGCGAATCCCTTCCTCTTACCGTCTTCCTCCGCAACCGTCTAAAGTATGCTCTGACCGGTCGTGAAGTTACTGCTATCGTCATGCAGCGTCTCATCAAAATTGACGGAAAAGTGCGTACCGATGCCACCTACCCTGCTGGATTCCAGGGTGAGTCTAAACATGTATTTGGGAAATGCCATCGTGTATTCACTGTGCTCTAGATGTCATTTCCATTGAGAAGTCTGGCGAGTACTTCCGTCTGCTCTACGACGTCAAGGGCCGTTTCACGATTCATCGCATCACCCCCGAGGAGGCCAGCTACAAGCTCCTCAAGGTTCGCAAGGTTGCTTTCGGTGCCCGTGGTATCCCTCATGTCGTCACCCACGACGGCCGAACTATCAGGTATCCCGATCCCCACATCAAGGTCAACGACACCATCAAGTTCGACCTTGAGCAGAACAAAATCGTTGACTTTGTCAAGTTTGACACCGGCAACATTGTTATGGTGACGGGTGGTCGTAACATGGGTCGCGTTGGTGTTATCGTGCACAGAGAGAAGCACGTTGGAGGATTTGATATTGTCCACGTCAAAGATTCCTTGGACCGAACATTCGCTACCCGGTATGCATTTTACTTATTATCTATCCAGCCGCTAATCCGATATCTAGGGTGTCTAACATTTTCGTCATCGGTGAGAGCACCAAGCCCTGGATATCACTGCCTAAGGGTAAGGGTGTCAAGCTCACTATATCTGAGGAGCGTGACGTCAGGCGAAAACGGGCTGCTGAGTAAATGTTCCCCATGTGCTATGTTGTGTCTATATGACCTCCTACTTTCGCATCCAATTTATGTCATGCAACCCATGGTCAGTATCCCAGATGTTGCGACTTTGTAAGACAGGCAAAACCAATATACGATATTTTACCAGTAATCGGGCTGCCGATATTCCACCACGTAATCTTTACCTTTCTTCTTCCTTTCTGCTTCCCACTTCTGCACCCATTTTGTCATTTTCTGCCGCGAATTCTCACTGCCTATATTAACAGTGGCTATCATTTTGGTCCATTGAAATGACATGGCAAAACATGTCAACTCAGAGAAGCTGGAATGCTCTGAGTATGGGACCATATATAGCTGTAATGTACTGGTAGAACTGCGTGCTGGAAGCATGTCGGTGTGAGCGAATGTGTTCTTCTGTGAGCGGGTTATGATGGTAGAGACCGACGGAGTCAAGTCCATCCCGGCAGGTGGCGTGTACCTGCAAGCAGGGTGTCAGAATGTAGGTATGGGAAATGCAAACTAAAAGACCGACGTCCATCCGGTAGGCCTAAACCCTACGGCCCGGCTGAAATATCCCTTATATCGCTCAACATACTCTTTCAATCGATCCGACGTTATGACACCAAGAGGGACGAGATGGACGAGAGCATCCAGGGGATTTGAAGTCAGCAATAAATGGAGTTCTGGATCGCACTGACAACGAAGTATAGCTGTTTTGCGTGCATCGCAGTACACCTTGGTTCGTAGTGCTTGGGCCATGGCTAAACGGAGAAAGGTTTGAGTGCAGTGCATAAGAACAGTACAAGATGGGAGGTAGCACCTTTGACAATACGTTCCTTCCCAATGGAGTATGTCCTGAAAATTGAGAAGGATAAGCGATGGAGCACTTGGTTTGAACTTTTGACGAACTTACCCAACAACCATCAGGGTTCGGTCCAGTTTCTGCTTCTCTTTTGCTTCGCGAGTAACAGCACTTAACCAGCCATTCATTTTGGTACCCACAACAGATCCGCCGGCTATGCGCTTTGCCAGCTCAGCACACGCCGAGATAACTAGTGGCTGAGGAGGAAAGGTGTACTGAGATAATCATCAACGCCACGCTTTCATACTCAACTAAATTACAGGCATCCACCTTAGGATCCAAGTATGTTGTATCCAGATAGACGTGATCTATCCGCTTCCCTTTCACCGCAGGATGCAGGACATGTCTTGGCGACGCACGAAAGTCACCGCAATGCAGGTAACGAAACACCCTTGGACTGCCCACAAAAGCTGACTTGAATGAGCTGTCTCCTGCATTGACAGTCTGACTGCCTTCAAAGAAGAAAAGGGAAGATCCGGGGCAATGGTTCGCTTCAATGAGGGTAACCTGTACACCGCCTGTATTGGGGATAACTGTAGGTTTATCCATCGGAAGAGCATGCACCCAGTTCCTGGGCACCTTTAGCATATGCATTATAAGATTTGCGGTTCCTTCGGAGCAGTAGATGGGTCCATTTGTCCAAGAGGACGACAAGTTGGTATAATGGTCAGAGTGAGCGTGCCTACAACGTCAATGAATTTTGGGCAATAGACACGACAGGCAATGGTACAAACGTCAAAAAGTAGGCAGTGACCCCTGGGATAGCACCATACTTGAATGCATCCACTGCGATAGGCATGCCCTGCAAAACCTTGTAAAAGGGTACTTTCCTCCGACCGCTGTTACTGTTAGTAGGTCGAAAGGTGCGATCTTCCATGATTGAAGCTTCCTTCCATGCTTCGTTCTCTTTGTGTGAAGACATTAATACCGTAAACGCGTTGCTCCCATTGGTTTGAGGTGGACGCGTAGGTTTCGCGTTCAGGCATGTCTGAACGTGACTTTGGATGTCCTACCGCCGAATTTTAGCTTAGCAACAACGATGATGATGGGGCCAACGACTTGCAGTAAACACAAAGTTTTCGCTCGCATGACGGACGGACGTGTCGTCGGAATTGACTGGTGCCACATTCTGCTTCGTAACGTCCTCCAAGATCTCTACTTCGTCGCCGTCCGGAAGCTCTCGTTCGTCATCCCCAGTTCCCCACTCATCAACGTACAGAGCGTCGCCTGTGTCAACGTCAAGACCCGCAGAAGAGGGACCCGCCCCAGAGGACAGCAGGAGTGTCGTAGGCTGTCCGAACACGAGGTCCCCTTCTGCAAGCCCGACTTCATGTTCCACAATTACTGGAGGGCTCGAAGAGAGGAGCAGGTCAGTTGGCTTTCCAAACGATAACGGAACGTCAGCCCCGGCCTTGATCTTCTCGTCGCACCCAGCCAGGTGCTCTGCAACGATTTCGATCTCTCCAGAGCTATTGCTCAATGTGCGCCTTCGTTTCTTGAAACTGGACTGCCGTGGGGTACTCTCATCCTCGTCATCAGATATCACGATAATATCTTCAGAAGACGACAGTACAAGTTTGCGTTTCGGCTTCGTTCCCGGTGCGGGTCTCTTAGGTGTTGCGGCGCTTGTAGTTTCTTTCGATGAGCGATGTCGTGAAAAATAATCGTGAAGAGTAGATGACACCTTGGAAGAAGTCTTGGATTTTTTGGACATTGTTGAAAGTTGTCGTCGTCCTTGGGTAGGTGGCTGTGCATTTACTTCCAAGTGTGTACAGTTTGTTTTTTTTTTTTTTTTTTGTCCTCAGCATTTGATTAACCGCAACAAGTAAGCTAACTACTAAGATGCAGTGGAGGTACAGGGCCTCAGGATCCTCTTTCCCTCTTGTTCCAGTCCCTCCATTCTTCCTTCTGAATTCCCTGGGTGTTTTGGCATAAGTGTGTACAGTCAACTATCTCACAATGCATGATGTCAAAATGCATAATTCTGACTTTGCATACAGATTGGACTGGAATGCAGTTGAGGAGCAGGAAAATGGGCTAGAAATGTATATTGCATAATGCATATGGTTCTAGTTAGGAATATGCATTGTTAGATCCAAAATTGTTGTAAGCCAATATGACATTGTGCATATATTAGAACAATGAAGAACATAATTTGTTTGTATAGACTATGACAAACACAAAAAAAATTATTGTAAAGCAGCACAGCCTATATCTCTATAAACATGCCTCCTGAGCCAACACAAAAACCACATGCTAAACCTGGAAATCCATATGAGCACACAAAACAGAAGGAGAAAGTCTCAATGTACACATCATCAGCTCAGCCTCCAGAGCAGATCTCTCACCCACACCTCACAACAGAAGACTGGCTCATAGTATTTAAACATGTTGATGACCATCCTTCCCATTGATATGCTGACATTGTGGCACATTTCACAAACCAAAAGGAAGGTGCACTGCTCTTTATCCAACCAACCCTTTCATGGAAACTGGCATCTCATACAAAAATCAAACAGCATGCAAATGAGAACCCTAATGCACTATCATCCAAAAAGTCTCACATTATCACCCAATCTGATGTGGAGTGTGCTGTTGCATCCTGGTATCAGAACAGCTTTGAGATAAGACTGGCATCCTGCTCTTATGGCTGTTATGAATGCAGAGAATGATGTTAATAAAACATTGGAGGCAGTCAATTAGTTGGCTCCTTCATCACAGTCAAAAATGAACACACCTCCCACCCAAATTGCCTCCATTCAACAGCTCCAGACAGCAGAGATAATGTTGAAGGACTATCTTGTTGAATTGAAATAATGAAATCACATGTTTGATCCTGTTGTAAGTAGAGAGCAGAGTATTGTACAGAAGATTAGAATTAGCCTCTTGAGAGAGAGACATTCTACTTAAATACATTTTGTATTGCTTTGAGATCTTTCTACAAGATACTAAATAAGTCTGGATCACAATCTAAGTCAGCTGCTGCTGACTGGCATTGTATCTTCAAGTATGTTTTTGTACTCACTCAGGATTGCTATCCCAACACACTCTCTCAATTCCAAGTTCCTAAAATACCTGCAGATAAATACTCATATTGTTATGATTTTTCCTTTTTTCCTTTTTTCTCTTTTCTTTTTTATGGAAATGACCCCTATCTTTGCTTAGTCAGAGCACTTAAGCCAGCACTTAGGACTGTGGGAACACTTAGCTCAGCAACCCAGTCAGTCATTGTGCTATCATGCTGCTGTATGCTGTGAAGAGCAGACAATGCTCCTTTTGTCCTCAAATAGTGGTGCAGCCACAACAGCACAACAGCAGGATAACAGCTTTTGTGGAGAGCCTGGCAATAGCAAGGGTAACAGCTCTATGACAGACAATATCTTTTGTGAACATTTATTAATAGCTAGATAACAGAACAGTATTTAAGTAGCATAGCTCTTGCTGTAATACTCTAGCTTCAAGCTAAAGTTTATTCTCTATCATCCTATTTTGAGCAACTTGCAAATGTCTTGACCACACACCTCTATTGACACATCAGTGAACTCAGTCAGTCTAATCTGAAGTGCGAGGTTCTGAACTGTTTATCATATGTTGATAGTCATGTAGAGTTTAGGCTTAACAATTAGCTTGAAGCTTCTAGCTTCTCTTCCTCAAGCCCAATTGTGTTGAGGAACTGGATGCCACCTGCTCTTAATTCTTCTGATCTGAATTTCACTCATGAGTTCTTTGAACTCTTGGCTTCTATCATAGGAATCTTGATTGGTCTATTGGTGATCATACAGCTGTGCCATAAACACCAATTGATCATAGCTTGGACAATCAGGCACTATCATGAATTCCAACACATCTGAATCATCCTCTGCAATGTCACACCAGACCTCTCCCTCTACAACATCTCTGCCTCTGCCTGACAGTCCTTCTGACCCACAAAAGGATCCAGCTCCAAAAACATCTCTGAGAGCTCGACTGAAGAACATTCTAGAGAAGAAGAGGAGCAGCATCAGCAGCACATATACCCACCATGACCCCCAACAGCAGTCATCCAAGACTCTGGAAACCCTTGGGCTACAGGGTTTCGATGATCCAGATCCAACACCCCCATCCTATTCTCTCAGCACAGTGTCTCAGCAACAAGGACCATAACTCCTGTCCCTAGCACTGATATTGGGCACTGTGCTAGAGACTCCTTGGATGCCTCATGGATGGCTTGAGAGACTGAAAATTCCAGAAGTTAAGGGTTCCAATGTACCAATTTAACACATAGCAGAAACATCAGTCATAGGGTGAAAACTGACAATGACCCCTACTGAAATGATGACAGCAATGAGCACTACTGATGGTGAACAGCTGCCATTGAGGCTGACCAGTTGGAGTGCTACACAGTTAGCAGTAATACTGGCCAAACAGAAGGCATGCGAATGATTTCAGTGAGAACACAGTCAACCAGCCCTGCCATCCTGGTCTCCTCAAGAGAGAACCAAATTTGATGTGTCTGAAACCTTTCTAAGTACTGGCAGGATCAGGCACATATCAACAATGAGATTACAAGAGAGAATACCCTCTTTGGATGGTACCTCTGGGCATGAGCAGCAGAGAAGCATAGAAGAGGCAAGGGAGGTAGCTGAACCACTATACTCATCAGGACCACCACCCCTGACTTGCCTTTCTGGGAACCTGCTACTCCTACTACTGAGCTCAACCTCTGGACAGATCCCAATAAAGAAGAGGCTCAGCCCCATCTCAATGACAACCATCCATTATCTTACAGGACCGATACCATTGCAGAGACAGAGAATATCCCAATCCGAAGAGATGGAATCCCAGCAGAGAGAGGTACCATCAGAGGAGATGATGAGAGTATCAACCTCATCAGAGATCTCAGGAAGTTTCTCAATGGGAACTTCGCAGCCCTTTTCCTCAACCTGAAGTTTTATAGAAACTTCTGTCAGTATCACAGAGCAATGGCATTGGGAGCAGCAATGAGCATTAAGGAGCCACCAGAGCAGCCTGAGCAGCAGCCTACTCCTCAACCTGGACCTGACAATGCTGGACTAAGTACACAGTCCCAGTCTAGCTGATCTGGTAGTTTTTGATCTGCTTGACAGTTTCCTCTCTGAGGATGAGGAAGCTATTGATGTGGATGACAAGGCCAAGAAGAAGGACCCCAACAGAGAGGATGGGGGTTTCTTCTCTAGCTGGCAGAAAAAGTTCAAACTATTGACAGAAGAGGAGTTATGACAGAAGGAGCGAGAGGCATGAGAAGAGGAGTTCATTCAGCTGTACCAAGAGTAGGTAGCTGAACTATGGAGAGATGATCTTTGGTTAAGATCATCTCTGGGACAAAGGTATACTCTTACCGACTCTGTTGAGCAAGAGGAAATTTTACAATATGCAGCCACTGAGCAGACTATTTTTAATTTTAATCAAAGATATTTACATTATCAGATGGGACTATTACCGCCATACAAGCTGAGGTATGGCAACAGAATGCTGCCCAAGCCATAGATGCCAAGTGTAATATCACCCAAATTGGCATACACTACACTGTCAATCCGATCAGTGACAATATGATATTCATTTGCCACATCAGCCATCTGCAGTATGGCATCTCAGCTTTCCCAATACCAACCCAAGCCAAGTAGTTATCACCCAAACCCATAGAGATTTTCTGTTTAGCAACCATTTGCTGAGCAGCCATCATCAGATGAAGCCAAAGGTAGCAAAGAACTAGCATCTGCTGAACCAAACCCTATGGAGGATGACTCTATGGCAATTGTCCAGGGCTGGACCATTAGGAATGGGTGAATTGTATGGAAAATAGTTCTCCCATCAGAAAGTCCCATCACTGATGATGGCTTTCTTCACTCTTTCTCAGGGCCCTCAAGCAGATAGTCAGGACCGCCTGCTGGAGGATAGCCAAAC